TAGAAAAGTGGGTAAAAACAGGGTTTTTTGGTACATTTCGCTTAAGTGTGCCACGAGCTGTGACCCGAACTCTTACATTGTGCTTCATGTTAGATAAACGATCTTCATTATCTTAGATTTGGACGAGATTTATTTGGTGAATATGTTTGTTTGCCTCTGGGCAGGACAACAGGTGGACACCCATGTTTGTTGTGTGTAGTTGTTCGTGGGGGAAGATCTTGGATAAATTCGAAAGGAAAAAAGGTCGGGCCGAATATTTATAGGTATTCTACTTCTTGGATTCTGCTGGTGAGGCCTGGAAAGGAAGGTTAGGGCTATGGTGGTCTGGTTTGAGTCGCCAGAAGTTGAAGATCTCTGTTTAGTGAATATGAATCAGTCCCTCAGTCAAAGAGATTCCTGGCTTGAAACTCACTAGTTCAGTGAGTATTGCTCGTAGTCCTTGGGTATATACCAAGGTAGAGTTGAACAGCTCTCCACACAATAACACAAACGACGACAATGTCCCTCCCTAACTGGAAGTTGGGTGCTCTAATTTTGGGTGTTTCCAGAGTACATGATTGTTGTCTGGTAATATTTATTTTCCTGATTCTAAGAGCAAGTATACAAGCATCGAGGGTAAGTCGTTTCAAGGCAGAGACGGTTATTGTCAACTGAAGAAGCGTTGTCAACATCCTTGAGTGGAATTTAACAACACGGCCAAAATAACACTCCAAATCTACCACCATCCGTTCCTATGTTCGTCTTGTCCAAGGAACGTCTTTGTGCGGATTATAGAGAGGCCGGAGGGGGGTTTATATAGAGGGGACGGAGGACGGAGGGCGAAATACGAAGGACGAAGGACGGGGGCTGAAAGAGGTGAATGGAAGGCGGAGAGTGGAAAACGGAGAGCAAAGGACCGAAAGAGGTGAATTTATAGATTCACTAGCCGCGGAGAACGGTTCGGAGAGTGGTAAGGCTAGGTGAGTGAATTAAATTAGCAAAGAATGAGCACAAGATGGAAATTAGCTAAGCTTTTTAGTTTTATAGTGAATAAAAGCACAAATTTCACTGGGTAATGCTTTAAATTACTATGACTTTTTTTTCCAGTTTATTGCCCTAGCTAGTTATCAAGCAAATATATAAGTGTAAAGTTGTTACATAAAAGCTCCTAAAAACACCCCCACGCCTCTCTAACAATACTCGGATAACCCTTATTCAAAAAAGGCAGCCAGAAAGTCCCCGATCCTCGATCAATAGCCATACTCGTCCCTGTAAAGCCTGTATGACCTTGCAAGCACAGACGTATTTTCTTACTCAATGGTACGTATTACTCAATGTCAAACAAGTGGGAACCAATTTTGAGGAAAGGAGGGTAAAGTTTACATGAGCTCTCCACTATCACTGGAAGTGGGGTAAGCTCGAAATCCAGAGCTACACCAAAGTCTTAAGTTCACTAGCTCGAAGTCGTGAATGCACTCATTCGGATTAGACACACCGCTGAGGGATTGTAAGACAATCTTGAAGCCAAAGGAACGTTGCAGAGGTATGATTAAATACCGTACGGGATCCGGCCGAGATTAGGAACTCCCACTTTCGTTTGCGGGCGAAATCTATTGTCAGGTCAGCTGTAATCAAAAATCTATCGACTCTCAGAAGCGGCTTCGGCGACAAGACATGTCTACTACCATATTGCTGCAGTAAGAGCCCGTCGGAAACGGGAGGGAATATGTTGAGGTTCTGGTCTCGAGGCACGTTGATCCTTGTCAAGTGACCACGCGAATATGACCTGTCTATCCGTGTTTGCAAGGCGGCTGTTTTTAAGTGAGAAATGTCTCGTACCTCGTGGATCCCTTTTCATACTTCTGTGCTCCTGCTGAACTTCGAATTCTATAAGATGTATCTTGTTATGACTTAAGTTCTCAACGTGGGGTATTCGATTTTATCGAGTATTCAATACTTTGGAGCATTCCGATTCATATGCAACTCTTCTTTACCATAAAGTAAGAGACGTTCTTGTTCTTTGATCAGCTGCAAACACTGAAACTCTCAGCAACAATCCATCTCGGCCACAAGAATGTCACCCAAGCGCAAGTCTGCTGGTGAAGACAGCACTACCCAGGCCAAGAAAGCCAGACCCTCCACCACAGCCACTCCCTCAACACCAACAGCTCCAACACCAAGTGTCAAGGAATCTCCAGCCATCAAAGACCTCTCCCTCGATATTCCCTCCCACGAAAAAGCGTTCAAAGCAGTTTACCGCCAGCTGAAGAAATCCGTCCGAGAGAATTGGCACGACAGATATGATGACCACAACGAACTACAACTGGAACTCGTGACGCTTCTCGTGGCGTGGCAGCAGGAAATCTTCCACTGTGCCATTCTTCCGGGAGAGAGGCTGCTAGAGGCTTATAAAGCTATGGTAGTGGTGGACGAATGGATCCAGAAGGAACGCGGGAATGAGTTTAATGTGCGCGTTGACTGGCGTGAGGGCGATGCGAGTTGGAGCGTGGATGATGTGGAGGGGAAGAAAGTGTATGAGGGGCTCCCTGAGAATATCCAGGCGAAGATGTGGAGGGATTTGCTGTTGAAGAGTTTCGTGACGTGCGAGGCTGCTACGACTGTTGAGATTATGAAGCATTGCCATATACCGGCGACGAAGAATTCGCCGGCGTGTTTTGGGGGCGAGGAGGTGGGGAATTTGTTTGCGATGACGGAGGAGCAGCTTGTGAAGTGGCGGGCTGATAGGGAACATGATGATGCTATAGGAGAGCTGCTGTTCCAGCTGTCGGGACGGGATGAGAGCGAGAGCGAGAGATCTGTGTTCGAAGACGAGAATAATGAGAATCGTAGTGTGGATGGATATCTCATTCAAGATGAGTGGTATGCTGAAGACATAGAGATGCAGGAAGCTAGGTCCAGGTTCAAGAAGCTGCTCAGAGGACTTTGATGATCGGGGAGGCTGGGATAACAATGACGTGGTTTTAGAATATTTTTTGACCTGGAAACGTTCTCGGATAATTTGGTATATCGCAATAATATATGGAGTAGTATCAATAAGTATATTATAGACATGTTACTTTAGGCTCAGTTGAAGTCTTCACCTGCCATTCATTATTCTCAATTCAGGTGTCTCTTGGTGTGACCACCAAGAATTTCAAAATGGAACTCAGCTTCTAGAGCAACAGGCAACGAGAATACCCAAAGCAACAAACCACTTCTTCACTTGATCTCGTAGAATCTATTGGACTTGAATGCCCGACGAAGACTCCAAGACTATGGCGAAGTAAAAACGCAGCACGCTCAACAAGCACATTCGAGGTCAAGAAACACTCAAACCCTACAGCAATAGTGAGGGGACACTGGGCCGCTCCAAATGCCCTGATTTCTAGCTGACATCACGATGCCCATCACTCCATACGGCTCGGAGACTAGAAGGCTCGAAGAACCCAAGAATGCACCAAGAGATCTGTCCTAGACCCAAGACTTGTCTATATTCTTCGCGCATCAGACGAAGCTAAACTCATAGCTCGCACTTCTATTTCTCTGTCAGGCACTAGTAATACTGGAGAGGATAGCAGTGGCAACAATAAAGTAAAAGATCGCTGTGAGAACCAAGGGCAGACACGGACACTAATCGACACTAATCTGGGAATACGGAGATGAGACGCTAGAAGGAGCGTAGAAGACGTCTTTTTTCTTGGGCAAGTCTTAAAGAGTGAAATGCCTCATAAATCTGGGCTTCTGGTGGGGTAATCGGTGTGGATTTGTGGGTGCGTGAATTTTGTGCATCGATAAGACAACTTGATCAAAATCGTTACTCGGTATCGCCGACTTGGAGATCTCTGCCAAGTCGGATGGCAAGCCAGAGTTGGGAATGAGGGAATTCGAAGTGAGGCATTTTGTACATTGCGAGCTTTTATCGCCAATGCAAGATTGCCTGCTTGGCTGTTGTACTTGTGCCTGCCGAGCCCAGGGCGGCGATGTTCATCTGTTGTCTTGTTGAACGAAGGTGATTCTGGTGGAATAGGACAAGAAGGCTGAATCTTCCTTGGCTGTGTAGTTGGTGTACTTGAGAAAGTTGCGCAAGATGAATGAACGGAGACTTGGCTGTTTCCCGGTGAAGGAGGTTCGTGAATTGCCCAGAGTCGCCTGTGTCTTGAGGGCCTTGTCTTTCACTCACGCTCAAGACATCAGGCCCGTCGTCGTGTTGTGGGAAGCTCATTCATTGTGTAGTGATTGAAAGTGAGGACTGAGAGGAAAGTAGAGAGTAACTTTGAATGTGAGGTAGCGCTCGAGCCTCGGCAAATCCGGAAGCATAAGTCGCGCTCTGTTTCATGTTTCAGAATCGACTGAACACTTTTGTTTCGTTTGGATTTTCTCCAGTTTTAGGGAACATTCCATCCCATCTGTGGCACAAGTCGTATCTGCCTGCATGAACTCTCGTTGCGCCTATCTGTTTCTCTAACAGCAAGCCAACAAAACGGTGGATATGACGAATCATGATGATGTATTTTGCCCAGCCTTTTGATATGCCGTATATGTGGCCAATTATGGCATGTTAGAATCCTGTTGCTTTTTATTGCGAATTACGGTAAAGGCCAAGGCTCGATTGAACATCTGATCTGAGCAGATTTAAGTTTTCACAAACCTCACCATCATGGCAATGGACTCGGTCTGATCTCTTATTACCTCCAAGAAGCTGCTATTGTAAGCGAAAGGCACCAAGACCCTCAATTGAAAGTAGACCGATAAGGGAGAAACAAGAGCTTGGTAGGAATGACGAAAATGTTGGTCCAACTTCAAATATTTCCGTAGGTCGAAGATACCGAGGCCAAGACCACGTTCTCTGGCTCTCAGACATTTACAGGGTTAGCCCGGGCCGCTACGAACCCCGGCTCTCTTCTTGTGGATCCACAGATTCCGCCATGGAAAAGCAGCGTGACTGAGTGCCGAGACCAACGTTGAACCGTCAAATCAGTGATCTTCACATGGTGTCTGCTTACTTTATATGGAAAGGTGGAGGATTCTCAGAGGAAGGGAATTGTTAGAATTGGCCAATCATGTATGAGTTCAATGTTGCGTTTCCGGAAGACTAGAGCCGTTTATCTGATAACACTGTATTCGGAAAAAACATCTTGAGGATATACTTTTGAAGAATGTAATCTCAGCCGCAAAAGAGCAGCAGAAAGTGGTTAAGTAGATTTTGAGATACAGTTCCAAGAACCGCTTTATTAGAAGAATTTCTTCTAATTTGTTTGTGGGTTCATGCGAGCATCAGCAAGGGAAAGACGACCTATCGGACATTCTTGGAGCTTTTTGTGCAGCGAACCAAGCGTATACAAGAAAGAGGAAGAGTACACTTGTATACATTTTTAGTTACCAGGAACGCGAAGCAAATGCTTGGGTAATGCATGTGCTGGTGTATTCCCGAATACGGTTGAACTTGTTCAAATGCCAATGTTCATGGCGCGCTATTGGCAGCTCTGCGCACACAGAAAATACCTCAATCTTTGCAAATCATATTGGATAATCGAATGAGTATACTGCTACTGTAGAAGAATGTGTTAAGACAGCGATGAACAATAGATATCGGGACAATGTAAGAGCTTGTGATATCTGCTGTAAGTTGCTGAGTATGCTCTGTGCATCCCAGTTCCTATCAAGATTCCAATGCCGCTTTGTGAGGATGATTCACAACTTAAAGTTCGCGCCCGCTGTCTCCACCGCTCCAGGCCAAAGGCTGGCCTAAAATGCGAAGCGAATCCCGCGTCGCGCTACGCCATGCAGTTCTTGCCCTTCAAATACTTCCATGCACGCAATCTGCAAAGGCTCCTTCTTCAGCATTTACAGCCTCACACCTCACCCTCACCCTCCCACTACTCTATGCTCCTATACTATCTCCGCGTAGATCGTGCACATAATCGATCACCTTCTATCCATCCCAATTCCTATAACAGTCGTTCCTAGAGACAGCTTCTAGCACCGCAGATTGGGATCGAGCAGCATAATCATATTCCACCCGCGGGTCTCGAAGCAGAGCTTCTTCACCCCGCGTTGCCGCCATGGCAGACTCGAATGGTGCGACAGGCACCTATGCGAATAATATAACACCGGATCATTCTAATCACCTCGATACTACAATCGAATCCGGCACCTTCGACGAGAAGACCGGCCATCTCAACTCTTACCCTCCCCCACCTCGGAAACAAGTCGAGGAGGAAGAAGATGACGAGGATATGGATGCTCTGATCGACGAGCTTGAGTCACAGGATGGTCATATCGACGATGAGGAAGCGGACAGCGAGCATGCCCAGCCAGGTGCAGGACGAACCATACCCGAGGAGCAACTACAAACAGACACAAGCACGGGTTTGACAGAGATTGAGGTCCTTACTCGCCGTAAGAAATATGGAATGAATCAAATGAAAGAAGAGAAGGAGAATTTGATCCTCAAATTCTTTGGATACTTTGTTGGTCCCATCCAATTTGTTATGGAGGTATGTTTGGTTCTTTTTTGTCACTGCCTCGGAGGTGCCATCTGCCAGCTCTACCCGCATGTTTCCACCCCCCATCATCGTTCAACCGCATATGCTGCATGTCGCGACCCTTCTTCCGTCACTCGTGCTAACCACTGTATAATTGATAGGCTGCCGCTGTCCTTGCTGCAGGTCTCAAAGACTGGGTCGATTTCGGTGTTATCTGTGCACTGCTTCTCCTCAATGCCGCTGTTGGTTTTATTCAGGAATTCCAGGCCGGCTCAATTGTCGACGAATTGAAGAAAACTCTCGCCTTGAAGGCTGTTGTTCTCCGTGATGGTCAACTATACGAGATTGAGGCTCCAGAAGTCGTTCCTGGTGATATCCTACAAATTGAAGAGGTAAGGACAACTGAGGTCTCGAGTCGCGTCCAGTATTGTACTTACCACTTCTGCAGGGCACTATCATTCCCGCTGACGGTCGCATTGTCACCGATGATGCTTTTCTCCAAGTCGATCAATCTGCTATCACTGGCGAGTCCCTTGCCGTTGACAAGCATAAGGGTGATCAATGTTTCGCTTCCTCTGGTGTCAAACGTGGTGAGGCCTTCATGGTCATCACAGCTACTGGTGACAACACGTTCGTCGGTCGTGCCGCTGCTCTTGTCAACAAGGCTTCTGGTGGTACTGGTCATTTCACTGAAGTTTTGAATGGCATTGGTACGGTCCTCCTGATCTTGGTCATCTTCACCAACTTGATCGTCTGGGTTTCATCCTTCTATCGTTCCAACCCAATTGTCACTATTCTTGAGTATACCTTGGCTATCACTATCATCGGTGTTCCCGTCGGTCTGCCAGCTGTCGTTACTACCACCATGGCTGTGGGTGCTGCCTATCTCGCCAAGAAGAAGGCAATCGTTCAAAAGCTTTCTGCCATCGAATCTTTGGCTGGTGTCGAAATTCTCTGCTCGGACAAGACTGGTACTCTGACCAAAAACAAGCTGTCTCTTGCCGAGCCTTTTACCGTTCCAGGTGTCGAGCCTGATGATCTTATGTTGACCGCCTGTCTTGCTGCCTCTCGCAAGAAGAAGGGTATTGATGCCATCGACAAGGCTTTCCTCAAAGCTCTCCGTTACTATCCTCGCGCTAAGTCTGTTCTGTCCAAGTATAGGGTTATTGAGTTCCACCCCTTCGATCCCGTCTCGAAGAAAGTTCAAGCTGTCGTCGAATCACCCCAAGGTGAACGCATTGTCTGTGTTAAGGGTGCACCACTTTTCGTCTTGAAGACTGTCGAGGAAGATCATCCTATCCCTGAGGATATCGATCAAGCTTACAAGAACAAGGTTGCTGAATTTGCTACTCGTGGTTTCCGTTCTCTTGGTGTTGCACGCAAGCGTGGTGAAGGACAATGGGAGATTCTGGGAATCATGCCTTGCTCCGACCCTCCTCGTCATGATACCGCCCGCACTATCAACGAAGCCAAGACTCTCGGTCTCTCCATCAAGATGTTGACTGGTGATGCCGTTGGTATCGCTCGTGAGACTTCTCGTCAACTCGGTCTTGGTACTAATGTCTACAACGCTGAACGTCTTGGTCTTGGTGGTGGTGGAGATATGCCAGGTTCTGAGGTCTATGATTTTGTCGAGGCCGCTGATGGATTCGCTGAAGTCTTCCCACAACACAAGTACAATGTCGTCGAGATTCTCCAACAACGTGGCTACCTCGTGGCTATGACTGGTGACGGTGTCAACGATGCCCCATCTCTCAAGAAGGCCGACACCGGTATTGCTGTCGAGGGTGCTTCGGATGCTGCTCGTTCTGCCGCTGACATTGTTTTCTTGGCTCCTGGTCTTGGTGCTATCATTGACGCTCTCAAAACCTCCAGACAAATCTTCCACCGCATGTACGCTTACGTTGTCTACCGTATCGCCTTGTCCATTCACTTGGAAATCTTCCTTGGTCTCTGGATTGCCATCCTGAATCGTTCTCTCAACATCGAATTGGTTGTCTTCATTGCCATCTTTGCCGATGTCGCTACCCTGGCAATCGCCTACGACAATGCACCATTTTCCAAGACTCCTGTCAAGTGGAATCTTCCAAAGCTCTGGGGTATGTCTGTTCTCCTTGGCATCGTTCTTGCTGTCGGAACCTGGATCACTCTCACTACCATGATTGCCCGCGGCCAAGATGGTGGTATCGTTCAAAACTTCGGTACAATGGATGCCGTTCTCTTCCTGGAAATCTCTCTGACTGAGAATTGGCTTATCTTCATCACCCGTGCCAATGGTCCTTTCTGGTCTTCCCTTCCCTCGTGGCAGTTGGCAGGTGCCATCTTAGTCGTCGATATCATCGCAACCTTCTTCACCCTCTTCGGTTGGTTCCTTGGTGGTCATCAAACTTCGATCGTTGCCGTCGTCCGAATCTGGGTCTTCTCTTTCGGTATTTTCTGCATCATGGGAGGTCTTTACTACCTGCTCCAGGATAGTATTGGCTTTGACAACCTAATGCACGGAAAGTCATTGAAGAAGAACCAGAAGCAACGATCTCTTGAAGATTTCGGTAAGTCTTTGCGTATAATCCTCCTCGTTTTGAATGCATTTGCTAACCTGTTCCATAGTTGTCTCGCTCCAACGTGTTTCCACACAACATGAGAAGTCAGCATAAATAAAAATCATCATATCAAGCGTTATTGAAGCTTGGGGTTGGGGCGTCTTTTGAGGAATGGTGCCTTACTATTGTTTTTATCACATTGCTCTGTACAAATTTTCCGGCGACTTGGTGGCAGTCTCTCCATATCGAGTTCCCCTTAGTTGTCCATTCTACTCCGAAGTTCAGACTGCAGGAACGGGGAAGTGTTCATGCAGACTGTTGATCGAGGTAATGGCGGCTGCGTTTCGAGGGGAAAGAAGACAGGTGCTAGACTGTTGACTGAGTTGCCTTTTTCATTTCTGTTTTTAGTCACGGCAGGGCATACCCAGGCGTTTTGGCAGCTGCTTATAACTAGACATTAAAAGTAATTACATTAGACTCTGTAATTTCATTGCTTGTAAGGTGTTACACAAACTGGAAGAGAGTAAGTAAGGCGGAGTGCGGTCATCAGAGGTGCTAGACTACGTGCCTTCCCCTTATGAAGAACAAGATTATTCATGGATGATTGACGCTCTATGGGCTACTTGCTTGTATAATAGCTATCTTCATCGGAACAGCTGCAAGAGGAAGCAAGCAAGCAGCTTTCCCGAAGTTGTTGGATTTATTGTTGCACATTTACCCCACCATGCATGCATAGATCCGACCCCGCGATTTCGGCCCCCAATATAATGTTTTCTTCTCTTTTCACGTGGCGAGGACTTTCTCTGGTTAGACGACAACACTAAGGATTCAGACAAGAGAGAGGAGCTGAGGATAGGTTGGTTGGTGAGATGAGATGAGATGAGAAATGATATTGTAGGTCCTGGGTTCAGTACTTTGTTGAGGGTGGGGATGTCACATTTTTGGAGGGTATGTTGAAGAGATAGCTAGGCAGCTAACATTTAATTTCTCTCTCTTTTCACCCAAAACCTACACTATACCAAAAAGTTAAATATATGTATGTATACAAGCCCCTACCTACAACTTCGCCCTCGGGGTCTCCTCCGCTAGCGAATCAGCGTACATCTTATCGATCTCGGCCCGGAACCGTTTCGCTGTCTGCAGACGCTTCAGTTTTAACCTATTTTTCTCAACGTTAGTTTCTTTCCTGGGAAAGGGAAATGGGAGGGAGGGGACGTACGTAGGAGTCAACAACTCATTCTCGATGGTAAAGGGATCGAGTTCCAAATGGCAGTTCCGCACTCGTTCGTAAGAGTTAAATTTATTTTTCTTCCCGATCTTTTCTAGTTCCCTGACGACGGCTTTCCGGACCCGGAGATCGCGGGCTGCGGCTTTGATGGCGTCCACGTCTTCTGGTTTGATGGTTTTCTTCAGGACGCTAGAAGCGAATGGCGCGAAGGCAATGGGGTCGATGCCGAGGACCGAGACGAGGAATGATTGTGTGGAATCGCCGTGCACGTAGGCTTGCGAGATTATGTTCGTGTTGGCCAGATATACGTTTTCGATTCGTTCTGGGGAGATGTATTCTCCCTGTGCTAATTTCAATACGTTCTTCACTCGATCGATGATCTTGAAGCGGCCCATGGAATCGATCTCAGCGATGTCGCCAGTGCGGAACCATCCATCTTCGATGATAGCTTTTGCCGTCTCGGCTTCATTCTTGTAGTACTCGCGGAACCGCGTCTTGCCGCGAATGAGCAGCTCGCCGCGGGGGTTGGGCGAGTCGGTTACGAGGTAGTCCATGTCAGGGACGGATTGGAGACATGCTTCGGCGTTGACGGACATGGCGCCGCAGTTTCCGGCTGAGTAGTCGCCTTCGAGCTGCGCGAGGCCCGTGGCGTACGTTTCTGTTAGGCCGTAGCCTTGGATGATGTCGTTTCCGAAGGCGGCGCGGAGGAATTGCTGGAGGCTGGGGTCGAGGGGCGCGCTTCCGCTAACCATTCCGCGGCAGCGTTGGAGGCCGAAGGCGCTGGCTAGTTTGGGAGTGAAGATTCGGTCCCAGAGCATGTGTTTGTTTGTTGCTTGTCCGGGAGGTAGTTTCATGGAGGCGAGCTTGGTGTTGATAACGTGTCGTCCCATGGTTCCTTTTAGACCTGGCGCATCGAGCGTTGCTGCTCGAATGGCAGAGCCGAAGCGGTTGTAGAGTCGAGGAACAGAGTTGAAACCTGTTGGTCGTAGGATCTTCATGTCATCTACTAGTCCTAGAATATCTCCACGGAAATATCCAATGGATGCACCAGATGCCAAAGCGCCATGTTCAGCTACTCTTTGGTAAATGTGTGCCAGTGGTAAGTATGAGATCAAGACATCTGAGGGCAGCGTATCACTAGTGACTAGAGCAGTAGTAGTTGCTGCTACGGCAGTGGCGTGTGTCAGGACTACTCCCTTTGGATTGCCAGTCGTTCCAGAAGTATAGTTGATAGTAATGATATCCTCAGGCCGAGGTGGCTTCATAGGTAGTCCAGAAGCAGCTCCCAAAGCTTCAACATCCTCAATGTAATGGATCGAAATACCAGCATCAGCAGCTAGAGTATTCAAAATTGCAAACTTGGAGTTGCCAGGTCGTTCCCCTGCATCCAACTGATCCAAGCAAATAATAAGCTTCAGAGACGGTATCCGTGGAGCAAGCTTCAGCAGAGTCGGTATATGAGGTAGAGAGGTAATGACACATGTAAGCGTAGCATGGTTGACAATATACTCAGTCGTGTCCGGGCCCAAAGTATCGTAGATAGAAACCGTAAAAAGGGACTGGGACATGCAACCCAAATCTGCCAGCATCAGTAACCTTCCCCGTCTTCCTAATCATTCATAGACTCACCAGAAATCTGCCATTCAGGACGATTCTGACACCACAGCCCAACACCATATTTCTCTTCCGTAACGCCAGCCTTCTTATGCAACTCCACAACCCCAGCACCAAAGTTCTTTCTCCGCGACGCAAGTTCCGCATAAGTCATCCACTCATATTTGCCAAACGTCTTAGCGACCGGATCCCACGGCCGACTCCCCAAACATCTCGCGTTTGGCCGCTTCTTGACCGTGGACTCAAACGCATCGTGCGCCGTCAAGATCTTGGGATCGACCGTCTGCAGCAGCGGACTATCGACGAACCGCCAATGTCTGTAGACGGGCGTGCGGCCCTCCTTCTCGCTGCCGGGGATCGGGAGGGAGTAGGGCGTTCCTGGTGGGGGAGGGACGCGGAGGGCTTTGACGAGGGCGTCGGGGTCGGTGGGGTATTGGATTGGAGCCATGGGTGAATCTCTGCGATTGGGAGGAGAAGGGGATTCTATATAGATGACGGCAGAGGTTAGTGTCTGGAATGTAGCTTTGCAGAAGAATTATGAGACAGTATCTCGGCTTACTTACCTCGAGTATTCACTTCCTGAAATTATGCAACCAATTCCTCTTTCTTCCCAAACGTCTATCTTCTATGGTCTATCTGCCCAAATACCAATCTCGAATGAAGAAAGGAGAAAAAAGGAAAGGAGGGAAAAAAAGGACAGAACGAGGTTTGGGAAGAAAGAAGGAAGCATCGGCATGTGCGTTTGAAGGTCACAGGTGCACTCGGACATACGATCTGGATCTGGTTGGGCGGGCCTTGACTCGAAGAAAAGGAGCCTCGGCAGGCTCGTATTCTCCACGCATCTCCAACTGCCCCGTTTTTGCGGAGCGCCCGAGAATGGGAATCTTGAACAGCGATTAATAAAGAATCAGCATTTTATTTTATGCCGGGAATCTGAATCGTAGTCATTGTTACATCCGAGTAATAATGTCTCTATGGTGAGGTATGTCTGTACACATTCCCCAACTTCATTCACATGCTAAGTAAGTTGCGGGGATACAGTATGCTGCAGGCCTTTCAGGGTTACGCTGCATTTTGACGTCGGAGCTTCTGTCCACCGAATGAACCTGGACCTCGCCTGCATGTTTCAGATCACATGCTCCGGTTCTGGAAAACCACCCATGCATGTGTTTTTTGCATTGCCGGTGGAGAATTAATTGGTGGATTGGGATGAGGTTATTGAGGATATTTGGATTTACAGTACTTCGATATGTTCATCCTGTTCAAATATAAAGTAAATCTACTCTAAGACGAAATCAATCAAAAGTAGATATCCTTCTAATCTCTCCTTTTTGATAATATTAAGTGCTCGCTTTAGCATAATCAATGGGTTTACAGTAGCACTGAGCACCACTGAGCACCACTGAGATGGGATTCCAGAAGTATATCTTGATGGTTAAAATCTCTATTCGGTGTGCTAGATTCTAGCTCTCACAAAGCTCTCCAACAGCAATAGCCACTCATTCAACCAACCTGTACAACATACAGCCCAGATTACTTGTCCACCCAGCCTCCCGTCCCATCCCTTCACACCCCCACCCATCCGTTGAGCTATTCCACCCAAATCCAAATTCCCTATATTGGTGCAATGCCAAGAAGAATCGCAGAGGCAAATGCTAGCGTGACAAGTGAATTGAGAAAGAAAAATCGTGACCGAATCATTCATTACGCTCCTCCTTTTTGCTCCACGGATTGCAGGCATTTTCTCGTCTCTGTTGTGCTGTGTTCCTTAATGCTCCTTCAAATCAAATATAGCTTTACGAATCCCGAATCTGCAAGTAACAGATATGCTTCCTTACACAACTTCAACAATGCGGTCTTGAGCATTGTACCTCATCGAGCTGAAGAAATTCGAAGCTCCTGACTTCCACATTGGAACGCGATTGTACAGCATCGCGAGGATGATAATAACAAGCAAAGGAATCTGGAAGTTGTTAGCCAGGTGTATGTGGAGCGAATGAGCGGAAAATTCATACCCAAATGAAGAAAAGATTTCGATCCCTGCTCAACCTCTTCACTTTCTCCGCATGAGCAAGTCTCAATTGGTCCTGCTGCTCCCTGGTGATGGTGTGCTTCTGGCCGATTCGTACCGTGCCTAGCTTGAGAGGTCGTTTTTGGGCCATAGTCGAACTCTCAGCTTGTTCACTTTCGGTCTCAACTTGATCGAACATTTCGGCGCATTTGTTGTCCGCTATCGTGTCAGCGGCGGCTTGCTCAGCTGATGAGCGCTTGACATCTGCGTCGCCTTGCGGGAAGATATCTTCGTACGCTGGAGGGGCCGAGGGAACAGTGCTAGAGAAAAGGTCCCACCACTTATAGTCCTGGTCTTTGGCGCTCTCAGGACGGTTGTTGCCTACTAGGTTACTGATGCGACGGACCATGGGAGCAGTTGGTAGGTAGGCTTGGTAGTCTGGGAGAGCAGGCATCATATCAAATCTTGGCATTTGTGGTAAATTCGGGAGGTTCAGGTGCATCGAATGCATAGATTGTTGGAGATGTGCAATTTGTGTAGTAAGTTGATCGCGGAATGCCATCATTGTGGCCGTTGGTGAAGCAAGGCCTCCAGCCGGAAGTTCAAGCACAGGATCTTTCTCATCCGGAATCTCTTCGAGGGGTAATTGCTGAGCACTTGGGCGTCTTGACTTCGATCTCATCCAGAACGCTCCATCATTCGCAGCATCTGCATCCTCATCCTCATATTCGTTATCATCATCGCTGTCGTCGCTGAGAGCATGATTGTCAATGGGTAAAGGTGTGGTTGGTTCCCAGACAGATCTCAAGGAGGTCGCACTACTGGTTCTACTTCTCAGTGAGCCACCACTACGTGTTCTCGAATGATGCTCAATCCGTCTGGCAGCACGGAGGACTTCTTCAGAAGTGGCCATGTCGGACGGAGTGTAACCTTGAAGACTTCGAACAGTAGGATCAGCACCGCTCAACATCAGTCTCCGGACGATTTGAGGATGATTGTGCAGAGCAGCAAAGTGCATCGGAGTAAAGCCGCCCTTGTCTCGAGGTTCAGGATTGGCTCCTCTGGCAAGTAATGCTGCAACAAATCGGTGCAAGCCCAAAGAGCAGGCGAGATGGAGCATGGTTTGACCAGAAGATCGTCGGAGATTGAGGCGGGGCATATTTGGGCTGTCATCGAGATCAATAAGGTCCAAACATCTTAGCAAAGTAGCTTCAACATCAACGCCAAAGGTAGCTGCATTGAAGTTAGTTCCCTGCGATCCACTGCCACCAGTAGGCGATGGGCCTGCTGGTGCACCCCAGGATGAAGGCCCGTCTCCAACAATTCTCCTTGCCAGATCACGAACGTCCTCCATCTTACCAGTCATTTTATGGCCTAGTACAGAAAGAGCAGTGCGAATGATTTGTTGCTCATCGTCATCAATGTACTTGAAGAACGCTTGTTGCTTAGGGAAGGGTGGATTTGCGTAGGGTTGCATCTGTTGCTGCTGGTGTTGATGTTTGAAAGTTACTGGAACAGTGCCAGCGAACACCGAAGGTGGAAGGAGACAAACCAGGGATGTTTCACCCCAATATGTCGTCGTCGTAGCCTTCGAGTCACCAAACATAACCTCCAGTCCTTGACAGAAACCACTGCCCAAACAAGTGACCTCGATACCACCAGCCTTAGGGCCTTCGTTGGGGATCAGTTTGTGGATCGTGGGTGGTCTATGAGGGTTGAGGCTTAGAGGCACTCCATAAAGTCCATTTGCCACAGCTTGAGCGATTTGAGCTTGCTGCTGCTGTTGATAAGCCTGGACCGTGTTTCGCAAACCATTGGGGCTCGGCACTCTACTAGGATGAGCTGAGGCTGGCGCTGAAAACATCTGCTGAAGAGCCAAATTCTCCATAGACTGTGATCTATTGCCTTGATTGAAGAAGCTTTGATCATTGCTATTGGGTGTAGGTGGACCAGTATTATATTGCTGAGGGATTGCCGGAATAGTAGTTGGAGGTGCAAACTGCTGATCAGTAGGCAGGGGGAAAGCGGTGAGGTTAGGAGTGAAGGGCGAAGCAGCAGCGGAGGTGGAAGCGCTCATAGGATTCGATGGAGCTTGTGGCATTGATCCTTCTGCAGTTTCCAACCTTGTCATAGCCAAGCCACTGGGGACCTTACTCGAACCACTAGCCTTGCGTTTCTTCGACGATGGTCCAGATTGAGCAGTGGGTGATGTCTGACGAGATAGATTCCGAGGGGTCATGGTAGCAGAAGTCGTCTGAGATGCGTTGACACTAGGCGGGGCCGAGAACTGCATATTGAAGTTTCGTTGCATAGCTTGCAAGTCAGAGCTGGAATGAGATTGCCGGAAAGGCGTCATGGTGTTTGAGTTTCCCATGTCAAAGGTGCCGTCAATTGGAAAAGAGCCAGAGCCAGCATATATGAGCCCATCCGAATTGGTTGAGGTCTGTGTAGTTAATGTTGGCATGGTATGTGTCTTATGGTCATCAGTGATCATGATCGATGAGCTCATTTCCTGTGCAATGAGGCGGTCTTGGTGATCCTTGATAGTGAAGATAACCTGGAATCCGAGCTTCTCATTCTGATGTCTGCAATAGCATGCAATTCGCATCGGTGCGTCGACCTGCATCGCTCCTTCTGGGACGAATGGTTCTGCTCGGTCTCCGGTAGATTCTGATGGTGTTTGACTCGTTGGCGCTGCCCAGTCTTTGATCTCATGTGTATTGAAGACAACAACACGCTTAGCCTCATCCTTGTGCCAGGACTCTTCTTCTTCCACCTTCTTGACTTTCTTTCGTGCTGCTCGCTTGCGTTCCCGCGTTATGCAACCTGCGCAGATCTTGACGTCCCCTCCGTTCAGCGGCTTATTTTCGTCATCTTCCTCTGATGAACTGTCTTCAGACGATTCTTCCTTAAGCACAGCTCCAGAAGCAGCTCTCTCAAAGGCACGCCGCATGTTCTCGGGGTTCTGCATAGCACTAGTGCAAACCAAAGCGGTATATAGCTCCAAAGTATCTGGCGATCTTTGGGGAGTAGGCTTGCAGAGCAATTTGGGTTTCGAGATCGTATACGTTGGAAGATGGAGTTTGCTGATCCCTTGTGGCAATGGAAAAAGAGTCATCTTGATCGGGATTTGAGTCTCTACTCGAGACTTCAGAGGTGTGGGGTGAATGGTAAGAATAGGCTTGTAGTGGTTACCCATGGGTGGGAACACTTGTGGAGGAGCCATTCTCGGCATTGCTTGCGGGTTGATGTTCTGTTGCATAGGAGGCAATCCATGGCTTTGAAAGCCCCCAAGACTTGCCGCCCAATTGTGGTTCTGAGGAACTCCACCCAGCATAGTGCCGTTGACGAACTCGATTGCTGTGCCAGGAGAAGGCGAGTTGTTAAAGAAGGCGGTAGGCGATGATTCTTGGCTGGTAACCATAGCAGAAAGAGGTGAGGCTTCCCGTGAACCGGAAGTTGTAAGTCCATTCATGGACTGTGTAACAGAATATTGCTAGGAGATGTTAGCTATTGGCATGCCTTATTTCGCCCCATCTTTGAGCTTACCGAATTTGCCTTGTTATGATTTTTCGTTTTCGTCTTAAGTAAAGGTGAATGCTTCCGTGGCGTGTCGTATTTGATTGTAGGCATTTCTGGCGATTCCATCTCCACTGGCCTTATGCCACCAAATGGACTCGGACTACTCGCCGCACTGTCAAAATCGAAATCATTTTCCATCGACTTATCACTGAACTCAAAGTTGGTGTTCATTGTCGAAGGATTGATTGTTCCAGTCCCATCAAATCCGCCAAAGCCTGTCGCGTCTCCAGACATCATATCTTCCACTTTCCAATCATTCATGTCTGTGTCATCTGCCATCATTATGTCGCCTGAAGTCAGCGCCGACCTCGAAGAGTCAGAGCTCGATTTACGCTTATATCCCGATGATTCTGAAGAGGAGTCTCGGTATGAACCAGCTGGAGAAGCAGTCGAGGGCGCAGAAAGTGTTGGCTGCAACCTTGAGTCCAGAATAGATCCTTGGTCTGGAAGAGGGCTCTTGTAATTTGTAGGGTTTGGCGTTCCAAAACTGGCCAAAAAGGAGGAGTTGTCAGTCGCGAAGTCTTCAGCGTTCAAGAAGGTACCTGGGCTAGCAGCACCGGCCAGGTTGGAATCGAAGAATTCGAAGTCAGGATCTGAGTCGAGTCGTCCTGACATGTCCGAATCGAGGATGAATGGCGGCGAACTCGCGGAGTAGACAGGCTCTGCTGTCGTCGGCATGACCCCTTACGATCTGCAGGGTCGTGGGACAACAAGTTTTCCAAGTGGCTAAAGCAGAAAAGTGAAGCCCAACAAAAATCGTAACTTTGCCTGCTGCGAATATTTCTCACGTCCAGCTTCACAGCGAGAGCAGCACAATTACGCTATTGAGAGCGTTCACTTGGTGGTGATCCTCCGCAGATGTGCTCTGGTCGTCAGAACATCCCGCTCGTCGAGTCTTTGGAGAAGAAGGTTTAATCGGTATTATTCCGGGTCATCAATCGTCGTCACGGCGGTCTGAGGCAAATTGGGTGTCGACCGACGATGATCTGGCCTCTGAACCTGTCTGCAGACTGTCAACACTGCGATCTGTCAGACGAACATGCTGAGGCTCCGACTCACGAGGTCTGCGTTGACAGGACAGGATGCGTGTCGAGGAGTGAAGGTCGACGACTCCACTTCCAGGCTGAATTGCTCGATTATGGTGGTTCACGATTCGCTAACGAAAGGGAACTAGCGCTGGCTGGCCCTGCCCTCAATTGTCAAAACGTGAGGAGAAGGTTGGAGCGGCAGCGTTGATCTGACTGCGAATGGCGTTGCACAGATTTCGAGAGAGGATGAAATGCGGAGATGGAAAAACGAGGTTATTCTGGATAGTTTCGAAGTGCTGCTGCTGCTGCTGCTTAATCGATGTTTGACTTTTTGTGGGTGAGTCGATTCTAGACTACCTAAATTCTGGCAACGGAGAGTCGAACTACTTCGCCAGTCAAACCTGCCACTCCCACGCCGCCTCCGCTTCACTCTACACCGACCGATATTACAGATTCAGCAACCACCCTCAATCACTGAGACTGGCTGACAGACCGTCATGATGCACATTGGCAGGCAGGGATTGGACGCAGGCCCAAGAGAACAACCTCCTGATTCTGCCATTTCTGGCGAACATTCCAGACATCCAACATCCATCATCCACCGTGACGAGGATGGTCCCCTTGGCCACTGTTTATTTTTACCTCTTAGAATCTTCGCATATGCAGAGTCTGCACTCTATCTTCCTGAATCCGCCGATCTACTTTCAGATATTCTCCTGCTCTCTTCGCATTGGCTCAGTCGTCCGCCCAGATACCACATCCATGATGATATGGGTATCAACTCGCACAATCTAGGGAGTAGTGTTCAGCAGTGTCCAACCTGCATGTCAAGCCACGCCCCAATTCTCGCCGTTTTGCCCAGCATTCATTCACCTCCACCTCCACCTCCATACTCAAACAGACCAAGACGGGCCACAACAACTAATCAGCATTGCCTGAAAAGCATTTCCTTGTCTTGTGCAGCACGCTTTACCTCCCTCAACGTCCTCGAGCAGTCGAGGAGACCCCTTGTTCAGCCACTCGACCCGCAGATTACGAACACAAGCTCGCAAAGTTAGACAGCCACTACTGCATCTTGCTCTCTCCAGTTTTTCCCGGACTCCAACTCAAGACGTCAGTGTCAGCCCTTTTGGCTTCCATACGGAGAGCTCGAGCCATCCCCGTCGCCTCAATCCTCCTCACCCCATACCCGTCTGGTCCCGTCTATCTCCATTGTAGTCTTCCATCCTCGCCATCCTCGCCATCCCTCAATTCCCTGCCCTGCTCTATCTTCAAACTATCGTTATCCTTCCCCTACAAGCGTTATCAATTCTCCGGAGAAACATTCCCATCCTCCGCTAGTCGTCCCTTCCCTTCTATGGTTCTAATTCGGTCCTACTGCTGGACAGACTGTCAATTTGCATCTAATAGTTTACAGCAAGCCAAACACACCCTCCCGAACCAATTACGTATCATATGCACGAAAGCGCAAGGCCCTGAAGATCCCCAGAAACAGACGTTCGAAACACAATTCGAGCCGTGATCCGATCGGAAAACCCTGGGTGGCGTACCCTTAAATGATCATGTCTTTCGCCAAGAGGCGTTTGGCGGCTTTTGCATCCGGCCATTCCTTCCATCTTACCAAGAGATGATGATTAACGGTTGTTATGTCTATCCCTATCGCGCCTCATATGCAAGTCGTCGCTCAATCTCTCCTGCAGCAAACAAGTGTGACAAACTGCATCGGAATCCAGGGTCTGTACGATGCCGAAATTTGCCTCCCTATGCAGGGTGCGAAAAGAGACCGGGCATCCTTTTATTCTTCGTATCCCTCTTCGCTTTCTTCTCTCGAGTCAAGTGGCTGTTGCAATACGCACTACATGACACAGATGATCGATGTCATATCATTTCTAACTAGCTTCATCTTTCCAACATTGTTTTGCGTCTGAGAAGACAAAAGAAGTACACAGGATAGGGCTCTCGTCAGTCGTATGCCTCTGAATTCTTAGGCTTCTTCAGGATCTTGAAAATTTTCGTTCCGCTATGTTTTGACAACTCTTCCCTTTGTTCTTCATATCTGCACAGGGAGGAGGAAAGCACATGTTTCAACCAATTAACCTCCCCACTCCTGTCACTTTGGTTCAGCCCGAGGAAGTGGTATCCTCTGAATTGAACCATTTCTCAAGGTCCACAACGGACGTGTTGACTAGTAAATCGAATCTTTTTTGTTTGATTCAGTACCCATAATTTTCAGTGACGAGAAAAGAAATAGGATGGAGGAATACTCAACTCTTACTTCACTGTCTTTGACCATTGATGGCGATTTGTTGAGTATAAGTGGTATTTGAGAAGTTTGAACGAGAGTTCTGAAATAGTGATGTTGTTCTTTAGTCGGGAAATGAAAACATGCTTTGTTGATCCATCGTTCGAATAAGTACATGTCGAGGTCATGACTTGGATCCATTCTACTAAGCATGACATATCTTCAGCTCGCATGCAGAAAGCATTCAAATAGTTCTCTTGACAATGCGGGTAGTACATAAGCTATTCGTTGTTTACGTTTTCCAAGTTGTAGTCTCGTCGCTGAGGCTATATCCTTCTGAATCAAAAACATGTTATGGTATTTTCGCGAACTCCGAATTCATTTCCTGTTTGAAATAGTGGTTAATTCTGCAACGATTCTTATGGGTTATTTTGCCAAGTTGAAGTATTTTTTGTTGTTGTCCCGTCTGAGACATTCGGGCGTTAGGATTCAAGCCCCAATCATCTATTGGTGGTTTCTTCATGAACCGGATTGGATCGCACTCAGCCCAACATCCGCTTACAGAATTTGGCATGCAGATATCTTTGGGAGGCTTCTCCTCCGCGAATAAGCTGATATGGAACTCTCCGATCATGTACGTTCTTGATCAACAGTACATCGAACATGACCTAAAGGCAGTGCATGCTGCCTTGGCTTTTAGCCCTGTGAATTATTGGTGAGATATGGGCGGAAAAGTGACATCTGTCAAATGAGAGGCTTTCTGTCGTACTAAGAGGCGGCTCGCATTGTTATCGCTGTGTGACCCCATTTCTTCGAAGTCCTTTCATCAAGGATCCTTCCCATCCTGGCTTTGGCGACTCTTTGGAAACGTTCTTCATTGCTTGCCTGTTGATAATCAACATCAAATTGGGGCATCGAGAAATGGTCTTCTAGCTCTACGCTTGCCAGGTTTTCGACTCTGGTCTCCCTTTCCGACTGCTTCATGCTTGTCGTGGTTTCTTGCCCGCCGTGGAAGCCAGCCTGATTTTTATAGCTGAGCATTGAAGCTCTACAGAACTAACTTGATTATGGCCTACAGTACAAGTGAGGGTGCTGACTACCCTATTGTCGTCGACAATGTCTCCGAAGCCGACACAGACTGGAGCCCTGGACTCGATTTAGACGATTTGCGCGAGCTCCAAGCGGCACAACAGGACCCGACTAAGATCGTTGCAAAGCTGCCAAGGGAAGCTTCTCGGATGGGTTACTACGCGACGATCTGTTTGATCTTCAATCGTATGATTGGTAAGCCCTCAAATCTCAATCCACGATCGTGCAATTGACTCGTGTCAACAGGGACGGGAATCTTCAACTCTCCATCCGTCGTTTTCACAAATACCCAAAGTATCGGCCTGTCTCTTATCCTATGGGCGATCGGTGGTATCATGGCACTTGCAGGCGTCATTGTTTATATAGAACTTGGTCTTACCATACCCCGTTGGCCACTTGGTTCAGATGGGACCAAAATATCCACACCGCGGAGTGGCGACGTCTTGAATTATGTGAGTATATACCGTAGTGCCACCATAGCTCCCCTGCTAACCAACGACCACAACAGTTTAACTACATGTTAAAGCGTCCATTATTCCTTGCGACATGCATGTTTGGCATAATATTCATCATTCTCGAGAACACCGCGGGAACTTCTGTGTCCTTCGCCCAGAGTATCCTCACAGCCGCTCACACCAAACAAACCCCTGGGAAGATTATCGCAATCGCTCTATCTGCCAATACATTCTGCTGTCTGCTCCATGCTGTGTCGAGGAAATGGGGCATAATATTGAACACCTTCCTAGGAACCGTCAAACTGCTTCTCTTGCTCTTCATCATCATTATTGGATTTGTCTGGCTCAATCGTGATACCGCAAATCACAACTTCGATAGCAAGACCGCTTTCATATTCGACAATAGCCCCAAACTACCTTATAGGTATGCTGAGGCTATGTTATACATCATCTTGCCTTATGGTGCCTTTCATCAGATTAATTACGTGCGTTTTACAACTTGTCCACGCATTTATTAATTTACTGAGTACACCAGGTTATTTCTGAATTACGTGAGCCGCGAAAGACTTTTCCTCGGGCTTCTTTCATTGGAGTTCTCACCATAGTTATTATATACACAACTCTTAATATTCTGTTCGTGAGTTACCACCTGAACTACTATTGCTGAAGCGATTTTCGCCCTAACAAGACCAACATAGGCAGCCATCATCCCCAAAAGCGAACTCTTCAAGCTACCAGGAGGCATAGACGTTGGACAGCGATTCTTCGATCTCACGCTAGGTCATGTAGTTAAGAACGAGAACCACCTAATCACATTTTACGCAATAATCAAGGTCATCTCAACCGGCGGGAACCTCATCGTCGTAACATTCACCACAGCGCGAGGTTTGAAACCCTAATCCTAGCTGAGACAGAAATATAGCTGACCTACCAATAAATAGTAAAGCAAGAAATAGCCAAAGAAGGCATCCTCCCCTACTCTCTCCTTTTTGCCGAAAATTACGATATCTCTTGGGACCGACTCAGAGGCCGCACTTCTCCCTCCTCGGAACGAACTCCAGCGGCTACTCTCGCTCTCCACTGGATCAGTAAGCAGCAAAACCCCTTGTTCTTATTCCAAGGGAAATAAAATACTAAGTTGCCTAGTCACAACAATCCTAGTCGTTATCCCCGTCCTCGCCATACAACCAGTCCCCTATTCCTCCACTGCTGCATATTCATACCTCACTACCGCCTTTGTCTATAACATCAACCTCGTCATCTTCACCGTCGTCGCATTTGGCCTCCTCTGTCTCCGCTTTACACCCAACGTCCACTGGGCCCAGAAGTCCTCACTCAAATACCCACTATTATCCATCATCGCAGCACTAATTCTCTTGATCGTCAACATCTTTCCCTTAATATTCCTCTGGGTCCCCGACCCTTCATTCCCAAAAGCTACACACACTGGCGGAGCAGTAGACTGGTTCGCAGGCCAAACATTCGCCTTGTGTCTCCTTGCCTTCGCGTTCCTCTACTGGGTTATCTTCCGCGCTGTAATTAGTGTGAGGTCGAGAAGGGAGGGAAAAGTCTTGCACGTGAGAAGGAAACCGATTTTTAAACATGATGCGAGGGGACTAACGCAGGTTATGGAGATTGTTAGCTTGGAGTGGAAGAGGGAGGTCGGGATGAGGCTTGATGAGGTTGTAGATGATGAGGGGGGCTTTGTGGGGTCGAGTACGGTGTCGATGCCTGCGTGGGAGAGAGCTTCGGAGGTGGGTAAAGGGGCTGCTAGTGTGCATGAGATAGGGCAGCAGAGGACGGTGAGGAGGAAACCTGTTATGTCTGAGTTGTTGGGGAGCGTGGAATAGATTGATCGATCTGTTGATTCCTTTTTCATATTGAAGGATCTCGTTTTCAATCTATAACAAGCACACACATGAGTTGTCAACATAATAAACGCCATAACCCAACTTTGATAGTGACAAAGCTTGAATAGCTCTCCTTCATATTTCTATCAATTACAAAACCCCTTCCCTACCTACTGTACTTACTCATCACGTGCATAACCCGGCATCTAACGGCTTTCAACATCCATCCTCCTTCCCTCCAACCTCTACCCGGAACCCAGGATCCCCATCCGAATCCGAGATTCGCCTTATGCGCGAAGAAAGAACAGGCCGCTATCGCACAGACATACATATATCATGCAATATCGAGAAAAGAACCTGATGTCGGACAAGGGTAATTAGCTGCTTGCATGCTGCAGGCTGGGACGGGGATTGAGATGGAATGGTGGGGGACGGGGACGGGGACGGGGGCCGGGTGAGGGTGAGGGTTTTGCCATGGGATTTTTGGGGGAGGGGAAGGGAGAGGGATTTCTGAGCCGATTGACTGACTGGTGGGAGGGGGATTTTTCATGTGGGTGATTGGTGAGTTTAGGGGAAGAATCACGATCTGTTGAGACGAACCTTATCCTCGCATTCCAATAAACGCCGACGCTGAGCTGCAAGCTGCAATATCGAGACGCACAAGTAAGGGTTAAGCAGCAGCACCAGGAAATTAGATAATGGGAACTGCAGCCGGCATCTGCGAGATAGGCAATGCAGTGTGATATGCAATGTAGTGTGATATGCAATCTATCTATATAGCTGCATCGTAAGCAGGGGAGAAGCCGACAGTCAGATATATATGTATCAGCTATGTACCTCTGTACCTTTCATACACTATCCCACTCTTCGATTCCACACCTCGCTGTATCGACGACCGAAGGAGGCCAACGAAATACTATTCACCAGAAGATGGAGCAGAAAATTCTTTTGCCTGTTCGCTCGAAGCATGACTCTCGTCCGGGAATCTGATCGTCCTACCAGGTAAAACAGGAGTTGAAGGCCGTCCTGGCTCCAAATCAATAGGTGTAGCTGCTGCGGTGGTAGCAGCCGCACTCACAGCCCCAAGATTACCAGTCCGGATCACCGATCCACCAATCTTGTAGATCGGTCTTCGGGACGTGGAACGAGATCCAACGGGTGTGGATTGGTTTGAAGGATCATTGTTACTGCGTCTTCGGTTGCCAGCGACGTTCGTGGATCCAAGTTGAGTGCCGACTTGGAAGGAATCTGGGTCTTCGTTTCTTTCGGATGTGAATCTTCGTGAAAGCGTTCTTGGGAGGAAGAAACCTAGTTTTCCGAGCGGGATTGAGAGGCCGTGGACAACCTAGATCGATGAGCTTGGTGGGGTTTCTTGGGAGGAGTTTGACTTACGATGCTACAAATCGCTAAGAACCATACGACGACCGTGATTACCTCTGCCAGCTTTGCGGCATCTGCTCTCTGAACACCTTCTACGGTGATTTCGTTGAGGAATTCCAAGCTAATATACAGATAGAAGATGGCAGATACACCAATCGGACCGAAGAAGCCAACGAAGATTGCTTGACGTTTCTCTTCGATTTGGTGAATAAGTTTGTGCATGGCGAACACAATTGGTAGACGCCTACAATTATTAGCGAATTTTCGAAGAGAACGGATTGGAAGTATATACCTTAGAAGAAGAATGAGAATACCGAGGAAGCACAACCTATACAGAGGAATAACATCGTTGACTCTAAACATAGCCCAAGGACAAATGGCCCCGAACCAGATGAAAACAGACAAATTGAGCAACATGTCAATAGTGGGCTGTAAGGAATCGTCCAATGTCTCGAGACGAAACCAATCGTCCCAAGTAAAGGCATTTCCTGCAATGAAGCAGGCAAGGACATCATCGCTTCCAATCATGCCACATGTGCCAACAATGAACAGTGCCAGCGTGATAGCAAAGACCAAGAAACTTTCTCGATCAACAAACTTCATCTCTTCAGCCCAGTGAAGAAGCTCCTTTGCTATCCAGCCAACAGCGAATCCGTAGATAACGCTGAGAATAATTGTGTATCCCCATGTCTCTCCAAACCAGAGCCCAATGGCCTTCTGGGCTCCTCCACTTTGTCCTAACCCACCTTCGCCGGTGTATTTTATCAAGTATAGAGCGAGGAACAGATATGGGTATCCCAGACCATCATTGGCTCCTGACTCTGCGACAATGATCTTTTGCAGATCCTTAGGCACATTCTTGTCTGCGAACTTGCCCTTGACAATAGAGTTGCTGAGCACAGGATCCGTAGGCGTAACACAAGCCCCTACTGCCAGAGCATGCAGAAACGACAGGTTTGGAACCATTGCCCACACCAGCAGGCTGCTAGCTATCCACATTGTGGTCATGATCGGGCCAAGGAGGAGGGAAAGAGGCTTCCATTCTTTCTGCAGGTATCGAGAAGGGAGTTGTACGCCAGCAAGAACAAGTTGAACCCCAAGGACGAGGCGAGAGAAGTATAGTGTGACGGAATCGAGATTCGCTTGTGACCCCGTGTATTCGAGTGGTTTCACGAAGTTGGTGGCATGTGGGGAGAATATAACTCCTGCGACGAGAGATATCACTGTGCGCCTCAATTAGTCCCATATGAAGAAATGTAAGGGAAGAGAAAACTGACAGGCTTCAGAGAGGTAGAACTTCTCTTTGCAGAGGTAAGAGACCAATCCAAACAGAGTGATAAACCCTCCGAGGACCGAGCAGACGATGTTGAAATTGGTGACTGCGAGAGTGGGCATGAGGGGCAATCTTCAGCTTGCGCAAGGCAAGACTTCTAGAAGAAGAGGATAATACCCTAGGAAACTCCTGTATCATCCAATCTGCTGTGCAATGCAAGCAGTGGTCGAGCGTAGGGAGGACTTTGAGTGATTGTTATTGAATCATTGAAAAATCGCGGCCTAGATAAAAGCTTATGACAAAAGACCGCCACTTTGTAAAAGGAGTTTAGAGAGGACGAAGTCCGTCTTCAACGTGGAAAGCTGTATACCAACACAAATCCCGATCAAGATAATCGTGCAGCGTGAAAGGCAACGGGGAAAATCAGAATCGTCGAGTGGATAGGTTTTGCTTGAAAAGAAATGCTTGGTTATCGGCAGCGCATCCGGATAGTGGCATGTGCTCGGCAGGGGAGCTACGATATGGGGGTCACGCGCTAAACGTTCACTAAATGTACACTCTAATCCAATATTTGCCACCAGTTCATAACATCGTCATGCCAAGCATTTCAAACAAAATTTTGATGGTATTACCTACGTACTTTTCGATGTCCTAGATTCGTGTAAGTCGCACTTCATCAGTCTTCGTGATGACTGGTGTCTCTCATATCAGCTTGTCTGTTGTATACCTCAACGCATTCAACAGGCAGCGTTAAGTTATCCATCGCCTGCCTCAATCTTAAAGCATGGTTTCTCTCCCCGATATACATGGTCCTGAGAGGTTTGGCAACGAGCATTCGAGAAGTTTATTGCTTACTCGGATTTTCCATCAGGATCCCGAAACATCGAGTTCATAATAATTCTGTCAGCTTTTCACAGCTAATCTCTTTGCGCTGAAACCGTCATATATCATCTGCCATCTCCAGAATATTTCACTACATGGCTTCACTGCTTGCATTCCAATATCTACCCTAGTGGCGGGACATTCTAGGATAAAGCCAAAACGGAAGTATTGCCATGAGATACGGCTTATCAACAATGGTCCTCTAAATGTTTGAAGCGGGAGTCGAGCTTTTTGATATAATTTTGAGATTCTACACTTTTCTCCAATCAAGCTGTTCTGCCGTTCTTTCGATTAAATTGTATGCTTCTTTGTGCCACAGTTGGTAACAATATAGTCTATATTTCGTCTAACTAAGTTGGAGTTCGACTCAACGACTGATCACAGCCGAGCTCGAGGTCCTACCACCAAGGCCTCATCCTTTGCGAACTGATAATAATATTGCAAGCTCTGTGGATTTGCCAGTGTTACAGAAGGTTTGATGATTTTACCTGACACTATTTGCTTAACTGGAAGCTCAACTTTTTTCCCATTGACCGTGCTCTAGAAACTGATTAGACTGGATGACTGAGTAGTTGCACACTTCCTAGTATCTCGGGTGTCTCGAACACGTATTTGGGTACATGCCTAGGTGAATGCTCCTTCCTGATTGCTGCTCTCACTCGTCTCACCAGATCAGGGGTGAAAGCTTTCCCCGGTTTCATCAACAAGAAAAGCATCACACTTTCGTCATTATCTTGGGGCCGTCGCTGACCTACACAAATGCTATCCGCAATGATATCCGAGAAATTGGCATCGACCACACTGTAGATGTCTGCGCTCCCAAATCGGACTCCACTAGGATTCAACACTCCATCCGCTCGACCCAAGAAGATGACCTGTCTGGTCTGCGGATGAATCATGATGAAATCTCCATGTGTCCAACATCCTTCGAACTTCTCAAAATAGCTGCTGAATTAACGCTCAGCGCTGTTGGCTCCCCAGAGCTTGACAGGCATGGTGGGAAATGCCTTGGTGCAGACAAGTTCTCCTGGGACGCCACCCTCGACGGGAACCCCCTTTACTCCTTGCCCGCCTTCTATGGTCGAATCAAACACCTCGGCTGCCATGCCGAGTGATATACATTGGCAGCCGCCAACATAGACAGGAAGGATGGGATTCGCGGTCCCGAAGGCACTTGCTATGTCCGTTCCTCCAGAGATATTACACAGTTGTGTGGAGGGAGCGAAACCAAAATCATAGAACCATTCGAAGAGCGCATCTGATAATACCATTCCAGTGCTGGTAACGATCTTCAAATGGCTAAGATCCGTAACGTCTTTAGGATTGATACCATTCATTTGCAGCGTTTGCATGTAGCGAGGGGAGATGCCGAGATGGGTGATTTTCTGTTCCCCGACGAGGCGAATGAAGTTCTTCGGGTCTGGTGTAAAGGGACTGCCGTCATATAGAACCAATCTTGCTCCCATGAGCATCAATTGGACGGAGCTCATGTACATCATCCATCCTGTTGTCGTGAACTGCAGCTGGGTGGACGTATGATCGACACAGCGATGCAAAGTGGATTCCTTGTGCCCGCTCAATACAATGCCTCCAACCGAGTGAACGATGCATTTTGGCTGTCCTGTCGTGCCCGAAGAGTAGACGAAGATTGCGGCGGATTCACGGCACAGAATTATGACAAGAATACAGCTTTGGTTCGAGGCAACAACCTTGCAGTTGACCTCGAAGTCAATATCTTCTACGTCGTCCGTCGTGCCGAGGCGGGCAGGTTAGCTCTCGAATCACATACAGTTTTTGCATCGGACCGAACGGACATCAACATTGAAGATCGTCAACTCGGACATATCGGTTAAGGAAAGGATATCGAATGATTGGCCCTCTGAGCCGAAAATGTTGGCTCTCACTTATGAATCGTGGAATCTGGAGAAATATAGTAAATTTTGAATCTTGGTTACATGATGTGAAAATTGTTGGTAGGAATTAATATTGGTGAGGTTTTTTCTCTCGATTGTCTTTCAGCTGTTTAGACAAAGTAATGTTACGGAAATCAGGCTTCACGAAGAAGATAAAATCACACAAGTCATTCAAGAACCTTTGATTTACTGTACAGATGGCAGATAAGCGTCGGTATCCCAGACCTCACACATTTACAACACTACATATCTTGTATTCCCCACTATGCGCCGAAGTCCAGGCTGAAAAGCTCATCATATGAGAGGATGGGCTGTTGTAGGTCGTCCAGGCCGAGCTTCCACCAATCATAGCTATCATCGCTTTGCAAAAGAGGCGTGCTGGTTGAAGCAATACTCATCTGAGCCCAAGACATTGAAGTGTAAGGTATATCGCCGTCACCACTGCTTGCTTGATTGAGTCTTGGCTGAGGGATTTGATCATCCAGTCTGGCCTGAGCTGTGGAGGAGATTTGCTCCACTGGACCCGAATTCTCTTCCATCAACTTAGATAAGTTATTGGGATAAGACACTTTATCAAGTCCTTGAGCAGCAGCGTTATCGACCTTGACGTCGGGCTTCAGTCTTCGTAATGTATAATCCATGACAGAATCTGCAAGTGCTTCTGCAAGTTGTCCCGTGTCGCGTTTCTCACTAGCTAGACGGTCGAGGTCACTCAGACTGTCTTGCGAGACTTCCAGTCCCTCGTTTATGCGAGCACGATCTCTAGCTATCTGAGCCTCGTAAAGGACGTTGACTCGAGCCCACTGTCAACGTTAACTTTGCGCTCCAATCATCAAGTGACTGCAATCATCACTTACCAGTCGCTCTAGATTTTTCCAATATACTTTCATCGAGTTAATGAGTTTCAGATTAGATATCAAATTTGTCCGTGCAGATGCTGCTAGACTCGTATCTTTGGAACCAAGCAACGTAATTTGGATCGAGGAAGAAACATAGAAGCAATAGCCCACAAAGGAAGGAATCTGAGCAGCATCCCAATCCAGGGCCAACAAGTCTGCACCAAGCTCTGAAATTGCTTGAGCGCTCTTCAGCGCGATGCGAGCGCTGAGACTGGTTATTTCAACTGGAAATTTCTTGTGAAAATGCAATCCACTGAAATGTGGTACGAGAGAAATGTGAAGGACAAGCCGGCATTGGTGGTAGAGAGCATGGACAAAGATATAGACTGGTTGTTGGTTGACCACCAGCTGTTCGTAAAGCTTTCTTTTCGAATATAGAAAGGTTTCGGGTAGTGCTGCTAACCAAGAAGATAGTCTTCCTTCAAGTTCGAAGAGGTCGGCTAGCCAATCTTTGACAGGAGTGGTGTTTGCGGTTCGAACTAGATCGCGAATTTTGGCCCTGTAGTCGTTCAGATTTGGTTATAAGTGAGAATGGAAATCTTACCAGTTCAAAACCAGTACCATAAGCTCAGCCATGATACTTGGGCTCGCTGGCTTCTTGAATGGCAGTTTGGGGCGCTGATTGAGAATATCCGAGAGCGTCACAGACGAATGTTCAATATCTTCAGTGGAAGTGACATCCCCGAGCGGGAGGGGCAGATTCATAATCTGGTCGTCATAAGATGTTCCTACCAGGCGGTGATCCGAATTGACAAGTTGGGTGAACCAAACTGCCCAAAAACAACGCCTTGCTACCTCGGCATCTAGCCAGCGTGGAATTGCTCCTGTGATCGAGCTTGCCGAAGTTGACGGCAGAGAAGGTTGGTTGATGTCTAGACCTAAAGTGCAAGCTACCTTATAAGCAATGCCTAAGTAACGGTCGTATTAGTCAAGTACTTCACAAGCTTTTGACATATCTTATCTCACCAGAGAACATTGTATTGCGCTATGACTCGCCCGCAGAGAACCAGTAAAGAGTGAGTATCTCACATGTTTGAGCGCTCTCGAATGTAGACTGGTCGATGTCTTGCAAGACCTCTTTCCCAGCTTGAATCGCCCATTGTCTCCCAAGGCTTCTAATATCACCTAAGGGCTGGAGGAGCTTTGAATTTCTGATTGCAATGGATGATGTTGGATGGAGAAATCTGCACACCGTTAGATATGTGTCTGTATTAACTAAGATTTCGAGGCCATCACATGGTAGCGGAGGCATATACGGCCAATAGAACATGTCGAGATACGCATCCAGTTTTCAGTGCATTCGAAAATGTAGGACGGTGAAACACCAAGGTTGAATTAAACATGCAGCTAAAGTAGACATCCTGAAGCAAAGTTTGGACAGGGACCGAAATCTGTAGAACCTTGCTGGGCTCTGTTTTACCAACAACAAAGGAGCTGTCCTTGTCTTCTTCATATGTAGGACTTGATAAAGGCACTAGCAGATTTTCTTGGTCGTTGCTATTGATACATGGTTCTCGATTTCGGTTCTTCCTGGATTGTGCACGAGATGCAGCTAGTAATTTACGGTCTGGCGGTGCTGGGAAATTGCACACAGCGTTGAGCCTTGAACACCTGTCACACTTTGGGAGCTCCCGCGAACATCTTAGCTAATGATGGCAAGTGTCAGCTTTGTGTTTACCTCCATTCCATAAGCTTGATGGGCTACCTTCTGCTCTCGACAACGACGGCAAGCGGTTCTCGCAAGTGTAGCCATGCTGGTTAACAGGAGCGTGGAGAATCGGCACAACGTCGATGAAGCCGTCGGTCCTTAGCATAACAACATGTAAGTAAGATCGGTGTATCGCACAAGGCAGGGGGAGCTGTTGCTTATTATTGTTGATGTCGGCCCGAACGTACCTAAAGACCGGTGCAGGGCCTTGACTCGAGCTCGCGTATACCAACAACGAACTTATATCCGCGGCCTCTTGCATCTAATTCAGAGCCGTGAGGTCTCACAAATATTTTTTCTCATCACATTCTCGCACCATACAATCTTCGAACTCGATAATGTCACCCTCTGATGCTGTTGTTGAAGTCGGAGAAGGGGAAGTTTTCTCCTTATAGTCAAAGTAGCCTTCAGAGACGGCTACTTTGACTATAATATCGCCAAGTTCATAGGTCTCGCGACCTATTCCGGAGCAGAGATAGGCGAATGTTTCGAGACCGCCCATCGTATCAAGGATGGCGATTCAAAGAGTTGGGTCCAAGCCTGGGTCAGCACTGCCCGCCGAGTCGAAGCATACGGAGAAGAGGCCTTGAAAGGGAACCACAAAGTTAGCGCTAGAGAAGCTTTCCTGCGAGCGACAACATACTACCAGGCAGCATTCTTTTTCACGCTCCTCAGCGACCCTCGAAAGCCGGAAATATATCAAAAGCATACAGGTTGCTTCCAAAAGGCCGGAAAGCTGTTCGATCCTCCCTTCGAGACTCTGTCAATTCCCTTCGAGGGTCGCTCTCTGTTCGGTTATTTCATACGAGGTGGTTCGGATTCGAAGCCTCGTCCCACTGTACTCATACAGATGGGTGCTGATAGCAGTTCAGAACAGATATATTTCTCTGGTGGGGGCGCAGCAGCCGTGCGACTAGGCTATAATGCACTGATTTTCGAACGTCCTAGTCAAACCGGCACTTACATGCGCGACAATTCTCTCCACTACCGTTACGACTGGGAGGTGCCCGTCACAGCAGTGGTAGATTATGCTTTGACCAGACCGGAAGTCGACCCGGCAAGGATTGCTTTGATTGCGTATAGTATGGGGGGTTACTTTGGCCCACGTGCAGTTGCCTTCGAGAAGCGCATTGCCGCCTGTGTGGTCAGTGGACTTGTACCTGCCATAATGAATCTAGTTAGTCATTGGACGTCAGCTTTGACAGCCGCAAATGGCAATTACAATCATGCTCAGGAATGGCTGCTCTTTGAGCATATGCCTAGATACGGTCTCGTCAATGGCATCCACGATCTCGACAAACTTCTGAAAATTTGGGAATCCATGAACCTCTACGGTCTGGAGGATAGGATCACTTGCCCGCTCTTGGTTGTCCAGGCTGCGGCTGAGGGAGAAGAGAACACTAAGATCGCGAAAGCTTTCTACGACAAATTGACGAATCCAATGAACAAGTGGAGGCTCACTACCGAGACAGACGGAGCAGAGATTTACTGCCAGAAGGGTAATGCAATGCTCCTACATGCTATTGAATTTGACTGGTTAGACGATGTCTTGGGTTGATGTGGATGGTCTTCGGGTCAATATAGTATTCTTATCTTACCTAGTCAACTGTTTTTGTGACATGTACAGCAGAAGTAAGGGGGTATCTGATGACGATTTCACAGCTTTGAATTGCCCCTTTGTCTACTCGCTTAGAGAGCTGCCCCTTATTTCACTCGCTTAGCCGAACCGGTGACAAAAGTGCAACTCCCTCAATAATCAAAATTAAGATTAGACCATCAAATAAAGAACCTCGAGAGGGTCGGGTATGAAAAATCTCCAAGTGACAGAGAGCGATGATAGAAGAGGATTATCTCTGTCACGGGCTTAATGACTGTCTCTTCTTAGTCGGTTAAGTATCTTCGAAGTGAGAGTACTGTGAGATTGCCAAGTACGACCAAAGGGTTTTCCCGCATCCCACGGTCGAACGGATCCAACGCAATGACCAGAGCACAAGTTTTAATTACTGTGTAGGTGCAGTTTCGCATATCTGCAACTTGCAAACCATGCCACGTTCGGGCCGACGGCCTACCGTTTACCTTCTCTACCCCGTATCGAAATCTGAAGCCATGGCTTATACTAAAACCCATTATGTGCTTAGCTATTGCTCTAGATGCAAGAAGACGTACGCCATTCCTAATCATAATTCCATAAAGCTTCGATCCTTCCACCGAGCTTACCGTCTCAAACTCAAGAGACTCGCGCGAACATCTGAGCACCAAAGTAAAGACCAACACGATGACAGACACCAACACAATGAGGAAGCCACAGCGCTTCATCACTGGCCATAATTCTGAAGGAAAAGCAATAGTCCAACAAGTTGACGAGGGCGAGTGGAAGAAAATAGACAATGACATCGTGCGCTACAATGTCATGTGGACCACCTCCACTTTGCCTATCGACATCAAGAATGACGACGACTTGGCGAAGGAAAAAACAGTCCTCTCACTTTCTCTTCCAAATGGTACCGTCTTGCGAATGGTGGACAGGTCACCTGGTTCCGTTTCGGCTATGCATCGCACACAGAGTCTCGATTACGGGGTCGTGATTGAGGGAGAGATGGATATGATCTTGGATTCTGGTGAGGTAGTCACTCTGAAGCGGGGAGATGTATGTGTTCAGCGGCAAACATTGCATCAGTGGAGGAACAGTGGCAAAACATGGAATAGAATGCTATTCATTTTGATGGACGCTCTACCTTTGGAGGTTGGAGGAAAGGTTTTTAAGGGCGAGACTGGCTACGAGCATGTAAAAGAAATTGGATCCCGTCTGTGAGATTCTCTTCATGATTATTGTACAAAGTCTTGTCAGATAGTAATCTTGAGAGCAATAATTACTTCGTTGCACTCCTCCGAATTCAGACAGATTTACTCAACTCAGTTGTATTTGAAATTGGTCTTGCAATCATGTTACCGTGCAGTATGTTCCTGCTGTTTTTGATCGGCTCTGTAATATGACTGGTGGTGGCTTGCAGATTGAGGTCGAGAATCTTGGCCACACCAAACAAATCAGAATTACCCTTGACTAAAGTCAACATTGCATAGCCTCGAATATGCTCGAGTGAGACGTAGACGTAGACGTGTTCATGTCCGACGGGCCGAATGAGCTTCACTTAGTCTCGCAGGTACGTAAATTTGATTAGTCACGTGTAAACCTCCTCGCTCCAACATTTTGTGTTGAGCTTCGACGACAATTTCCTGGGTGACCGCCCCCAAAGACAATCCTTGAGTGGTGGATATTGACATGGACTAAAAGATTGAGACCTATGCTTTTGCAGTGAGCACATGCTCTATAAGGCGACCCCGCATTCCCTTTGACTGGGCAAGCCACACTCTATTCTCAATTTGACTGATAAAGAGCATCACTTCGCACCTGTCCCCTCCATTCTCAATTACTCGTACTTCGCAGATAATGGCTTCTGTAATAAGATCCGCTCTTCGCTATCTCGAAGTCAAACATGACGGCGAGCAAGAAATACCTGACGGACTACAGTCCAAATGGGGAAATTTCGACATTTTTCCTGTCCCGGTGGAGCAACGCCGCTTCAACATCTGGTCCTACTTCTCTTTTTGGGCTATTGCATCTATGAGTGTCACCGCATGGGCTTTCGGAGGTAACCTTTTGGCTCTCGGCTTGAGTGTTGGGGAGGGAATATGTTGCATTGTCGTTGCATGGACTTTCGTTGGCTTGTTTGCTTACCTTTGTGGTCATCCTGGGTCAAATATGAACTTAGGGTAAGTTCTTTTCCTTCGTTCTCGGCAAATGCCTTTGCTGATCACTTGAGGTGACTGTAGATTTACGGCTCTAGCCAGAACCACGTTCGGACTTTATGGTTCTTACCTCCCTGTTATGCTGCTGGTTTTCGAAAACGTCATATTTGTGAGTATCCACAGTTCTAATGGAATGTAACATCCAACTGATTGGTAGCGTGAGAGTAGTTCGGAGTCAATGCCTATTTTGGAGGCCTATCTGCTGTTGTTGTTATCAGTGCCATGTCGTCAAGCTTCAGAGTACTGAAGAACACCTTACCTGAAAGGTAAACGCTCTCCCCAGCTTCCATGTCGTTGGCTAACATAATTCAAAGTGCTGGTATCACCACTCAAGCGCTCGTAGGTTTTGTAATATACATCGTAATATTCCTGGTGCTACTACCTATTCATTCATCGAAGTTTCGTAATCTAGTTTAGCCAGCTGCTTGCGGAGTTGCAATCGTCTTCTTTGGTCTCTTCGGATGGGCCATCAACGACAACAATGGATCAGTCGGCAAATCCCTCACCTCAGACCTCGCTCTCTCGCCCACTGCTCTAGCTTTCGGTATGCTCTACGGTATCTCCACATCTGCCGGCTCTGCAACTGCATATTCAAGTCGTATGTCAGACTGGACGCGATTCAGCAGAACCAAGAATGCGCCTACGGTTCCTTTGTTACTGGGTGCTCCTATTCTAGGCTCGGTGACTTCGATTCTGGGCATACTTGCTACAAACGCCGTTCACAACAAGAACCATGTTGTTGAATGGAATCCACTTCAACTTTTACTTTGGCTTCAGAAGGACAAATATAGTCCTGCATGTAGAGCGGGAACTTTCTTTGCTGGACTTGCACTTTTCTATTCTCTAATTATCGTAAGTAGGAGGCTAATGCGCATCTAAGTGACTATTTCCACTAACACTTATGTTTGTCAGAACAATCTAATGGGAAAGATTGTCCCAGCCGGAATGGACTGCGCGGGACTTTTTCCTAGGTGGATCACCACTCGCCGAGGATCTATCATTCTATGCATTATTGGCATCATAATACAACCATGGAGGTTTGTAACAGAATCGACAACGTTTCTGAAAGTCTTAAGTTCCTTCGGAGGAATGTATTCCCCATCGAACGATCTATTTTCACAGAATCTAACTGCCACAGTCTTCGTGTCGCCACTCACAGCCATACTGGCTGCCGATTACTGGCTGGTACATCGACGCAAATGGAATGTTCCCGATATATTCAAACAAGACGGTATATATTGGTACACATTCGGAGTCAATTGGCGAGCCATAATTGCCTTCACCCTCAGCATCGTGTGGTCCATGCGTGAGCTCCCCAGCCCCAACACTAGCAACAATGCTAATTTTCGTCTCCAGCCGGCTTCGTATCTAACGTCAAATCAAGCCACATTACTACCGGCTGGACGAGGATGTATCAGATGAGCTACATCGTCAACATTGCTATCGCAGTTGTGGTCTTCTGCGTTCTTTCTCTTGCATTTCCGCAGGTGGGCCTCAGGACTGCCGCGGCCTGGGGTGAAGCGCCTACCACATCAGTAAACAGTATCAACGACTTAGAAGCAATGGCTGATAAGGATGGAGAGCCAGTGGAAGTTGAGTACGCATGATGTTAAGAAGTTAAACTCGGTAAAAGCCGACAGAACAAGATGCCACGCGCCAGGAAATCTCAGCTCTCAAGTATCGGAATTGATTCCTGTGAAGAGTGAATTTATAGCATCCTGCCAACGAAGAATCACTTGAAAGTCTCGGTAGAACTTGTACGTATGTACAGCCGTGGCCCATTCTCATTTCTGGGGACACCCACTAAAATTCCAAAACCCCAACATCAACCCTCCTTCTCAAACTCCCTCTCCTCCGTCTCCCCCCATAAAAAAAAACTCAAACCTCACCACCGAAGTAGGGAGACCGTAGAAAGCTTGCTCGGATAATATAGTGTTACTTGCTAAGTCTCCTGCCGGAAGCACTTCCTGGGGTTTTTGCAAAATCTTGTTCTGTGCTGTATTCTCACACTGGGTCAATAGCTCTGTGCAATACATTTCGGTCGAGGACATTCACAATATACATCATCTACCATCACACAGCCTCTATGCACGCCCTGACCAGTAAATCTCTCGATTGTATAGACATAAACCGACATAATCTCATTGAAGAGCCTAATCTTCTTGACAAGTGGGGGTATTAAACACATCTCCCGAGCAGAGAAGATAACAAGAAGCAGGAATATGATACAACCATAAACATAATAACCCAATCCCAAAATCCTGTACCATAACCCCTTTTTTCATACCATCACTTCCTCGCCCTTCCAAGCCGAGCACCAGCGACCGCTAGTCGATCAGCGGCTTCGTTTCCAGGGTCATTGGCATGGCCTTTGATCCACGTAAAGGTCGTCACCACATCCTGGTCGTCTCTCTCCTCGATCTTCGTCCTGATATCTTTAATCAGATCCTGGTTCTCGACATCCTTGCCCGTCGAGGTTTTCCAATCCCTCTTCATCCAGTTCTGATACCAGACCGTGACGCAATTGATAGAGTAATTGCTATCAGTAATGATCTCCAGATCCCGATCTTTCGGAGCAATCTCCAGCGCTCTCAGAATTCCCGTTAATTCTGCACGGTTATTGGTTTGAGGCATGCCTTCTAAGGGCTCAGAAACATTCCTACTACTTATTAATCATCAGAACCGCCAGCGACAGGAATGTACGTATACAGGCAGACAGAAGGGAAACTCACCTCGAATCCAAATCCCCAAACCAGACACCCACACCAGCAACCGATCCCTCCTGCCCATTCCCCAACGAACTCCCATCCGTATAAACAGTCGTCTTCCTCTTACTCGACGCTACCTTGGCCTTCTTGACCACCTTCTCCTCCGTATGTACCTCTTCCTTTCCCTTCTTCGCCTTCGCAGCCGCAGCAACAGAAACCTTCCCCCCACTCCTAACAAACTCCTCCGCCTCCGCCCGCGTATCAAACTTCTTATACTTCGGCCCCTTCACATCCTTAATCTGCACTGCCGCGATGGCCCAATCCTCGTACACGCCTGGTTTATGCCCGACTGCCACGCCGTAGAACTTGCCTCCCGCATTCGACCCCGTGGGCTTGCCGTCGACGAAATCTTGCGCTTCTTTGCGGGAGAGGAAGGATTTATCTTTTTTTCACAACTCTATTAGCAAATATCCTTCACGAGAAAGGGGAAGAGGGGAAGATGGGAAGAAGATGCATACAACTCGCGCCCTTAAACCCCGTGGTATTGTCCTGGCACTCCTTCCACGTTAGATAAACACCAGGTTGTTTCCCCGCCCTCACAGCATAGAACTTCTGCTCGTCACCCGCTAGTTTGCGTTTCTTGCCCGCAGACGACGACATCTTCCAAGCTTGACTTAGACCGAATCTCCAGCTCTTCAGAAGTAGAAGTTCTCTCTCGAAAAAGTCGACGATGCGACTGCCTTTATGCTTCTTGTTCTTCGATCGAATGTTCCTCGCAAGACTCTACTCGAAAGATCTACAATCAGCAAAGGCCGAACAAAGAAAACCGGAGAGCACGCACGCACACGTACGTGCAAGCGGGGCAACGACTCACGAGGCTGAACGAGCGCCTTACCGCGAACGAGTGGTCGACGAGTCAACAGCGCGAACCGGCTACACCTCTCGAGGATGATCCGCGGAGGAGGAGGCGATCCATCCGCGCACGAATTTATTTATTTGGGTTGGTGGGCAAGTAAGTGGGCGTGGGGAAACGGACGATGTGATGTGATGTGATGTTCATGATGCAGGCTTCGGTTCGGGGAAGCAGGGCTGACGGATGATCGTCCCGGTTTTGGTGGCCTTACCCCTGAGTTGAGGAAAGGACGAATGGAATAGCATGGAATGGATTATTTGCCCACACAGACATGATTTCGCCTCAATTCTTTTGGAACACGGGATGAAGTCATAAAAAGGAAGGTGGGGGAATTTTTGTAGTTGGATTTTCGGGATATGTCTGCTGATCCGGGTCTGCGTGCATTATGCCCGGATTTTCTTTAGCTAGGTAGTTTCCAAGGTTGCAGACCGAGTGAGTGTTACACCAGTGGCAAATTGAAAAAGAGACTTGGGTAAGCATTAATTGAACTGATCAAACGATTTTTAGGCGGCACAGTGCACATATGGAGAAAGAGGAAAGAGAGCTCAATGTATCTCAGCAGATCATCGCTGTTGTATTCTCCGCAAGACTGGCTCGAAGCCTTCGCTTGCAAGCCTCCTATGTTACAAGCTCTCTAATGCGGCTGATGCACTGAAGCCATGTCTAAGGGGGTATAAACAGCCTCCTGCTCTATAAACGCCGTACCATGCCTGCCGTTGAACGTGTTCTCATTCGTTTCCCAAAGTTTAAACATCCCATGATATATACTTGTACACAAAACCAATAAACACCAGATATGCCGCCGTTCGATGCAACGCTATGCCCAAATGTGCATCCGTTCCACCAACACCAAATGACCCCCCTGCAGACGTAAGTGAGAGGTCCGAAACGGGCGTTACACGCGATGAGAAAGAGAAAGAGCGAGTGGCGTTAGTAAAAGAGAAAGATGCCTCCATATGCCGTTGAAGTCGTAAATAAGGAAAATCCGTGGCTTCGTAAGAGGTGGAGCCACCATGCACATTATGCCAGAGAAGAAGAAAAGAGATGAGTTGCGTTGCGTTGTGTCATCGTGTTGAATGGATGACCGAAAAGAGGACGATTGCTTTAAGCGGTGTGTGAAGTAGCTCTGGTAGGCTTGTAATCCTTCACTTCTTCGAAAGTCCACACATCGTTGCGGCCTTCATTGTAGCGGTAGGCGTGGAACTCGATACCATATGGCTTTGGTTCGATGGTGTATAGCATACCCAGAGGAACATCAAGGTCTGCGATATCGTCACGCGTCAGGTCCATGAAGTAAGCCATGAGAACACGGCAAACAGAACGATGAGCAATGATGAGGACGTGGTCCTTGATCCGTTCAAGCTCACGAACCATATCACGCAAGCGGCTGATAACTTGCAGATATCCCTCGCCACCGACACCAGGATAGATGTAGCTGAGCTTATCTGCCTTACGTTTTGCGTATTCAGCAGGGAACTTGGATTCGATCTCTGCATATGTGAGACCTTCAAAGTCGCCAGCATCCAGTTCCTTTAGCATCTCCCAGTTCTTGACATCGTAGTCATCATCATTTTGGAACTCTTCAGCTGTTTGGACGCTGCGCTTCAGGAGAGAAGTCCAGACACAGAAATTCTTCTCATCAAGATCACCAAGCAGTTCGGGATACGGTGGAGTCTTGTCACCTGGCATCAAAGGCAATGGATGACCTTCGAGTGCTCTCCTTTTCTGATCGTGTTCCCAGTCAGCCCGTTTTGAAGAGATGAAATTATACAGTGTCGTCGCATAGTGTTGGCCAGCTTCTGTGAGTTCAGAATCACCGCCGATCTTGCCACTGAGGTTGTCCGATGATTGACCATGACGAGTGATCCAGATCTGTCTTGGAGAGAGATTGAAGGTGGAGAGGTATGAAGCAATTCCGGTTGCAAGGAATCCTTGAAGGCGATAGTGAATGACTTTTCTGCCGACATCGATCATCTTGATATACTGCATGCCGTTCTTCTCCTCAAATTCTCCAAGAGGAACATAAGCACTTTCATATGCTTTGACACGCTTCTTGAAATCAGCGAGAGAGCTTTCTGGGTCCTTGTCCTTGTAGTCCGGGCCTCGAAGCTTGAGGTGCATGTTTGCCTCAAGAAGCTAGCAATCATTAGTCAAAAACCTTTACTGCAGAATGTATCCTTACCTTCTCGTCCTCACAGACACTCTCAATGAACAAGATACCCAACTTCTCCTCACGAGCCTTGATGTGCTTAAAAAGAATTTGTCGTCTCTCGATTGTGCTGTTAGTGGCGTCCAAAATACCTACAGAGCCGCCTTGATTGAGGAGAAAGTCAAGAAGCTCATCACAAGTGGACAATGCAACTTGCTCTCTGATCTTAGAAGCTGCCTCATTCTTAGGGTCAAAGAATGTAGCAGATTGCTCCATAGTATCAGCACTTGGAAGCTTTGCGAGCTCATTCTGTTGTTCAACTGGATCAACTCCATTAAGGAGGATGTGAGCAGCCTGTGTTGGCTTGTCGATTATACCTGCAAGTGATGTGGTTCGGACAACGTTAGAAGGTCTGGGTGAGGTTGGGGGAGAACTTGGACGAGACAAAGTACCACCACTTCCGGCAGCAACTCGTCTGCGATTACCAACATTGAAGATGCGCGCCTCGTGCTGCTGCCAGCCCAAGTACCTTGCAATCTTCTTTGTTATGTATGACTTTCCTCGAGCTGGGAGTCCAACCATGACTACCACAAGCTTTGCGCCTACATCTCGCTGCGAAATCTTGCCGTCAGGAGACACTCGAGATCGGGTCATTCCAGGGATGTTAAGCGTGGTCGCTGGTGGTCTGACTCGAGGAGTCGTCGAGCCTGAATTTTGTCGGACTGGTGGCCTGTCAATCTGTTAGCAGTTGATCTGCGAAGTGAATTGCTGAAGCAGGTGCGTGTTGATGGCGACGGTCTTAGGGCAAAGGGCTCAATAGTAACCCAAGATTGGAAAATTTACTTACAATCGCGGACTACCCGGCGCCGTCGAGGTCGCGCTGCGCGGTGGGGTATCGTTAAGTGCGTGGTGGCCATCGCCGTTCTGACTATTTTGGTTGTTTTGGCCGTTTTGACTGCTTGTCATACTGAGCTGTTGAAAAACGCGCCCGAGCGAACCTGTAGTGGTCATTGAAGAACCAGGAACTGTAAGTTGATCTTGATGGATCTGAGGGTAGAGAGATTTGGGGAGTGCAAAATCGCGATCGTTGATTGAATTCGCGATGTTGCTTTGGAGTGGGAGGGTTTCTGGCGAAGACATGATTAGGGTTGTTGAATTACTCATGGCGGCTCTTGCGACCAGTGAGTGGGATGACGTTCGAGCTTTGCTAGCTTCAACTGTTGTTGAACGTGAAAACGAGTCAGTGGGGGGCGTGTTCTGTTCTGATGGGTCTTGCTGCAAGAGTGGAGGCTCTGGGAGAATTGTGGATAGACTTACATGAGTTTGCGTTCTCTTTGCTGGTGGTGTTGGAGCTTGAAGGCTGACTGACGGAGTCCATCTTGAGACTTTGCTGCAGGACCCTGTCTTTCTATGATCGGCAGCGACAGGGGTTCAGCAAGGTCCGGGCGATTGGTTCGGACGCCGAAGCGGTGGCTGACTTCCTGCACCGCGACCGGTGGATGGGCGGGCTTGCTTTTTTTCTCTGGTTGCGACCGGACTCAGTCATCCACAATGACTCCGAGAGGGATTGGGATCTCTGGGAGGAATTAAAGACCAGTGGAAGCGCAGTTGAATGCGCCGTGGGAACTGAAGGGAGAGGGAGAGGGAGAGGGAGAGGGAGAGAGATCGAGGAAGGAACGATCTTGCGGAGGAGACGTTGTTGTTGCTGTTGTGAATCTTGCGAGTCTGTTTTGTCCGTACTGGTGTTGTTGGAAATGAATTGATACCAAGCCCGCAAGCGGCCGCTAGTCTCGCACCGCTCTAATCGATAGGCCCGGCCCCACTGGCCAAAAACCAGGACTTGGATAACCGCCAACAGAACACCAAGGTGTCTTGTGTTAGAGGATGTGTATCGCCATGGTGGATGCTGTTTGCTGAGATTGGCAGCAGCACGACCGCACCGGATTCCTTTCTGTCTTTCGTGCTTGGGCGATGAAATACTGCCAATGCTTGGGTGAGATGCGGACGGGCAGTCCTCGGATTCCGTGCCACGATGTGCGAAGGTACGGATGTATGTTGAAGAGAGATGGTGGTTGTTCAGATAAGAAAGGAAAGTCTTGTAGGTTCCCTATAATCTCTGTGACTCTCTCTAAGAGCCTCGTCCGTGGGCGGCGATGCTGCTTCCGGGTAGTGGCAGCCCTTTGTGCAGGCTGCATGTTCCTGCCATTGGTCACTGATGATACCTGGCAAGCACGCTTCCATGAATCCCGTCCCATAGGTTCGCACAATCACCACCAAGCAAGGAGTCCTTAGCAAACCCAAGGAGCCTCTGAGAATGTCCAAGAAGTCCGATAAGCAGCGTCACTTTCCAAGCCGTTTCATCCATCTTGTTTGGACTGTTTTTAGCTGCCTTCCTAACCACTCAAGTCCTGATCGTCAAAGTGTTGAGAGATAAGCTTCCCCGGTCAAACTCCGTTAAGGCTGTCACCACGCTCTCTATTGGCAGACGACCGTGCAGTCATGCATTCTCGCCCTGACTATCCTGCCAAGCAGGGCATGGACTCAACAGCCTTGCTTGTGCGAGGCTGCATGTCGCCCCGAGCTAGCCTGTGTGCCTCACAGTCGCATCGCTTGACGTATTCGCAGTATGGACAGCGATTGAAACAATACACATGGGAAATGAGGTGAAGCGAGCTATAGCTGACGAATAAGCCCAATACACTGTTATTATTGAGTGTTCGCTTGCCTAAACCATATACAGCACACCAAGGAGAAATAGGTCTTGCTGGTATCTATATTTAGGAGAAAATAACAAAGCAATCAAAGTTATTGAGATAGTTCGCTAAGTGTAGCGATGTTCGATACTTCTCGTTCAAGATAACACAAACGTTCGATATCTTCAAGAAAGTGCAAGAAGTACAAGCTTCCGCGTTGGACAGCTGTTACTCGTTGGCTATTCAAAGCTTTAAGCTTGTGGCCGACTCACGATAAAACAAGTCGGCTAAATTTTGAATTGGCCGACGAGTACTCCTGTATCCGGGCCCATCTTCACAACTGGTGAAAGTCAAGCTTGGTACAAGTCAAAGACAACCATCCATTCGAAACCCAAGAAAGAAACACTCGCTTATCTCGTGCTGAAAATATTCATAGGCTTGCCTTAAAAAGGCCTTTGCAGTGTCCCTCTTTGTGTGTAGCACTACATTAGGAAGGCTTGTCGAGCGCTGTGTTCAATGTTGTGCTCTTGCCCAGGTGTTGGAATTGTATGATGGCTGCTGATCCAGATCAATCTTTGTAGATCTGGGCTTGGCGGAAGTTCTGTCCCTCTTGGGACACTATATCCTGAATGCTTCCGAATGTGAGGGTTTCGATGGACGATATGGCAGGCGGGACATGATCGAGGTGTCGTTATCCCTTGCATTTGCCAGCTATCTAGTTGTTCGTGTAGATGCGAGCAAGTGGTTTGCCGATTGCTCAGGGGGTATCTCGTGGATAACCTCCGTTGTGTTGTATCTGTCTTGTCTATTCGATTGGATGTTAGCAATATCATGTGCCTTCTTAACTATGCCCAAGCGCTTTCCATTTTTACCTAATTCTCTGCCCAACATAGAGCATTTGTAAACTCCTTTCTGCCAGACGTCAGTCGCACAAGATCCTACTCACGAGTAGGCCGTATCCTATTTGCTAAGCGAGCCGTGTTGCTTCGCTATGGCTTGCTTTTCCTGCTTCGTTGCACAACGTCAGCAGCGTCAACGTGTACAAAAAGATGAGGTTAAATGTGCTCTCCCGTTATAGGCTCCTTCTCCTGTAAACAAGGCTGCGTGTTCAGTTTCGCTGCGCCGATCAATCGTGAGTCGGTCAATTGGACATGAGATAACATCGTCAACCCGTGAGTCAACTTCACTCGCTAGGAACTCCTTATGAGGACTCTGTCTTATTTATAGCGTCGCTTGGTATATCGCGTAATTTGGATCGGTATCTAGCGACTTATGGTGGCGGGGGACCTTCTTGTAAGTTGACTTGGCGAGGTATTTGCCATCTTCTCTTCGCAGCAGTATTGTGCGTATGAACCATCTTACAGTCGCTCCATCCCAAGTGTGAACATCGTGATGAGGCTGTTGAGTTGTTCTGCAAATCATCGGGTAACTGGCTGGTTATGGTAGGCAGGCGCAAAGATCCAGGCGGGCTCTCCATCCAAGGAGCATACCTGGAAATCATTTCTGATCTGCTCTTCAGCCCAAAGAGCGTGTATTAAAGTCCGCCGTGTCATGAGACAATTCCTTGTGATGTCGTCCAGGAAGCCCGGAAGTAAGGCGTGGTTTGCTCTGCTTGCTTTGCGCCTGCTGATGGCCAGTGTTTGCGCGTCTTTCTCGATGCAATCGAAAGTCAGCACGAGGCCTCAGAGCTTGTTCGAAGCTCTCAGCTGCCTCTATAGTAGAAGCTAGACTTACAGGCACGTATCTTCTCCATACTTCAGTGCTGTAAGGTGTGGATTGAGTTCTTGATTTACGCGAGAGCACTGCGCGAGGGGCGAAAAAAGTTAAAGAACTACCGCAGTTGTAAGCTGTCTGACGCCTCTTCGACATCAGCTATAAGAGATGACATCATCAATGACATTCAACATATTCTTCGGGTTAATGAGGGCTGTGGAAAGCTGTCGAAGTTGGCACGTTGACAGAGGGGTGGAACCCTCGCCTCCTCTGGGGAAGAAAGGACAAGTGAAATTCGCGAAATTTAGCGAGGGGGTAACGAGATACAGAGTGTCGACGAAGATGATCATGATACTTGCGTTTCATGATCGTAGTGGTGTTCGAAATGAAGATGAGTTGTAGCAAGAGAAGTTTGGTAGGAAGGGGAGGGGTCGAACGCTATCCTCCTTTCAGCAGAGACAGGGAAGAAAGGACAAGTGAATTAGCGAAAATTAGCGAAGGGGCGAAAAAAATCCCAGACCATTAACGATGATAATGATGATTATGTCTTTGATTATGGTGATGTTCGGGACGAAGATGAGTTGCAAGAAGAGAAGTTGATAGGAAGGGACCTGCGAATCACGCACCCAGCCCTGTTCCCGCGTTTCGGACACCCCGCCATAAACATTGCACATGCATAAGTGGAGCACAATGGATCTCATGTCGATGTCAAATTCGCCGTTGGCATCAAGAAAAGTACCTAAGTGCGTTTCTGAAATCTAGATTGTTTTCATACTAGCTGCTGAGGAGTCCATCAGTTGCAAATCTGAAGGCTTGTGACGAAAGAGCAGCGGCTACCAGTGATGAAGCCACACTTAACATTCCATCAACACTCACTTGTCAGGTAAGCACATCGAAAGTCAGTACGCCCAGACAATAGTATAGACGACATTTCCGCTACTTCTGGGAGCGCCTTCCTTATGACTTTGGACTGATCTCGCATCGAAATCATAGGTAGAAAGTTCGGGAGCGTATGGAACATTATCAAAAAGAGAAAGGAAATAAGGGGGCCTATAATGTTTCGCATTTTGCTGGTCTGCTTCAAGCTAAGTTGGGCACCTGAAGTAGTAGGAGAATTCCGCCAATCTACGTTACTACTTCTCATAAAGGCGAGCATAGTATGATAGTAGTATATTTTCCTAAATGAAGCTCATAAATTCAAAGGGCTACACTGTTAGGGCCATAATTTTCGTCTTTAAGCTTAATGTTACTACTAAACTTTCAAGATATTTCAGGTTGCACGTCACTGTAGTTTTTTAAATAGGGAAATGTCATCATCGAACATCCGATGATCAAATTACACCAACTATAACTACATCGAGTATTTCCTGTGTTTGCAATCTTCGATCATTCCAAATAACTTCATAGTTTATCGAGGCACGTGAGCTCAATCAAACAGAATGACCTAATTCATTGAGAACGTCATAAATCAGGATCAAAACCAAGTCCTTCAAGCCAATTACCGAAAGATAGAAGTGTCAAATGACACAATCCATCGTAGCAGGAGTATAGGAAACGAAGGATTAATCTCCTCCGAATCGGTGATCGAGATTCGGTACTTTTTATCCCACCCAACATATTCCACCAGCTATCAATCTTAAGGGATCTAGACCATCTTAATGACATACTTAAGTCATCATAAGTCTCCGGAGTTGTTGCCCTAATTATGGGTAGTTTAAGGGAACTTGTTTTCTGTTGTAAATTGACCGGCTTACCTTGATCCCGTGACTTGCTCTCACCAGTGCTAAGGCTTAACATGCGACCATATAGATAATGAGAATTTGTAGTCATAGTTCAGAAAAATCCTTAAGAGCTTTAATTTCCAGGCCATTGGCTTGACAATTTGCATGTTCGTCAAATTCCAGGTCGCGTCTCGTAGAACTGGTAGTGGTCACGAACATTGCATATTCTGAGACTCAACATCGCACACTTCATTATGACTACGAAATCTACTCTTTATGCAAAGTAAACAACTGCTTTAATCAAAGTATAGCAAAAGGAAACATGCCGAATTTCTATCATGACATTCCAGGTATCCTCCTCCACGCTGAACACCTGCTGATGCCTCCCAACTGGAGTTGTGAACTCGGGACTGAACTGCCCTGTTCAAGTCTAGTCAACTGCGCAAATGGAAACCCAACTCTTCTCCGAACAAAAGAAATCTCCTGCTTCTGTGCCGTTTCTTGGCTTCTACAACCACCACAAAACCCAATACACTCATGCATTAAAGCATCCCCTAAGGCTTCGGACCCATAGCAACACTCTCCTGTCTGAGTTCATATCTGCTATCTTGAGACTCCGGGTCGCGGTTGTGGCCCTTTAGTGTGGCCTTGGTGATAATCCTGCTTGGATGATAGACATTGAATAGTACCATCGTCAAGAACATCAACGTGGCGTCGAAGATATGCAGGAAGTACTCGTGCGCCAACAAGAAGCCGTCTTGTCCCATGACATACTCGGCGATACGGAATACTGATCGAATCATGATCATCAAACTGGCACCGTATAGTACGAACAAGTAGCTTTGCCATGGAACCGTCAGTTGCTTGGAACGAAGGCTAGGCATGGCGCGGAGACGGTAGTTGAAGATGCCAGCGACGATAATGAAGAGACCGAAGAAGAGAACTTGGATACCGAGACCGACAGTGATGACATGCTCGCCAGTGTTGGTGTCGCTTTTCGATTTGGCCTTTGCAAGCATACCGCCACCTGCATCACTTAATCAGCATAAACACTAAAGGATACGCGTCTTGAGCATTTTCTCGTGGATTATGCTTACCTCCAGACTGTGCCAAGAAAGAGATAACATCTCCAGCCACAAAGACTTTCGTCAACCACTTGACCCTAATCGGAGAATGTGCCTCGCCATCAGTCAACACGATGATGCGCCCCAGAACCATATATATAGAAGCGGCGAATAGAGCAGGAGCCAAGAGTAGCAACAAGCTTTGCATAATGTAGGGACCAGTCGTCCAGTTCCCATAGGTCTGCCCCGCATTGAGAGCTCGTCCGACATAGCCAAGGGTCTCAACTAGTGCCGAAGTCAGACAAGCTTTCGGCATTTGGAGATGAAGGAACAACTTACAGAAACCACCGATGAGAAATGGTATGAAGTACCATGTTCGCTTCTTGAGTAATTGGAAAGTGTGCAGAAGGGTTGTGATGGCGAAGCAGGCAATGAAAACAATTGCTGCAGGTCTGCTCGGATTGTAATGGTAAAGATAGTACTTCTCGCCGGCTACCGACATTTTGACTTATGGAGGAAAGTAATACCCTGCAGGAATTTGAATTGCGTGTGCGAGTGAGGCTTGGAAATGTTTCGGGTCGTGAAATGTATGGGATAAAGTCAATTGAAAGGGAATAAGCCTATCTATATACACATCAAGACACGCCAAGAGAATACTAGGAAAACGCATATTGACACGAAGGAAATCTCCCAATTGCGCAGGCAACAATGAAATGCACCTATAAAAATATCGAAGAATATTTCCCTCGTACTGTCGCATCGTCGTATCGTCGTTTACCTCGGAGCGAAAAAGCTTAAAGCCCAAATAGGGTAGTTCACGATTTTAATTGGCTGCTTAACCGATAGCTGAAAGCTTCTCGTTCTCGTACAAAATGAAACTGTATCCGAGCTCGAGCTGAGGACGACAACTTCATGAAGGAACCCGAAGATCTCGCACATCAGCAAGCCATTTTGTCGCTCCGCCAGCTCGCTGACGCGTTCGGATTCTGTCGCATACAAAAGACCTCGGATTCGAGGGCTCCTGGTTCCGGAACACACCCTCGAGCATCTCGCCGGATACGGCCGTCGTCATAGATGGATGGTCCATATGTTAAGCCGTCCGCCCGCAAGACGCATCGAAAGACGAGGACTGGGTGCCGGACCTGTAAATCACGGAAGATCAAGGTGAGTTTCGTCAATTGTGATGTGCTTGAATCCAGCTGTCGTGGGTAAAATTTGTTTCGATTTGACTGCCGAGGATATATTGGTGACTTTAAGCCATGTGGCTGAGATCTACACTCAGCACGTGACTTGACTTCCTCTACTTCGTACATTGGCTCTCGGGGTTTATCTTCTAGTGAGAAGTCGTTGTTGGCACAAACTTCACCCTACAGAATTATCTTCTACCTATAGAAGTCTTATGCATTCGTAAGGCAATCAAAGAAGAAAACTTACCTCTATGCAGTTGTCACTCCAAGTTTCTGTTCAAATTATCTGGAAACCATAGCTAATGCTTCCCATCTAGTGCGATGAGCAGCGTCCATCATGTCACAATTGTATCAAGCATTCTGTGCAATGCGACTTTCTGGTGACAGCTTCCACTGGGTCAGTAGGAGGTTTATCCAATGTAAGTAGAGATCTGACTATCCGGCGACTTGGGGAGTCCAAGTAGTCTCCTGCTGACACCTTGCAGACAGATACACAATCAAACAACAGTCCCCATGTTTCACATGAAACTCCTCAATTCGATCAAAATGGAGTTTCCTCTGGGTTGAACGAAACATCTTTACCATCGTTAAACTTAACTGACCTAGAGCTTCTCCATAACTATACCACCTCGACGGCATTCACATTACATACAGATCCAGCACTCAAGACACTATGGAGAATTAATGTGGCTCAGCTCGGGTTCGAGAACGATTTTGTGATGCGAGGCATTCTTGCTCTCTCTGCTCTTCATTTGGCACGCTTCAGGCCTGAAAGGCGGGATTTTTACATGTCCCAAGCCATTACTCAACATCAGGCTGGGCTAAGAATGACTACTGGACTGATATCGAGCATTACGAAAGAGAACTGCAGTGCTGTAAGCAATCCCACTGTCTTGAAGTCCTAGCCACCTAACACTAACTTCTTCTAGATCTATTTATTCTCAGCACTTACTCTGTTTTTCACACTCGCTAGTCCACGCAAACCAGGCGACTTCCTCCTTGTAGGCGAGAATGGAATAGCAGACTGGCTGTATTTGGTCAGAGGCACCAATTTCATCATCGAATCCTCCGAAGAATTTCTATTCAGCGGCCCCCTTGGTCCCATGTTCATGGCTGGTAGACGAAGAACGGAACTCAAAGAGCGAATCCTTGCAGAAACTCCAATACAAGATGACCCACTCAACGAACTCATCATCTTAATCACGGAGACGAGCCCCGATCGCCAAAAGCTACCTATCTACTTATCGGCCATCAACACTCTTCGAAAGTCGTTTGTTTTCCAAAACAAACAAGCTCCACCAGGCCACGAAACGGGTGACATCTTCTTTTGGGTGTTTCGTATCCCTGATGATTATCTTGAGCTTCTAAGACAGCATTCGCAAGAGTCACTTGCTATATTGGCATATTTCTGCGTGGTTCTGAAGCGGCTAGATGCCCATTGGTGGATGGAAGGATGGAGCACTCATCTGATCTCGAAGATCTGGAACCTTCTTGATGAGGAGCATCGGTATATGATCTAACCTCTCCCATGTAGACAGTCCTTTGCTAACTATCTGCAGATTGTGGATCAGATGGCCAATAGAGGAGATCGGCTGGATTCCAAGTTGATGCTCTAGTGAAATATAACTAGAGTTATGATTATGTCTTCTCGAAAGACCACCTTGTCTCCCAAGACTGCAGAACATTCGTCAAGCCAGACTAAGAGAGGTCATGGGGCGTTGCATGCATTACGAATTTCTTTTTCTTAGAAAAATGCTTAGGTTGAATACTGTCCGGATTGACAACTGTACAAGTATTTGGGTTTTTAGTATTGTAGGTTTTGCAATTGGCGTGGTCTATTTTCAAAGGCGGGGCCTTGCTTCAGACAATGGGAGATAATCGCAAGGCTGCTGTAGTTAATCTTTGCAGGAGGCGGCCCATCGAACTCGATTGACGACTGAATTGAGCTATGTACTTTATCCAAAATGCTTCAGTTTTGTTCTAGTTATACATTGTTTGTCGTATGTTGTATGTTTTCTTGCTTTCCTATTTGATGCATTACATTCGTTAAGAGTATTATTTCTATTGGATGTTGACCTTGTGGCTGCGCCCCACCTGCACCTTCCAGTGCATCCAGCCTCACTCCTTCCTCATTCAATATCCTCGTACACTGACTAGCCTTCTTTTCAACTTACTTCCTCTCGGACCAAATTCTTCTCTCCCTCAACATGAAACCATACCAGTACCAACCACTTGTTCAAAAAGACGCAATCCGACTCATTGGCCTCCAGCCTTCTCCAGATAAAGAAGCGAAAGTGCGTTGCAAGATCGTTCACACAACACTCAGCGCATGTGGGTATGATATAATCGATCACTACACTGCTCTATCGTATGTTTGGGGCAACGCAAGCAAAACGGTCAAGATAGAGGTTGAGGGCCGTGACCTCGACGTTACGGTCAATCTTGATTCAGCCTTGCGTCACATGAGGGATGCTGTGAGATCGAGATGGGTATGGGCTGATGCAATATGCATCAATCAGCAGGATAACGAGGAGAAGGGACATCAGGTTGGGCAGATGTGGGTTGTTTTTTAAGTCTCTCTTGCTCGGAGATCGTCTTCTGATTTCTGTGATCTGCAGGGCTGAAGTATACAAAATGGCTCACCACACGATCATCTATCTAGGCCACTCTAATACTGATCTGGACAAGTGGATAACAATCATGACAAGTCAGGACGTGTTGCAAACGCTAGACCAAGGTAGATTGAAGGCATCTGAAAGTCACGAACTGGATTTCTTCCGAACCCAAACTCGATTAGCCCTCCAACGAGATTGGTTCAAACGAGTCTGGGTACTCCAAGAACTCGTGTTCTCCAAAGACCCTTAGATCCAAGTGAGAAGAGTAAGAGTAAGATGGGATGGACTCGAACTGCCATTGAGGACACTGGCGAGTTCAGGCTACTATTGTTCTACGTTCAAAAACATGAATGCTTTAAGAAAGCAGTATCAACTGAAGCGGTTTAGGGAGAGAAATATCGCTAGGAAAACGGATTCCTCCAGGACAACGGATTTCGCCACAATACTTCTTAAGATTCTTCACGAGCGAAGAGGTTTCGGCGCCTCGGATGCTAGAGATATGGTATTCGCTCACGTTGCTCTTTGTGCTGATGGTGCCTTCCACGTTCCCAAGACCTTAAAAGCCGATTACGGGAAAACAGCCAAAGAAGTCTACGAAGAGACAGCGGCATATATCATGGCGCACACATCTGGCTTCGGAATCCTTGCGTATGTAGAGGAATTAGAGGTCAGACCACATAGAGAAAGGTTCGCAACATGGTGTCCGGATTGTAAGTCTCAGTCTTTCCTTGAAGGTATTTGGATATATGGGAACGCAATTTAACATTAATCCTCCTCTCGACAGGGACGACGAATCTCATCCCCAAATCCATGACCCGGGAGGATCAGCAATATTCCCTCCTGCTAGTGCCTAGCCTCACAGAATCAATCTGTCAGCGTATCTTTCCATCAATCATCGCATGTTATGGCTTTATCATGAGCCCCATCTCATCCGTCACCGGTACGCTCTCACCAATAGACGATCGTTTCTGGATTGGGTCACACTTTGTAACTCTTGACAAAGACGATTGGGTTGAGGAGCAGATCTTATCTCGTTGGGAAGAATTTTTAGATCCTGAGATCAATCAGGGTCAATTCGTTGATGTGGCTACCGAGAGAAATTCCACAAGACATTCCCTGACCTTCAAACACCTTAGGCATCTTTGTATCGATCTCCGGAGAGGGGACCCCAACAACTCATGTCTCAACGGACGTAGATTTGCTAAACTGGTCTTACCAGACTCAGAAAGAGGACGTTCTGATTCTGACTACGAAGATGACGGTAAAGTTGTCCGAACTCTAGGAGCATTACCATTCCTCAAATCGGAGTTTCTCCTTGTTCCTGATTCCGCACGCCCAGGCGATGTCTTATGTCTACTTGGAGCAGACGCAAAGCCATTCCTCCTACGCCCTTCCTTCCAGAACAATCTCTTTTGACTTCGGTCGGCACTAAGATTGAAGAGGTGAAAATAAATGCAAAGCTCGATGCAGATCAGGAATTCGATAGGATCGAGCACTTTACATTTGTTGGACAGTGCTCCTTTCCTTATTGGAGGTCATCTTGTCTTTCTGGGGAACTCCGATCTAATTTTGTGAAGAAGCATCAAAGTGTCATTGTTCTTCATTGAAATGTCGAGACAGATGGTTCTGCGCACGAACGAGCAACACATCTATAATTTACTGGGTTGAGCAAAATAGGGCAGGATCTATAAGTTGAGGATATGTTTGGTAACTCCAGTCAAATTATCTAGCTTATCTCATTCCTGAGTCCCTATATATCATAACATCAACTTGTTCCTGCAAAATCAAGAGTGGTGCCTGCCCCTTTCCTAAGCGAGGTGTCAAGTGAACTACACGAGAGCAGCACAACGATGGCATCGTGCGCCGTGTATGAAGAATTTGCAGCAGAAAGTAAGATGGATGTAAAGCTTTTGAGGGTGTGGCAACAGATCGTTGTCTGACATCGGCTTTCAATCGAACAGAAGAGACGACAACGGAGACAAACCCAGATATCCATCTGGAACCATTCAGCCTGAGCGAGTAATCTGAGCTCATAAATTGGTCTCGCAAAGGACGTGCTCCATGATCCAAAAACAGGCCGAACATGTTCAAAACCTCCTCCACGTCCGTTGCAAATAGGTTCCTGTGTCTCCATCTCCTCCCTTGCAATCTGTATGTATGTACCGAAGCGGCAAGATTCGAGACTACCAAATCACCGGGGATCTATATGCAAGCCAACACTCGAACCAATTCGCAGATTCAATTCAACGCTCAATATATCAAAGACTTCTTTGCACTCGAGACTTCTAAGCAAAGACATCCTTCAAACTTGAAAATCAAGCATCTTCGACCCCAAATAAAGCCGCCTAACACAAACACTACAGAACCAAATCAATCTTCTCGAGTCCCTGGATGAAATGCAACCATCACACACACAACCCCAATTTCCAAACCAGAACCCCCCTTACCCCCCCCCGAGCCCACAGATAAAAAAAAAACATCTCTATTCAACACAGCACGACCCTTACCCCTCCCATCAGCCAAATCCAAAAGCCCAAACCCAAGACGCAAAGACCCAACATCCAACGCTCAGACCCCAAAAAGACCGCTCAGACGTCTATCCAGATTTCACGAATCTCCGGTCCGACACGTGGCTACCACGCTGACGTGCGCTTTGACCGGAGATCGGTATCAGAGCTAAAGCTGCATTTGCTTTTCCTTTACCGGAGTTTGGTTATTACAGGTCATATTCATAGCGAAATCGAAGCCGGAGTTCGCTTGCAAACAGAAAGAAGAAAAAGAAAAAGACTGTGATGGTGACGAAGGCAACTTGCTACCGCAAAAAAAAGAAAACAGTTCAAATCCTTCTGCAAAGGGTAGTAACATTTGCTAAAAAAAACGAACTAAATTTCAATCACATTTCGTTCCTGCATACATACATACATACATACATACATACACATCATCTATCACATTCCAAGTTCACTCCTCAACCGCCTTCACTCACATCCACGTGCCATCCCCTCCCCCTCTTCCCGTGAAGCCACCTCTCCGGCAGTCCACAGATCCTCGAACTCCTTTATCCATCCCTCACAAACAGACAAACAGACCCACAGACCCTCGACAGGAGGGAGGCCCGAAAGGAGATTTTTGTTCGGCTGCCTACTTCAAGCCGAGAGAAAAGGGAAGAGACAGGGGCAGGGTAAATTCTCCGACTGACGGGTAGCTACCCGTGTCTAACTGAGATGGGCAGGCAGGCAGGCAGTCGTTCATGAACAGCGGGCTGGTCAATAGAATGATAGGCCGGGATGTACTGGATTTTGTGATCTATCGCCGAATTCAAGATCTGGATCAGATAGAGAGGGAGAAAAAGGGCGAGAGGTGACACGGTGTGTAACTCAAAGCAGAGAATGGGCGTGACTTCTCTCATCTCCGTAGCACAAAAAGATAAAACGAAACGAAACGAAACGTGGTACGATCTTCACTCAAGCCGCAACACTCAACACTTAACATAAAACATCTCTGTCCCCGACTCGGGTTGTCCGTTGTGTCGTTCTTAGACTGGAAAGGGGAAGAAGAGGCGTGAAGGAGCGGGTAGTTGCGTACGGGAGGGTGCATGGTGGCTGTGGAACGTGGAGAGGGGAGGGAGGGGACGAGAAGTAGAGCTGATTGATGATGGAGAGCAAAGAGAAGTACCGATTGTGCTGGTGATACGACTTTGTGTAGGTTGGTCATAGGGGAGGGAGGAGCTGCTGATGGGGCTGAGAGAGAGAGAGAGAGAGAGAAAGATTGGTGGAACTACCCAGAAGAGAGGGAAGGGAGGCTGAGAGGTGATACGGCAGCCCAGTCTTGGGGCTGTACAGCATTCAGTTCGCAGATCTATCCTTCCCCCTCCTCGACATGTTGGCGTGAAATGATTGCAAGGGATGATAATGAAGAAGGAGGAGGAGGCGACTGAACCCCTCTCTCTCAAGTCAGTCCGATGACTCGATGTATCAACTACCTGAAGGCTGCGTGACTGACTACCAGGCCCCTCACTCAAGGGTACAGATAATCAACCACAACCACCTCATGACCGCAAGGCCACCAATTGCCGGCCAGAACTGAGACATCTGTACTTACCATCATCCATCCATCATCCAAATCCCGAAACAAAAGTACAGTACAGTGAAAGAAAAAGTAGTCATGTCAAACAAACCCACCACTTCGTCCCGAGTCATGTCCCCTCTCACCATTCAGCCTGATATCTCCCACCTCCCGCAGTATTGACCTGTCTGCGCGAACGAGGCGTCAAAGAAATCCCCCTTCCCAAAGCAGCGGAAATGGGATACAGTAAGTATCGAAAACTCGGCTTTACCCTCGGTGCCATTCCCAACAACCTTAATCTCCCCTCTTCTTCCCTCCTATCTGTTTTGAAACCGCTCCCTCTCGACGCCTTGTCCCAGCCAGCAATGACCAAGTAAAAAGAAAGTCTGCCTTACTTACCTACCCTACCGATCGGTACTTGTCACTACTTAAGAACTGCTTATCATGTTATATATGTGTGTATGTGTATGTATGCAGTAATCTTCCACCCCCCCCCCCCCACCTTCCTCGGGATTCATCCCGAGAGTTGTGTGTGGAATACGGGATACGAACCCCAGCCCAACGCGCCCAGAAGCCCGGGGGACAGCGCCTCCTCGATCCGAGCCCTGGTCTTGTTGTCCAATGATTTGTGCGCGTGCATCATGTTGGTCATCTCTGAGTAAAAGTTTGGTAAGGTCGGGCCTGTTAGAGGGCGTTCCAGTTCCCAGCTCTGCGTCCCAAAAGCTGGGCAGGCAGTGCGATCACCTTTTGTTGGAATCCAAGCTCGTCCGGTCTGCCAGTTTCAGCTCCCCGTATCACCGGTACTTGGAGCTGTAAAGTACTGTAGCAACGAGATAACCCGCCACATCCATCATCGACGATGCAAAAAGAGACGTTGGCTCTTCGCCTCAAATCAGAAAAAAGGAAAGAAAACCATCCATCCATCCATTAGATTATCGTTGTGGTATAGTAAAACATACCGTAGCGGGGAAGAAAAGAGGATGTATCCAGATCTAGATCCCCCCTCGTAACGGCGGCGCACACCTTGCTTGCTTGCTTGCATAAAAAGAGATCATCCCCCCATTAGTCCTAGCACGGAAGCCGCTGAATGGTTCGTGAGCGAACCGCGTGCGACAACGTGCCCGCCCGAGAGAGAGAGCAAAAGTGACGATCAGTCATTTATTTCGTGCCGTGCCTCGTGCGAAAAGCCGTTGCTCGGTGCATGATGGGCGTCCACCACCTTCAATAACTTTTTTTTCCCTTCTGATAATGAGCGTTTATCGCGCTACTGTACTGTACCGTACCCAGTTTCAATATTGGATAGGGCGGTGGTTCCTCTGCTGGGCGTGGGAAGGAAGGAGGGAGAGATCCGTTGTTCGGCATGCATCAATCAGATCAATTTCATATTATTGCCCGAGAAAATAAGATAATGGTGCCATTCCATCATTCCCACGCCCCCGAACAGCAGGAATGCTTTTTGCTTTTACTGGGCTTTTACTGGGACGCTCCCAGCTTGGAGGCATGGAATGGAATGGAATGGGATGGGATGGGATGATTTGGATCTTCCGCGCGCGCAGTTCTGGGTGAAAATATACTTTAGCCGCCGCTGTATGCACTGCACTGAAGGAACGAACCCACTGGCCAAGGTCCTGGATGGCCCAGTGTTCATATCCAACATCAGATCAGACACGCTACAGGACTGTGCACCCCCCCCCCCCCCCCCCTTTCCAGCCAATGATGCACGCGCTGGAGAAGTTCTCCTAGACTCGGGATGAGGACAGATGCAGTCCAAGCTATTCATAATAAATGGGCCGACTCCTCGATATGAAGGAGCCAGGGGAGCCCGGTGCGGCCGCAGAATGTGGTTTATTGGGGAGAGGAGACGAGAGAAACATCAAATGAGAAGGTCCCAAAAGGAAACGCAGGAGCTTCTGCCCCCCACTGGAGCGTCGCTAGAGTGTCTCGCTTCCCAGAGGGTGTCCTCACTGTCTATTCGCTCCCAAAGAACCCAAGAGGGGGAGGGGAAGATGAGATGCGAAGCGAAGGTTGCACCCGCGCGCTGAGACTGAGTGAGACTCCCTTCCTTCCCTTCTCTGCTGCTTCGGTCTCTCCATCCAGATTCCATCCAGCAGGAGAGAGGAACGAAACTGGCTTGTGCGCTCAGCTCTTCCCGGGTCTCTGGTCGGCTCTCAGTCCCCGCACCGCACCGCACCGCACTGCCATCCTCCTGCCAATCCCGTCTCAGTCCCCTCCCTTCTCCGAAGAGAAAAGTAAAGCGCTCTAAATAAACTGCCTGGCACACGGTGCTGTTGGCCCAAACTGGTTACCTATCTCTGTGCGACCGAGGGGAAGGGATGGGAATGGTAGGGCTTCGTATCACGACGACGACGACGCAGCCCGGGGCTATTCGTCGAGCACCACGGCGATGCTTCCCAACAATCCATAATAGAACATACAGTAGATCTGCTGCAGCGTAAGGTTGGTAGGAGGAGTCGAGGGTAAAAATGGAGGCATCGCATGCTATTTGAAGTCAGTGGCAGAAGTCGACTCTCACTCGCAGGCTGGCCGCACCGGCACCCGCACACGTTGGGTTGGCAGCCATAGCATCGCTTAACTGACCTTCTTTTGGGTGTTCGACACAGTTGCATGGGCATGGGCATGGGCATGGGGATGCAGGGAGAGATCCTACTGTATCGAACGGTGGCGGCTTTGGATTCCGGGCATGGGCATGGACCCAGGTTGGAACAGTGGGGAGAATCGGCTTTTCACTTTTCAGGGAGGAGGATTTGGTGTCCTCTCCCACCGAATCAAGATGTCTCAGCGCAGCCCACCAAAGTGACACTCTCCTCTCAGTGGCTGCCACCAGACTCCCAGCAAAGGGCAGTCATGTTGATCGACCCTTGGCTGTTCACCCTCCACCACACCCGTGCCCACCCATGTCTCTCGCTGGTACAGCAGCATCCTGGTCTCAAACCTTGTCCGTGGCTGTCCAATGCCCTGTCCGGTGGACTGCCTGAGAATGCTGGTTAACTGCGCTTGCACCCCCTGCGGTCCCCTTGTCTCCCCTCACCTGCAGAAATCCACGGCATGGGGACGCCGGAGAAAAGAACGCCTTGCCGCCTGATCCAGTAAGAGCGCAATCCAAACTCGCAGCCGTCAATGGCCCCAACGACGAATATGGGAGAACATGGGGGGTCGAGGGCGCCACCGGTGTCGGTCATTGGCTCCAGGATCGACGGTCCCCAGCAGCTGCACCGTGGGAAAAAGAGAGAGCACACCCTCGCAAGCCCAAAAGCCCAGCCCATCCCAGCCTGCCAAGTGCCCCCGTCGATTTGGACCAACCCTCCGCGTCCCTCGGATTCCCACCGTCGTCGTGAAAGGAAGGCAACTTTGGTCAGTGGGAAGTGGTGTGCAGTGTGCACTAGGACCAGACCAGAACAGACCAGACCCGAACCAAACCAAACCAGGGCGCTCCGTCGTAGCGAAGCCAGTAGTCAGCAGGATCCTGCCTCCTCCCCCAGCCCACTCCTCTTCTCTTCCCTCTTGTCATACCCGTTCTGTTCAATACACCTCCTCGACGCCAACCCATTCGACAATCGTGAACGACTCTGGACGAGAACTGGTCGACGACGCTCTCAGTGTGCAGTGAAGTGAAGGAAGGAAAGAGAGTCGAGGACAACTGTCGAGTCCGCACTCGATCGACGACTGGTTGCTAGTGCTGTGCAGTACTGTACGGGCTACCGTAGCAAGCGACCCGACCGTTCAGCTCGCTTTACCGTGGAGGATCCCCATTCCCATCCAACTTTCCAAGACTCCCTTCGACGGGTCCCCCGATTGCGAATCTCTTCTGTACCACTCGACACCTTCCAACTTGCTGTGGCATTGTATCGATCAATTCTGCGACGTCCGTCGTGGTCGACATTGTGGATCGTGGGATTTGAAACGCCAACGACTGGTGAGTGCGTCTTTTCCTTTTCCCCCAGTGACGCTTGGTCGTCGCTTCCCATCGCCAAAAAACCCATCAGTTTGGGTGTCGGGAACTTCTTTGACTTTCCGTGTCGCGAACAATCTTCAAGACGGGGCTGACAATCCGGCACAGTCAATTGTCGCGACTTTCGATTCCAGCGTCTGGCTGCATTAATATTCGTCAATTGGATTTAATTGTTTGAGAGTCGAGTCCATTCGTACAATGGCAGGAACGACAGCATCAATTCGGCGGAGCCCAATCCCCGAGATCATTACTCGAAAGACGAACGATGGAAGAAACATCGAGTACCATTTGACTGTAATTCAACAACCAGAACGTGCCAGAGCATGTGGTTCCGGAGCCAAGTGTACGTTCTCGGACCATCTGCTGCAGCAAATTGCTAACGTGAACAGCATCCGCCGACCGACGACCAGTAGATCCACCACCCGTGGTCGAGCTTCGCATCTTCTCTGTTAATGGAGCTGACAAGGAGGACATCACATTCTCATACAGTGCCAACTTCTTCCTCTTCGCTACCCTGGAAGTCGCTCGACCGATGGCTCACGGCCGTGTGCAACAAGCAGCCGCATCGCAACAGGTGCCTGTGTTGACCGGCATGCCAGTCTCTGGAATGGCTTATTTGGACCGACCATCTGAAGCTGGATACTTCATCTTCCCCGATCTTTCCGTTCGCCACGAGGGCTTGTATCGTCTTAGTTTCAACCTGTATGAGGAGATGCGAGACCGTGATGGAGATGCAGAGGCACCGTCCGACAAGTCGAGAGTCTTGGCCGGACCAGGAACGCCAGACGCTTCGTTCGATTGGAGAATGGAGGTCAAGTCAGCAGAGTTCACCGTATTCAGCGCGAAGAAGTTCCCAGGTCTTGCTGAAAGCACCGCTTTGAGCCGAACTGTTGCAGAGCAAGGATGCCGGGTCCGTATCCGTCGTGATGTTCGTATGAGAAGACGCGAGTCAAAGAATGCTGGAGAATATGAGGACCCCGCTGAGAACGATGCATTCGAACGTGGTCGTGCTGCCGCACAAGACTTCGAAGAAAGACGTTCTCGATCGCTCTCAGGAAGTCCAGATAACCGTCCTGCATACGATACCGAGCAACGTCGTCACTACCAAGACCAGTACGCACCATCGTACTCAGCATCCCCAGTGGCCGGAAATGCTCCTATCCCTCAAGGAGGCCATCTTGGATTTATTGGTGGCCCCTCGGCTCAATATCAAGCTCCTTCACAACCTCAATTCGCGCCTCCTCAACCTCCCGCGCCTCAAGCATATCAACCACCCCAGCAACCGTATCATGCTCAAGGTCAACCTCCATACCGCCCGCAACCCGCACCAGCTCCACCATCTCACAGCAGTTACGCGTATGACAGAAACTACCCTCACTCGGCATACGCTTCCAATCCTCCTCGCGAGCAGCGCGAGTTGGAGCCCGAGTACAGACGAGCATCCATTGCCAGCTACGTACCACCTTCTTCACAAATTCCGTATCCTTCTGTGGATTCCAATTATGCTCGTCCACCATACCACGGATATGCTCCACGCGGTAACAGTCCTCCTCCGGCATTGGCACCTTTGAAGCTTCACAGCATCGAGCCAAAATTCGATGCTACGTCCCCACCTGCTCCATTGTCTGCTGTTAAGACCATCGCTCCTCCTTTGCCAAGCCCAATCTTCCCACGCGCACAAGAAGCTCCTCTTTACAGCCAATACTCGGCGCCTCTTCCTGCAGCTGAACCAGCTCGTGATATAGCACGCAATGGCAAGCGTCCATTTGATTCTGTCTTCAGCTCTGCTGCTAGCACAAAGCCTCTTCATAATGGCATGCGACCCAGCAGCTCCCATGGACCCAGCGTTGAGGAAGATGACGAAGACGACGTCCCTGCAGACCTGAAGATGATGTACAAGCGAGCCGATGGAACTAGTTACTCTCGACCTCTACCTCACCTCATCGAGTAGATTTCATTCAATCTTTGGGCTTTCTGTGTTTTCGGATGGATTGGCGTTTGGCTTCACTTGGATTTATTGTTACTATCACATTTTATGGACGGATATCGTGCCTTCCCCCTCGAGGATTGGCAACAGCAGCAGCAACGAATTCTACTTTCATGAAACTACCCCTCAACCCTACACGACCTTGCACAAACAAATACACGACTTCATCTCCTTTCTTTCGTGTTCATACGGTTTGACCTACGGGCAGCCTCGCGAGTCTACTTTGGTCCTCCCTTTCAGCAAAAGCAGCACACATCATTGTTACCTTCCTTACCCTTTGGATTTTTCGCTTAGAGATGGCGGGAAGCATATCTCTTCCTACCTTTTTTTTTTTGCAAACACAACCCTACAAATTTCCTATGTTGATTGATCGAGTCGAGCTTGTGTGGTAGGGTTTGGGTTGGACTGGGCCGGAGCACCATTTCTGTAATTTAGGTGGAGGGTACATTGGAATGGCGGGACTCGGGCAACTGGTCGTGTTAGTGTGTGTGTGTTGTGTGTTGATCGCTGATATGAATGCATGGGACTATGAAAGAAACTTTTTGCAAAGAACATTCATTTGTCATTGTGTGAAATTTGAATCAACAGTGCTTTATTCTCCTATCTCCCCGCTACATCTCAGACATCCATCCCACCAGTTCGTGCGGTCCAAAACCTAAAATGTCTTGGGTTCGAGTATTTGAGTTTGTGAGACTGGTTTCGAATCTTAAGACTGCTGTAGAATACGGTTTTGTCTTGGCTGGCATCATTGCACATGATTTCTAGTCGGAACAGGAGAAACAGTAATTGGGAGCTCTGACCCTATGGTCATGCAGAAGCGGAGATTATTTGCGGAGAGCTGGCGGTTGGGGTGAGACATTTGTACGATTGGATAGGGAGTTATTTACTTGATCTGAGAAAGTCAACAATGTAAAATCAGAATTAAAAATTGAGAGAAGCTAATGAATACAGTTGATCTGCGGTGAATTGGATTTCTTCTCGCTTTCACGTGTTCACATGTTTACCTCGACGTCAAAAATAGAAGCGAGATCGTAAAATTAAGTTTTGACGCGCTCCTCGCGTCACCGTCAGATTGTCTCACAACCCGCATTGCAGCCAACGCACGAAAAAGGAGGGCAGTCAACACCTGGAAAATTTCCGAAATTCTTCAATTGCTCGAGATCGCTCTTTTGATCTCTTTCTTTCCAGTTTATTCTCTTCTTCTCAGGTTTGAAAGAGAGCGGCTGAAGCCGAAGTTTTTTATTTTGCCTCGGGACCTGGACGATAAACAATCAACAAAACAAACCTTAAGATCTGCCGCCCACATCACATCACATCACATCATCAATGCACAACCCACGGATGATTCTGAGACTCCCGTAGGAAAGGAAGGCAAATTACTTGGAAAGATGTTTTCCGCCTACCAGGTAAGTTTCACAATTCTTGGTTATATCTATCGCATTCCTTTCCGTTTGTTGCTGCGTTGATGCAGCTCCCCGTCTGCGATCTGAAGCTGATATACTCCATAGCAAAGCAGCGCTGGAGAGCGGTCCAATCCCACAACCGTACAAGCACAAAGTCTACAGATTGAAGAGCAGGATGACACGACTCCAAAGGCAGGAGATAAGAGATTGTTCAGCAATCGCGAATCCAGACAGATCGAGGGCAATAACTACACCCAATACGATGAAGAAGAACCGATCGAGGAGCGTCACTCAGACAAGAGACACCGCAACACAGATTGGCCTCTCCCAAGCAGTCCCAACAGTCCAGCCTCAGCCAGACCCCCACTCCGAACACGAAATGCCCCCAATTCTCCCTCCAACCGCCGCAGAGCAGTCTCGCAACAGCGCCCATCTAAGTTTGTCGAGGGTAGCATGAATGACCGCATCTCTGCCATCCCACCAACGCCCTATCTTGACCCCGATGACGAGCTACTCTCCGAATACGATCCTATTGAACCCAGCCGCGGCCGCAAACTCGCTCGCCCCAGAAAGTTCACGAAACGCAATGCTTCTGCTGCAGGAACCGATCATTCTGAGACGAGCCGCCACTCGATATTCCGATTCGGGAAATCGATCGCGGCGTCGTTTAATCCGAGTAATTGGAAGATCTGGAATAAGGGCCAGCAACAGCATGCGGGGGACGAGGAGTCGGCGCAGATGCGGGTCCTGCGGGAGAGACAAAGTAAGGCTGAGAGGATCTATAGGGAGTTGAAGGAATCTGGACAGTTCCGGGACTCGGCGGTTGTATTTCCTGGTTCTGCGTCGAGAGAGCAACAGAAGCCTGGTTCTGCCAAGCATGATTCTGGAGTCGAGTTTGGGGATACTGAGGAGGCCAGTAAGAGGAATACGGGTATGTCAATCGAAGAGAAGAGGAAGGGACGTATTTTCCTGGAGGCGCCGAAGCTTTCGGAATCTGTCTATGGGGGAAGTCCTGTTTCGCATATGTCGGGTTCGCAGGCTCATTCGAATCATTCGTCGCCGAATAAGTCTTCGTTTCACTTCAAGAAACCCTCGCTATCGAATCTGAAGAAGACGTTTGCTAGCAATAGCACTACCAACTTATCAGAGCCTGGACCTCATCAAGCACGTCGAATCCCATCTCGGAAGGACCTTCAGAAGCAACAGAAGCTGGTTAAGAGAGTTAGTGATTTGGAGGGCAAGTTGAATGCTGCGAGGAAGCAGTTATCTGATGCTTTGGGAGAACCACTTCCGGGTGAGGTATCGCAGGTTTCGCTCTCTTCGCAAGGATCTCATGTACTTGATGATACTATGTCGCCTCCTGTCCCGCCGCTGCATCATACGCCTATGGAGAGGGTTATTAGAAAGCCATTTGTACCAGGTGCCCTGGCTTCTCTTCCTTCGGAACGACTTCTAGCTGGCTATCTCCAAAATGATGAAGAGGATGAGGAAGAAGGCAACGGCATTGGTATGGCTGTCACAGTCAATCATCGACAACAGAGTGATGAGAAGCCTAAGTTTGTGCTGAAGAGTGAGCAATCTCCTGCTTGGCTTGGTAGACAGCTTCAACGCCCAGGAAGCGCTTCTAGCAATCGTTTAATGCGAAGTGTGGAAGCCGAGAAGGACGAAGACACCACTCCGACGGTCAAGAAGGCGGCTAGGGTGAAGAAGTCGACCAAATCGGACGCCGCGACCAATGTCACCTCTATCTACGAGCCTAGCACTATATTGTTCGAATCTGGTGATAGCGAGTACGCTGATTTCGAGCCAGGAGAAGAGGAACAGGAACCAGAGACTGGAGAAGAGCCTGAAGAAGAACAAGAAAAGACACCCAAGCCACGAACCAAGCGTTCCCCTCCGTCCAAGAAGCGAAAGAGCAAATTCGAAGGCGAGGCTGATGACGGTGGCGTCTATAAGCCCGGAGACACAGAGGAATCAGACCCTGAATCCGAAGTCAAGAAATCCAAATCTACTCCCCGCAGACAACAAACGAGCAAGACTTCTACCCCCAAGAGTAACCAAAGCCAAGCCCACAAAATCACCCTCCAATATCCCCGCAAACTCCAGAAAGTCTCTCCTACCCAAGCCAAGGACCCAAATACGGAAGCTCCACCAACCCGTGCCCCTCCACCACCTCCTTTCGAACCCCATTCCCAAACCTCCAAGAAACACCCAGCCCGTACCTCTTCCCTGAAATCTACAGTAAAGAGCCCACCGCCTGCCAACCGACTCTCGAAATCAAGACCCCCGCCTCTCCCTACAACTCGACAGCAATCCGCGTCCCCACCCCCCTCATCTGCGTTCACGGGCGTAGGCCCCGAGCTAGAGTACAAGAAACCCTCTCTCCAGCGCCAAGAGCTAGATCTCGGAAACAGCGCCCATTCAGCAGAAAATAGCGGTGTACCGCCTATGCCGACGATGCCGAAGATTGTTCGGTTGGCGAGTGGGGAGGTTATTGATATCAGCCAATCTCAAACCCAGATCCTTACTCCTGCTATTGTCGCACGAGGAAAGGGAAAGGGGAGCACTGTCTCTACGACCTCGAAGGTGTCGACGGGTAGTGCGGGGAGCAAGAGGAGAGAGAGTAAGCGTTTAGAGAAGAAAAGGGAGTCGATCGTTGCTGCTGCTGCGGAAGGAGAGAAGAAGAGTTTTGAGTGGCCGGATGATGTTTTTTGAATCACTGAATAAGGCAATGAGACTGGAAAACGAGAGATGAGAGATGACAGATCAGAAATTGCACACCAACGAACGAAGTATATCAAGCAGTATGACGAGATGGAAGATGATGGATGAACAGAAAGGAAGGGAGACATAATGCTATGTAACGAGTAACGACCTTATGCATGCTTGGAGCTTTTTCTTTTTCTTTTTGCCTTTTTACCTTTCTGCATTCTGCATTCGATGTTGACTCCTAGAGAGAGAGAGAGAGAGAGGAGAAGAGGCACTTATTCCGTTGCTTATTTCTTTTTTGACCTTCTACGATTGCATTTGCATACCCTTGTTCTCCAGCATTTCAGCGAGCGAGTTCAGCATTTGCATTGCATACCTCAGGTACGCATGAGATAAGATCGAGAGCCTAAATTGCATGGCGTAGATAGAGAAGAGATTAATAAATACAAGAAAGGAAAGATGATATGCTGCCAATTGTGATATCTTTGTGTTTGTGTTTGTGTTTGTGTTCGTGGTGATATTACCTATGAACAAATATTGCCTTTCTTTCCTACCTGCCTAGGTACCATTGGAAGGCCGCTTCTATAATCTGCGCTATTTGCGCTACTTGCGCTGTCTGCGCGATGAGCGCAACCCGCGGTGTACGCGGACTCCTGATATACATGCAGCGACCTACTTCTCTCTCCTCCCTCTTCCGTAGGTACGGATAGTAAAAAAACAAATCCATGCTATTTAAGAGTTAGTGCCACGTATAATCCAGTCATATCTACCAGTGTTTCGCTTCCCTGAATAGGGATGGGCGGGCGGCTTTATCTTTCTCGTCGTCTCGATTCGGTGTGCACAAGTAAGTGTAAAAGCACACAAAAGTATGTATGTCCTGTCAGTTTATATTGCGTTTCACGAAGGAAAAACAAATTGAAAAAATAATAACTACGTTGAGGGAGGGTTAGAGTATTTGTGTATTACTACATACGGTAAGGCGTAGATGAAGGATGAAGGATGAGGGTTTACCCCGCTATATACCTATTATGTCAAGTTCGATTTGGAGTTGGAAGATCAGGTAGCCAGGTACATGATGAAAATAGGAGATAAGGTAGGTTAGGGATTGGGTTAGGGTGGTGGTGATTTGATTTAGAGCTGAGATGCCCGATTATTTGACCTCGGGTGGAGCTTTGTTAAGTAATAAATAGCAGGACAGGAGGGAATTGGCTATGAGAGAGGATTGTTGCAATAATTATTTTATTTTGAAAAGCAACAGCTGTTGCTGGTGCGAATCCATGTCTAGTTAGCTTCATGCTACAAGACGGTAGCGTTGTCTGAGTTTCTGTTTCTCCGAGTTTGAGCGAGCGGTCAGGCGTACGAAAATACATTTTTGAGATTGAGAAATCAGTTTGAGATGTAGGAGATTCAAATATTCGATCATTAGGGTTCGTCCAGTCCATTATTAAACACCTCATTAAGAACGACACTTCGAAGCAACACAACACCCGAAACATGAGAAGGCATAAAACTCATCCATTCCATTGCTTATTACAAAAACTTACACCCGCTATGCAAAGTCAAACAATCTCTCTCATCTCATCACAAATTCCCCCTCTCCGCCTGCTCCCTCTCGATAGCCTCAAAAAGACTCTTAAAATTCCCCGCCCCAAACCCATCAAACTCGTTCCGCTGGATAATCTCAATAAACACCGTCGGCCGATCCATTAACGGCTTCGTAAAGAGCTGCAACAGGTACCCGCCCTCGTCGAAATCAATCAGGATATTCAGTTTCTGGATCGTGTCGAAGTCCTCCTGGAGCTTCCAGCTCCGCTTGTCGGTCTTGAGACGCTGGCGCATGGTGGTATAATATGTTTCTGGGACCGAGATGAATTCCACGCCGCGGGCCCGCATGTTGGTTACCGCGGCGATGATATCGTTTGTGCGGAGCGCGATGTGCTGCACGCCTGCGCCGCCGTAGAAGTCGACGTACTCTTCGATCTGGGACTTCTTCTTTCCGGGAGCGGGCTCGTTGATGGGCATCTTGACGACGTTGTTGGGGGATGCCATGACGATGGAGTTTAGGGCTGAGAATTCGGTGGAGATTTGCGAGTCGTCGACGGACCAGAAGCGGTGGAAGGAGAGGCAGCGTTCGTAGTAGGCGCAGGCTTCTTCCATTTTGCCCCAGTCTTGGTTGCCGACGCAGTGGTCGATGGCTTCGAGGGTGACGGTGGGGAGTAGGCGTTGAAGAGGGTCCAATTTGGAGGAGGGGATGGATTTGTAGCCTGGGAGGAAGATGCCGTTGTATGTGTCTCGGGAGATTAGAGTATGTGTTGTATCGCCGTATGTACGGATGATGGCGCTTGTAACTGAGCCATTTGTGTCTGATCGTGTTCGTGGTGATTGGACAGAGACAGCGCCTTGCTCAACTGCTTGTCGATATACACCCTCCACATTGTCTACTTCGAACGCAACGTCCTTGACGGCATCACCGTGTTTCTCCAAATGTGCATAGATGTCCTTCAATAAGCTTCGTTCTTCGGATGTTATGGGCTCGTCGCCATCGAGGGCAGAATATGATTTGACGGCCGACGTGAGAACGAATCTGATATTGCTATTGCCAACGACGTGAGAGGCAATATATCGACTTCCGGTCTCGAGACCTCTGTATGCTATTGTGCGGAAACCGAGACGGGTTGTGTAATACGATGCTGCTTGCTTCGCATTGCCCACATACCAGGTGATATGGTCATAGCCATGGAAATTCGGTGTGCCATCCACAGCACCCGGGGTATGAGTAGATGTGGGGAAGCTAAGAGATGTGGGAGTTAAGACTGGCGGGGGAATCGCAGACGGAGCCATGGCAGATAAGAGAAGCTCAAAGTAAGAAACAAGAAAGAAGTAAGTAGGCCAGAAGCAGTCACTGAACTCGTTCTTGGAGAGAATGGAAAGAATGGACGGACGCAGCAGTGATTATATGTAACAAAGAAAGCAGAGCAAAGGCAAACTCGGCATAGATTACCTCACATATCCCATGGTTCACAAATCAGCAGGATCCTGACTAGGAAGGCTCGATTGACGAAAAGGCCTTCAATGATTGCGGATTGTCACAAAGCAGCAGGTCGTGATTGGCGTGGTGCATGTGCTGATTGAGGTTCAAGAGTCCACAAGTGCGGAAAGGAAGTGATGTTCGCAGCTTGCCCGCTCGGCTTTGGGGAGTCCCGACTGTAACCGAGATGGAAACAGCTACCCCTCGACCGCCCACCTCATCTGAACATCGACAGTCATATGCTTAAGTAAGGCAAGAGGCAATTGATTGCCATTCCGTGAAGTATATTTGAGCAAGTGCTTATATTTCATACATAGTATTTTCTCAATTTTCAATCGATTAATTCCCGTCTCCTCACATTCTTCCTCTCACCTCCTTGCGTCACTCTCCTAAACCTATCTCAAGCTTCACCAAAAATTACCTATCTCTGTTCCACCACCTCTTGTCCAAGGCTTCACAAGATCAATCCACCTCGTCTCAACTCCCACCACCTTATCAATCGTTACATTCCTTTACTTCAACTCGACGTTTTCAGCTCCGCCAACAATGGCCTCCTCCACCACCCTAACTCCCCACGACCTCACCATCCTCCAAAAGATCGCCGATCCAGAGTCCTCGCCCTCAGCTTCCCTCCTAATCGTTTCGTCTCTCCCAAAAGACCCCGATTACCCCGATCCCAGCATCTATTCTCGTATAACTTCCACCGAACGGCAAATCATCTCTCAAATCCAAATCAACGACGCCCTCGACGCCTACCGAACAGCACTCTCCCAACTCAACGACTTAATAACAGCTTATCCAAACTATGCCAGCGCGCGAAACAATCGCGCTCAAGTCCTCCGACGGATACACGGTGATACGATATTAATAAAAACCGCCTCTCAAACCTCGTCATCAGAAGCAGAACTCAACACCGCAGCCCAAACAATCCTCTCCGACCTCACCCTCGCCATCAGTCTCCTCTCTCCCCTCACCCCCTATTCCCCGCTCTCCCCCATAGCAGCCAAGACCCTAGCACAAGCATACACCCAGCGTGGCGCTCTGTTCCATTTAACCGCGAAACAGTACTCGCAGCAAGGAACAGAGCTGCGGATAGAGGGGAAAGAAAAAGGGTGGAGTGTAGTCGAGTTTGAAGAGGCTGCTAGTAGGGATTTCGTTATGGGGGGTCGGTTGGGGAATGTGGTTGCGAGGGAGATGGCTGTTTTGGCGAATCCGACGGCGAAGTTGTGTGGGGAGATTGTGAGGGGGGCGATGAGGGAGGAGTATGTTGGTGGTGTTAGCTAGGAGTAGGGGAGGATTGGTTGGAGAGAGTGTGATGATATGAGGATTGGTTGATTTGGCGTCATGGAGTTTTGGAAAGTATTAATGCAGAAATGTGGTTTGATAAACACTTAGACGTTATGCAAACACTTCTTGAGCTTATAAAATCAACACTTAGCTCTGTTTAGTGATTTGCCCCTTTTTCGAAGTGAGATGTGAAGCGAGACTACAAAAGATCACTAAAAACATGAGTGAATGCCATCGTGCACGGGAATAGTTTAGAAGCAAATGAGGTTGAAGTCATTTCCTCCAGAGACAATAGCAAAACAGACTCTTATGTTGCCTATGTGTAGAGCGGTAGAGATGATCCTTGAATAAAGTACAGGAGTATGGTCCGTACTTGCAAGTTCGCCAATTGGGCGAGGTTCAAGATCAAGAAGATGGCCAGACCTTTCTATCAATTCCATGCTCTTTTCTTCTCACCTCGTTGGTATAAAACGATATGCCAAAAAGGCTGGAAACAGTAATTCGACAAGTAACCCGAGTGGCAAAAGATGAGAGAGACGTTGGAAGGAAGGGCGAAAGTAGCAATGAGATGTAAGAACAGTATGAGGCCGTGGGTAAGATAGGTAGGTAGGTTATATAAGTTGCAGACACAACACACTTTCTTTCCCGTTGCCAGATAGAACCTTACAATATTGCCCTCTTGTACTGTAGTAATAGTCAGTCGTATGAGGAAGGGTGGACCAGAGGCTACAAGCAAGTTTTGAATAGCTTGGAGTTGGGTCTGAATTTGCCTGCATGGTCTCGATTTGACTATTGATTGAGAGTCTTGTAGGATTTCTAATGTTTAATCGGGTGTCGCCTCGAAGCCAGAGCCAGCATAATCGCAAACGACCCTTTGACTGGGTATTCAATCTAGTCCAGTTTCTCCTTAGTAAGGAGTTGAATTGAGGCTGGTGAAGTAAGGTATGCTGTGATTGAATTGAGCTTGGTGGCGTAAGTCATACTGTGCTTGAGAAAAGATCTGACAACAGCAGCGATCGGTAAATTGTCGTTATGTCTGGTAGCACTCATGAAACTGCCTCTTCACTCTCCATCTGACTCAATCGTTCTGAGAGGGTTCTGATCGATCCATCCGTTTACATAATCGTCAGCTTTGCAAAAGCCAGAGAGGGCTGGTCTTTTGAAAACTTCGTGCCAGGTTGGCCAAGACGACTCCGTCATCCCATCCTCAAAATTCCACGGACGTTCAAGCTCAATGATAAGCACGGCCTTTTCTCTCAAGACATCAAGCGCGTCCGCCCATTTTCCGCTCAAAAGACCGAATCGCTCCATTTTCAGCCACAACATTGGGTGCGACGATGAAACCAGCAGTTCGTCAATCCAGGGTGCTAATTCGGTAAGATGGAGTCCCATAGATTGCAAACGGAGCTTTCTCAGCTTTGGCGATTTGAAATTGGGGATGCAAGACCATAAGCTACCCGTGTTTTGCGGCGTCATGCCCTCAAGACAGATCCTCACATTTTCTAGCAGCCGAGAACTGCACATAGCTGTGAAAAACTCTCTAAGCTTCGCTATCTCGACCGTGCTGAGCGCATGTTCACGTCCACAATCAGTTATGAAGTCGAAGGACTTTAGATGTTGCATTGCTGCGGCGAGTTGTTGGCTGTCGCTGTCCGGGGAAAGAACGGAGTAATCATCCAGGGACTGCGTTTTAATTCTGACATCGACAAGAAAAACCCCAACTTCGAGCTCGGCGATCGGGCCGTGGATAAAGAGACCTGCTGGAGGGTGACCGATATTCAGGCTTCTTGCTTCTTCCCAACCACTCGGGGAAACAAGCCGTTGAAAGAGGGCTTTGCTGTTCATTTGCCTGCTCACAAAAGCTTATTACGGACTCGGGCATACACCAAGATCTACCGCAATTGAACCCCAGCTTTTTTGAGATGGGCATTCGGGCAATTGCAAGAGCGACCTTTCTGTTGAAAGTACCTTGTAACAATAATCTCTGTTGGTCTGATAGGCGTCGACAATAGTTCTTGTAAGCTTTTTGCAATAGCCGCACATGAGTCTGTGAGAGTTTGGGATTTTCGTAACGATCCGGTGCATTAGCCAGATAGCATTGCCAAGATGCTATCATTGCCTGCATGGTTCTCGCGGCCTCTTTATAATTCCCTCTGGGCTCCACGATGTGTCGAATCCGCGCAGGGTTGGTGAAATATCTAATCTCTAATTCTATTTCAGAGACATGATGTTCTCCAAATATACGTGTATCAGAGGCTAACACCGGGTTATAATACTGCAAGTCCAGCATAACAAGTGTTATACTCTTCCTGATAAGTCGATGTTGGGAGATTTCCTCGAGTCGGGCAAGAGATGGGGAGGAGATCTCCACGCAGACAGAGTGCATTAACAGGTGACAGCTGTTGTTGTGGAAGCGTTGACATACAAGCTGCAAGTTCTGGATGTCGCTAGAACAACAGGGAACATACTGATTACTATCGTAGAAGCCTTTGAGCCTTTCACACACTCGAAGATCTTTGATAGTATCTTGTTCGGCATATCCCTAATCGTCAGAGGTCTGAGATAAGGTCTCGATACAGCATTGATGTGCGTCCGGAAGGAGCTTTGTAGACCGTCCAGTATCGACTTCAAGTGTAGTGCCCTCTCGCGTTCCTCGTCATGGCAGTATCTGAAATCCACCTTGTTCTTTGGAGGAGATAAATATTGACCGAAAAATCGATAAAGGTGTTTTCCCCACCTATCAATACTCCTCAACATTGTATAAAGCTCGTCCAGATCAAACTGACTGAGATCATTTTCAGCGAGAAATAAGGCATACGCGTTGAGCTGATCGCGAATGATGTCATATCTTCTCTCAGAGCTCGAGGAAACCATGGCGGAGTCGACGTATATGAGGAGAAATAAAATTCACAGTATATACATGTAGGTTCCAGGTAGCAATGATGATGGATGATTCTACTAGTGCTTGAATTTCGAGGTTGACGTGACGCGATCAGAACTTTACGTAGGCCACACTTGCCCGGATCGGGGCTCCACTCACCTTCTCGGGATGCTCAATCACGTCTGGTTTGCATAGCGTTGGTTGATGTATAAGTTTACGAGCAAATTAGGCATTTAATGACTTTATGCTTTCTCAAATTTCGATTTTTGATCGTGGTGTTATCACATTAGCATAAAGAAGTGAAGCAATTCCAAGCTCTCAGCAGGGGAACACATTGACTTGACTATTTACAATTTCAGTTTTGATTTGCTTTAGAGGCAGAGCAACGTAAAGAGACTCCTCCTCCTTCTTCGACCGTCTAGGGTACTGTGGCCGTTCCAACCTCACCCCCACACTCCAAATAGGGAAAGCAAAGCAAAGCCAAATCTCCACGCTCATACATGCCGACACTGAAAACTCGCTTAAAAATTATACTCTGTACAATGATATGGATGATTGATTTCTGTACAAAGAGATATTGGTGTGGTGGTGTGATATCACACGTAATGTACAATACAAGAAGTAAAAAGAAATAAGCGAGCTTTTGTGAAGAGGACAAATGAAAAATCGAGAACCCCGAACATCACTGATACCTGGCCTGTCGAACGGGCGCGGGAGCGGGGCCGGGACCTGGTGCTGGCTGTCTGGGATCATATTCCTCATATTGTGGCTCTGCTCTTGCAGGACGACTCTCGTACACCGGTTGTCGAGCATAGACCTCATCTTCATAATAAACGGGTTCAGGCTCTCGACGAACAGGTCTACGAATCATGTAGTCGCCTTGTGGATCTTGAACTCGGACGTATTCGTAAGCAGGTTCAGCAGCAGCGTATTGAGGCGCACGAGGTCGAGGTTCACGTTCATCGGCATAGACGCGGTAGTACTCTTGTCGAGGAGGAGGCGGTCTCTCGTAAGCGATCTCCTCTCCAGCTTGTTGTTGCTGAGGTGTTCGCGCGCGATAGATAGGCTCTTGACGGAGGGGTGGAGCGGCTCCTTGGGAGCGTTCCCGGTATTGTCCGGGTTGGGGGCCCATCTTAACGTATACTGGTGACCTCGAACGAGCACGGTCGTTCTCGAGTCGGACACTTTCGTACCTAGCGTATCTACTAGGCGTACGATGAGTGCCATTGCTGCTACCTTGTCTCTCATCGCGGTAGACAACGTTGTTCAGCTTGTAGCGACGATCGACCAATTCTGGTGATCGATCTCGTACCTGCTCAGGGACCGAGCTCACATACCGATCATCGTATGCGTAAGTTCGTGATGGTCGTGATAGAGGCGCTCGTTCGTGAATACCGTACTCATCCTCAGCAGCAGGGTTTACTAGTCGCCGGCCTGGGACGTATCGTTCCTCTTCGTCGTACTCTTGCCCCCGGCGCTGGGGTTCCAAAGGAGCTTGATATGCTCTGCTGCTTCCATTCCGATCAGCTTCCCATGCAGGTCGAGGTTCATCATCTCTACGGCGTTCTGGCTCTGGAATAATCTTTGGCGTGCCTTCGTTGCTTTCACCAGGTCGGAAATTGTTCAAGAAGCGTTCGGCATCATTGGTTGCTTCGTCTGTTGGTGTAGGGCGAGCTTCTGCTGGACGGGTGCCATTCTCGACCCTAACTTCACCGTCTTCCGAGCCGGTTTCCAAAGGCTCTTCTCGAACCGGCTGTCTCTCGCGAGCTTGTTGTGCATGCTGTGATATTTGGGCAACTACATCGATGATTCGGCTTTGCTGAGATGCAGCATCTTCTCCCGGACGTGTATGGCTTGCCCGTCCGTCAGCTAATGGAATGTCGTCCCTGTTGGACTGGAATGCTTGAGTATTCGCAACTCTATATTCTCTTCCGGGTGGTGCCATCTCTACTTCATCATATCTCATGATCGGAGGCTCGCGTCTCACTCGGTACTCAACCTCGCCGGAGTCATGGTAACGAGGTTGTCTGTCCAGGTAGATAGGAGCTTCCTCACGAATAAGGACCCGTTCGTATTCTGCAACAGGGATACCATAGGAGGAGGACGGCCTCCGCTCAACATACTGGCGGTCAGAATGACTTTGGTAGACTTCTCTGCGCGGCTCGTCCTCGTAACGACGATATCGTTGCACAGGCTCATGGTCCCTGGTGAATTCTCCAGATGGTCGACTACTCCGAGGAGCTTTGTAGATGGGTTGTTGGTCGAATGACATGTTCCCAGGATTGCGTGGATCATACTCCCCAGTGTCCTCTGGCACACTGTCAGGCTCTGTTGGCCTGCCTCTATCAGCGGTAGCATAGTATTTCTCGTGATTGTCTTGAGATGGGGCGAGTTCGGTGTAAGAAGCTGGTCCTGCTCTGTCCTCATAATGTCCATTGAAACCGTTTTGTGGCTCCTCCATACGCGGTTCAGGAACAGGTATGATTTCAGGAAGGGCATCAGTAAATAATCTCAGCTTTTGGTCATCCATGCCGGGGGCATTGACAACAGATGACAATTTGGAGATGTCCGGGAGATCGACCATATCCTTGGTCCAATCCGGAATATGGCCAAGTGTGTCATGCGGTACTCCTTGCTCGTGGACGGAATGGAAATGATTGACAAGCTGAGGAAAAGAGAAATGCTTCTTCTGGGCAGTTGGAACAGACCCAATCATACCTAAGCTGCATGCTTTACAGACCAAGCCGTTGACGTTCCTGACTGGGCGCATGTCCTTATTGTTAGATAAACCATCCACCAATATGGAGAGCGAAGGATCTTCCTGGAAAGTGGATCGAAATCTCTGTAGAATGTGAAAAATGATCGTATAAACCTTGAGGCTTCCTGGAACTTCCTTTAGGCTACCAATAGAGCTCCAAATGTTACGGGCATTTTTGACCAGATCTTGGAGTCTAGCTGTGTATTCCTCTGTTCTTTGGGGAGGCTGGTTATAGTTTGCTGGTGGGTATGTAGTTGGCGGATTATATGACGAACCATACTCACTAGGTGGTGGAACATATGGTACTTGCTGAGCTGTCACATCAGGGGCTGTCGTGGGATACAGGGGTGCAATCTGGGGTGATGCATACATCCCTTGACTACCCGATGTGTATTGACCGCTGTAAGTCTGCTGCGGGTAGCCTTGAGGAGCGTCATTGTACCCGTTAGTTTGTGGATGCGGTACAGAGTACTGCGAAGCCTGATACCCCGTGGAAGGTTCTTGGTACACTGGAGAGGGGGCATAGGATCCATTCTGAGGCGCAGAGTACTGGTCTCCATACTGCGTATTGTTGTAATAAGAACCCGAGTTGTCCTGGTAGCTTTGCACGGGGTGTACTTGTGTTGGGGCAGAGACAGGTGCTGGCTGGTACCCACCATAACCATAACTAGGCTGCATGGCCGGTGGTGCACTTGAGTATGGAACACTGACAGACGGCACCGCTGGATAATAGGGCTTCATGGAACTGCTGGAAGGATCCGGATTGAAGGGGGGATATTCAGGCCATTCCGATTTCCAATGAACGACCACGCTTCCAGAACTAAGGGCGCTCGTATGCTTGGCAGCAAAGTGTTGGATAACACCCTCAAAGCCATAGTACTTGGATGCATAATCGCAAGCATTGCAAAGAAAGAGTTCCTTACGGTATTGCTCAGTGTATGGCTTCACTTTGGTGTCGAAAACCCATTTCATGTTCTCCAAAATAAGTCTCCGGGTGTATGGGCCATTGGGTGGGTCTGCTTCTGGTTCCCTTCCAGTCGCACGGATGGCTGCTTCGTCTTTGGCAATCTCAGCATAGAATCTTTTCCGGACATAGATCAAGACATCGGCGGCAAAGTGTGGAGACGTCTCGTAGGATACCTTTTCGCCACCATTCCAACCATCACGGATGATTTCATCGGCATACCCACCAATCCGAGCACGCAGAGGGGCTTGAAAGTCGTCCCATTCCCGATCCAAGGGATCCTTGGAGTCAGATCTGGCTTGTGAGTCTAGAACGCGACGCTCTTGCTCTTGAACCACTCGGGTCTGAGCGAGTCTGTCTTTCTCTCTTTGTTCGGCTTCCTCACGTTGTGAAAGAAGTCTTGGCTCCAATACTTCCCAAGCAGAGTCAGTCACGGGCTGGATGATCTGAATGGCGGCCTGAAATGAGGGCATGTGAGCTAAAACTGCAGGGGTTATAGGCGAGTTTAGTAGCATGCATCGTCGTTCAATCTCTGCCTTTCGGGCCAATTTCAGTTCGGCTACCTCCTCCTTTGTTCTTTCATGTTTTGGTAGTTGAGGTTGACGAGACGTATAGGATGCAAACCCATTCTGTATTGGCGACCCAAATCGGGGCGGGCCGGAACTTGCTGTAGAAGTCACCAGATTAGCATGTCCTGCCATTAGGTCCGACCTGTTGTACGTACCGATGATGCTGTGTACTGCCATCGGGAGATGTTGGGTCGAATTATTTGGAAGGTGAGGAGGCTTTGGCAAAGAGCCGTTGGATTGGTACACGGAAAAGTTACCATTAGTTGTGGAGGATGCTGCAGCTGTCCTCGCTGATGCGGTTCGTAAAAGTCTGCTCGCAGCCTCTATAGCTTCCAAGTTGCGCATGCGAGTGAGGCCTCCTTGAGCTTCCCAGCGTTCCCACCGAGCTGCATCGCTCTTCTTTTCCTGCCCTTGACCATCCAAGCCTTTTAACCACTCCTCTGCTGTGGCCAATCCCAAGGCTTTGACCTCCTCAAATTTCAGTTTTATCGCTTCGATTTGAGATTTGGAGAAGTGCTTCGCAACAAGTACACCAGCCGGGGGCTGCCCACTCTCTATCGTAGATGGAGAGATAACGTTGAGCTCATTGGTAAAGAAGACGAAGGGCAGAGCAGTCAACAACGGCGAGGGAATAGACGAAGAGAGCAAGAGGTCGATTTCCTAGAACGCAATCAGCCCCGAACAGTCAAATAACCGATTGCGCCTACCTTCATAGATTCTTTCTGTAAGCAGAGCCCACAGTAGCGGGTTCCAAATGACCAGATAGGGATGACACTTTTTTCACCAGGGCCGAGATGCCATTGATCAATAGGGGTCGAGTAGTTGGGCTGCCTCTTCTTGTCACAGGATTGGCATGTAGAGCCACATGCTAGCTTCCACATATCCAACTCGGACATTCCTAACAATGGACTCGGCATACTAGGTAAATTGTAGAGACTTCTGGAGGCTCGCCAAATGGAAGCCGGCGTCAGGATTTGTGTGATTGAGACGGAAAGGGGTTCAAGTGATGGACCAGCTGAAGAAGGATCAAGATAGGCATTGAAAGATTTGTTGACTTGCAACAAAATACCCAAAACTCTTGGGGGGCAGAAAGTAAATATATGATGCCAAATCTCAGGTGGGAGGAGAGATCGGTCCTTTCGTAGACGATTGTCTGCCATCCGGTGCCGTTGGATCGCACCATCGGCCCTGAGACGCTTGTGTACTTCTAAACGAGGGATGTTGTGGAGACCATTGGCAGTATCTTCAGAAATGGAAAACTTTCTCTTCTTGGACGTTTCTTCTGGTACTTCCGGGCTTTCCAAGACCGTAGATGCTGGAGCTGTCGAAACTTGAATCGCCTGGGAGGGCGCATTGTCCTGTTCTTCCTCTTCTTCATCGTCCGAATCTGTAGACATAGATATGTCTGAGGCTGAGTCGTCATTATCGATTATAGTAGTGCTGTCCATGGTTGGAGGATTCCGGTCCTCACTCATACTCGAGATGGCCTGCGCAGGAGGGGAGTCAGCAGAAGTAGAGTCCGCCGGTGACGAATCCGTGCTGTCCATGGAGAGTTCGCTGCCTGGCGACTCCATATTCTTCTTGCTTCATGAAAGAGTCTTGTACAGGCTTGTAATGGTCACAGAGATTAGATTCCTCGGCACCAACTGAAAAGAAAGACAGTAGAAAAAGGATACAACGCAATCCGATTGTATGAAGAACTCTGACCAGACACAACGAACCATGGGAGATATTGTGCGATGATCAGACTGGCAGAAATGCCTCGACAGTCTGCAGAGGAAAGGGACACTGCGTCATGCCCATGCGAATCTGCGATACAGCTAGCGACAGAAAGCTGCAAGATCGCAAAGAGATTGAAGCAGAGGCAGCGACAGCCGCTGCAGCAAGATATGGAAGAACGAAGTGGAAGAGGAGAGAGATGGGTCTTCGGGGGGTGTACTGACAGTATTATGTACTCGCTTTTGTGCTTGTCCTTCAGAGACGGGGCGAGTTGAATGCGAAAAGTAAGGCGGACGGAGCCCGTGAATGATTGGTTGTTGATGATCTGCTGTTGTATGCCACCCTTGAGGCACAGGAACAGCTGGGGGGGTATCTTGACGTGAATGTTTGTAAGGAAAAGGTGTGGCATTAAGAGCTGCATGAAAACTTCATGTCTTGTGGAACTGACTATTCCGTAATGCGGCCGCTAGCCGCTCATCTCTAGTGTCGAGCTCAGCCTGTCCAAACAAGATGACGAAGACTCAGGCTCGCAAATTCAGTACCTCAAAATACAACTGCAACTTTGCCCTTTGCACTATTTCATTCCTTCACGACCTTCATGCGAAAATGGCTTCCTTAAATACATCAACGAATGGCCCCTCCATAAAATCGTCATACCAAGGCGTGGTCAATTCTGCTGCACCATCCGGAGCCGCCGCGAACTCGCCAACCTATGGACAATGGGCAATCTTCTCGGTCTCAGCCCCGCTTGTTAACGCTTTCCAACAAGATAGTGGTGGTAAGGAAAGTGTCTTGAAAGTTCAGGATACAGGTGGTAAGAGGATATGCGTGCCCAGATTCAATATAAAGCAGTCACTGACTGGTTGAAACAGAGGGGGAGCTCAGTGACCTGATCGATGAGTTCTCGGAAGGCCGAGTTCAATTTGCGTTCCTCAAAGTCAAGGATCCCAATACTACATTACCGAAATATGTCTTGATCGGATGGGTGAGTGTTGTTGTCTGTCGATGCTGTAGTATTCAACTGCTTACTGGTGAAGTGCGGGGAAGGAGTGCCAGAAAGAACAAAAGGCTATTTCACCAGTCATCTCGCTGCTGTTTCGAAAATTCTTCACGTAAGTAGACAAGTGCAGATGGGATCTGTTCTAGACGCTAATGCTCCGCTTAGGGCTACCACGTCCAAATTACGGCCCGCTCTGATCGCGACCTGACGCCTGAGAGCATTGTCCAAAAGGTCGCAGATGCTTCTGGTGCAAAATACTCATCTGGCAGTGCCCCTCCTCCACAATCCTCTGGTCCTCCACCTCCGTTGGCCTCGAAGCCAGTCTTTAATCCTACTACCCGGTCAAGCGGAACCTCGGGCTTCAATCCTTTAGCAAGTTCAAGATCCACACGGAACAATGCAAATGTGGATGATGATGGATGGGGTGCCGACGCTCCGCCAGTTACGAGATCTCAACTTGAGAAGGTTCAGCCTGCATACAAACCTACCAAAGTCAATATGGCAGAGTTGACCAAACAGAAGCCGGAGCCCACACGATTCAATGGTGGCAGCCAAGGAGACGAGAATACCGGTGCGGACGTTGTGAAGGGTGGCTATCAGCCAATTGGCAAAGTGGACATTGCAGCTCTTCGTGCTCAAGCGAAGAGTAGTGGAGATGATAGACCAACTATTGTGAAGGGTGCATACGAGCCGGTTGGCAAGGTTGACATCGCAGCTATCAAGGCTAGGGCGCAGAAACCATCTGATGACGGGCCTCGACAACTCTCTCCTGCTGTGACTGGGACATCTGGCACAAGCGACGAACCAAAGTCTCTTGCAGATAGGTCTGCTGCATTCTCTCAATCAGAACGACTTACAACGTTGCCCAAGCCCAAAATTGCGAATCGATTTGGCTCTAGTGCTTCTAACTTTACTGGTACCAAAGCACCAACTCCTGGAGCTTTCGGCCTTCAATCAGCCCCCACAACTGCCGCACCTGCACCTGTTGGCGCTGCAAGCAGAACGTTTGCTAATGAGGGAGGTAAAACACCACAACAGATTTGGCAAGAGAAGAAAGCTCGAGAGCGAGGCTTAAGCGGAGCTGGAAATATCACACCAAGCATGACTTCACCTATCAAGAGTCAAACTAGTGGAGGAGGAGAATGGAAGAGCGGCTATAGTGGCAAGTCATGGGCTCCTGTGGCTACTAATCCTACTGGCCGTTCTGGAACTGGAAGTATCGGTCAACAACGAACAGGCGAAGAAGAGCAAGAACAAGAAGCACCATCATCACCAGTTGGAGGTATTAGTGCTATCCGAGACAGATTCAAGGGCGGTGCGCCAATGGGGGCACCAAGCATGACGAGATCAACGACAGGCGACCAATCTCCACCACCTCCTCCTATCAACATGTCAACCAGACCAGTCGGCGGTGTTGCTATGCCAGGTCTGCCATCACGACCAAAATATGATGACGAGGAGGAAGAGGAACAGAGCCGCCCTAACATCCCACCTCCACCCTCTGTACCACGAAGCCCCACCCCAGAGCCAGAAGAAGAAGAAGAACGTGAATCATCACCCGTTCGACTCGCCATGCCTGTTTCTCGAAGCAAGGAGCCTGAGATGGAAGCAGCAGAAGAACTTCACCCACCTCCCGCTCTTCCAACCAGCATGGGCCGTAACGTACCCCAAGAGCCAGAACCAGAGGAAGAGCCAGAGGGTCACGACACTGCACGTGGTGCTGGTGCAGCAATGGCAGAAGCCTCATTCGGTCAACAAGCATCTACCACCAACCAAGGTTCTGCCGCAAGTGGCAAGCGAGCCCTCATCTCATACGACTACGAGAAAGCAGAAGACAACGAGCTCGAGCTCACCGAAGGCGAGTATGTCACCAACATCGAAATGGTCGACGAGGATTGGTGGATGGGTACGAACTCTAAAGGCGAGAGTGGTCTCTTCCCAAGCAACTATGTCGAGCTCGTCGACGAAGAAGAAGAAGCTCCTCAACACGAACCCGAACCTACACCCGCACCAGCAATGGCACCTCGACCTTCTGCTCCAGCAGCTGCTCAATCTGGACCTACCGCCACTGCTCTATACGATTACGAAGCCGCAGAGGACAATGAACTAAGCTTTGACGAAGGCGCCAAAATCACTTCTCTGGTAAGTTTCCTATTCCTTTACACTTGGGCTAAATGAACTAACACCCACCCAGGAATTCCCAGACGAGGATTGGTGGCATGGCTCGTTCAACGGCAAATCAGGACTCTTCCCAGCCAACTATGTACAACTTGATGAATGAATGAAGGCTCCTTTGAGCTAGGGCGACAAGGTTTGGGCAGACTTTTCGTGTTCTTATCTTAGACATAGCAAAAATTTTCCCATCAAAATACAAATTCTGCTATGGTCTTTGCCAAACAAAATTCTCCTGTGGTCATTTAGTGGTAGGTGCTTTATGTTGTGATTTGAGGTCATGTGATCCCCAGCTGCGTCCAAGTTTGTGACGGATTGCCATATTGAATGTGTTCTCACTTCTTAAGTATTGAGAATGTTAGAAACAATGTGTTCTTCATCGCATCATCCTAGCCATTACGTACAATCTGAAGAGCAAGTTTAAAGTGAGTTCGCTAAGCGTGTGCAGCATCTGACCTTGACTCTTACCCAATTAACAACTCCAGGAATACAACCCGCTTGACACTCAATGTCCAGCTACTGGAAGACCTGACGATGAGTATCTCGATGCTTTTCTACTCGCCGCCTCCGTAAGTATGTCCAATAGAGTCTCCGTGAGTACCTGCTTATCCGTGCAACAAATGCTCTCACTTTCCTTTTTCCAGAACTCTCCTGTAACAAGTTGTTGAATCTGCATACGGCAGAAAATCAATTCCACTGAGCCAAAAGCGTCTTCGAATCTTCTACAAGCTTGTCCGGTAATGTGCGCAGGCGTTAGGGGACCAGGTTCCGTATGAGAATAACCCAAGTGCCGCAACATATGCTCCACTGGAGTCTCTGGATTCATGAGTAGACCCAATCCTGAGGAGTGTCCTGGCCAATAGCATTCATAGTCTTCCGGCTTCCATTTCGAAATTATGAGCCATCTACAGAAGGCTTGACGGCTGACATCAGGCCAGTTATCTTTGTAGATGAGTGTCGGGTTGTCCTCCTCTTCATTGTCGAGTGGTAAATCGTTCTTGTTGCGAAGTGGCAAGTCATTCTTGACATTGAGTTGTAGGTCGTCCGACGGTGAATCTGGAGACGATGTCGGACTGTAGATCGATCCAGAATCTTGACTTGTTCTCACCGACGAAGGTCTAGCAGGAGTTGATTCTTTTTGTAGAGAAGTATATCTTGGACAGGAAATAGTGATAGTATCTGGACCATGGAGATCTTCCAAGTCACTGGTGGATCCAGCCTGCTCGTGAGCTCGGGGGGATGTATGAGTTGCTGTGTCTCGAACGAAACTCAATGGGGAAGTCGGAGATCTGCTGTGTTCTCGACCTGATGCGCCAAGGAGGTTTGGGAACTTCGGAGGCGTTGAAGACTTCAACTTCGGCTTCGACTTCTTCTTGAAAACTTTCGACGGTGAGTGCTCTGGCGATGGCTGTACTTTCTTCGGTGGTGATTTTGACATAAGTCCAGCGGCTATGGACTGCTCTATGGCCTTTGATCTGGTACGTTGCTCAAAACTGAGAGCGATATTAGCACGAACAACTACGCGCAAGGGAGTACACACTTACACTTGTGGTGTGTCCATACAATGGTTCCACTTACTCTTTACACAATTTGAACATGGTTTCCTCAGTAGCTTCGTTCTGTAATAGTTGCATGATTTTTTCTTGGCTTCGGACTCGTCGGCACAATTGTAACACCATGGTTGAGGAGGTTCTGACAGTTTGTGGGCACTTGTAGTATTCAACATGTTCGGCAACGAACTAGACTTTAGGTCAATCAGAATTGGTAGTGGTGTACATGGCAGACTTACCAGTGCTTTACTAAGGATAGTTCAGGTTATAATCTGAATGCCCTATGCTCGGTTCGATGATATCAATGTTATGTTAATGATTCTGTAGAGGAACGGAAAGTGAAGAAAGTAACTTGTTATAGTGCCATGATTTGGCTCCTTTGGGAAAGAGGTCCTGGAGACATGAAGTAGAAGAAGGTGCGATCTCGGTGTTGATATGTGATAGCTCTGCAAAATTTCTTCGCATCACCAAGCAATTGCGAACTATTGAAAATATCATGATTTGGTTTTGACTTATTGAGACGCATTATGGAGTTGAAAAGGGAAGACTTCGTATTATCGGTATGCTAATCCACTGAAGCCACTCAAAGAGGCAAAGCACGCAAGTATGGTTCCGATCAGAAAAATCAGAAATTCAGAATATGAAGATTCGCATGAGGCCGTAAACAAAGAACTGAAAATCAACCCGTCGCATTCCATATCCGCAATTGCCACGTTTGTGCCCGTATCTCCAGTATCTGAAATGAATCATGCAACCCCGATTTTCCTGCGCATGTTCCCCGTGTTCCTCTGATGTCATCGATCTGCTGCTGATGGTTGTACATTAATTGACAGTCGGGTGTTTAGCAGCATCCTTCGGCGCAATCTGCGAAGTGATATTAGTGATTGTAGAAGGGAAGTACGTGTGATTGAACATACCAGCACAGTCGGCGCAAGCTTCGCAGCCCTCTTCAGCCACGCAGCAACAGCACAAAGCGGCGAGACAGGCACCGAGGCAACCATTTCCACCACTGCTTCTTTGCGGTCTCTGCGGTGGCGGTCCCTGTTGATAACCTCCCATCTGCAAATACAATCAGCAATGTGAATCAACTTATCCGTGGTATTAAATACATACTTGGGGTTGTTGTTGGTAACCTTGTTGATATGGCGGTTGTCCATACGATTGCTGAGATTGTTAGCATGATATGAACTGGCAGTTACAGTTCGATGAAGATGCGAGGAATCACCGGAGGTTGTTGTGGGTAGCCTTGGGGAGGATAGCCACCTTGCTGAGGAGGGTAGCCCCCTTGCTGCTGTCCGTAGTATCCTTGATTCGACATGATGAAGTTCTAGAATTGATTGTCAGAATATCTTCCTGCTCGTTATGCGACGCGATTGATCGTACGGTTGATTGTTTGCGAAAGAGAGATGGGTTCTGTGGATGAGAAATTGATGCGCTTTCGTGGAGATGTTGTAGGAGAGGAGGTGAAGTCGAGTGCGAAAAGGTGTTTGGAATGGAAGATCTAACGCTGCCAAGAAGGGTCGGTCTTAAATGGTTCAAAGGATCTTGGAGGGGGAACGTCAAATCGCTTGCACTACGGAATAGCTGCCACGCCACTAAAAGTATCAAGGTCCAGATGCATGCGAGGTTACTCTCTGGGGAAATTTCATTTAGATTTCATTCGCTGCATATTATTCCCAAACTCATCCGTCCATCCATTTCCTATGATTCAAGCGCGGAGACGCGATGACGCCGACCCATGTGGCGCCCTTCAGCATCAACACAGCCTCTCAAATTCAGCTCGCCTGCTCGATTTCTTGCTTCTCAGCCACAATCGCCTCGCAATGGTTTCATGGCCCGACCGCTGCCGCTGGAAGAAACGAGAGTAGAAACTTGAATTGCCATCCATGATTCGTATCGCTCGAACCTCTGCCTCCTTCTCACTGGACGCAAGAATGTACTTTTGCGCATTCTATTCCCATTGGTTTACAATCAAGAAGCTCAAGCCACCGGTTCGCAAATGGCCAATTGCAGCACCCGACGTGAAGACTTTGATCAGATCCGTACCTGATGACTGCTCGTGAGTGCTACCAGACCAGTAAAAAGCAGCAGTTTCTTCTTCGATTATGTCTCAATATGCATGCTTGGGAAAAGGTGGGAACATCTTTGGAACAATTGCCGGTTCGACTGCAAACTGTTAGCTCAACATGCTCTGGCAAAAGCCATTCGCGCCTCAAAGCTACGTTGTCTAATATCATCATTCTGTCAGTAGTCCTGCGTTGGTGACGAGGTATCTAAGTAGTTCTTCCCCCCTCATTGGCTTGTCTCGGGCTTGCCTTTGTACAACAATCTGCTGTGGATCCATGTGGACTGGACTGGAATAACTTATACATTGGATAGCTCAATGAATTACAGAGTTCATACCAACGGTAACTCCTCCATTTCCTAAACGAACAATGAAATCTCACAGAGACTGAGAACAACTGCAATTTGTGAATATAAGGCTGAGTCACGTGCTGAGGGATATTCGATCGCGTCATGCTAGCGCCGATTTTCTGATAACAAAATAGTTGAACTTCTCCGGAGCTCAAAGGAAAACATACACTCTTCCCCCAACACATATTGTCCGCTTCTAACTTCGACACTCCTCAAACCCTCTATTAAGACCCCCCGAACACTCAATTCAACCAAAGACTATCTGCAAGACAAAGATCCTTCCTCAAAGGCTCCCCCACCTACCCCGCCACGTCGTCCTTCGATTGGAAATCCGATAAGTAATCGATCAACACGAAAACAAAAGTCGTTCTTCAACTTTCAAAAGACCATCTCTCATCGCTGCTGAAGTCGAACCCATCCGCCGAGCGAATACAGTCTTTTCATCATGTCTACTCTCGTGGAGATTAAGTCTGAGGATGCTTTCAATAAGCACTGCTCTGCACTACCTGCTTCCACTCTTCAGATCATATACTTCAAAGCCGAATGGGCCGCACCAGTAAGTATTCAATCTCTGGCTTGTGAATGAGTTTCACTTGATATATCCTGGTTGCTGTATCTACAAATTATACCTCACGACCTAGGCTTGCTTGCTAACCAACCTAGTGCAAGCAAATGACCACAGTCCTACAAACTCTCGCCTCCTCATACCCAACCACCGAGCCGCCATCTACATCATGGATTGCCATGGATGCCGAAGATGTTATGGACATTAGCGATGCTTTCAACGTTACCGCAGTGCCATTCCTTGTCCTCAGACGCGGAGAACAAGTCCTTGAGACGGTCAGTGGGAGTGATGCTACAAAAGTTCGGACTGCTATTGAGAAGCACGCAAACACGTCGAGTTCAGGTGCAGGTAGCAAGGTTTATTCATCTGTAGCTGCCACTGGTACAACAGGAACCAAGAACCTAAGCAATTATGCGCCGTCGGCTCAAGACCCAGCGACTGCTCCTCAATATTCATCCGGCGAGGTTAAGGAAAGCAAGGAGGAATTGCACAAGAGACTGTCGACATTGGTCAAAGCGGCGCCAGTAATGCTGTTCATGAAAGGAACTCCAAGCGCTCCTCAATGCGGCTTCTCGAGACAGACGGTTGCGATTCTTCGAGAGAACTCGGTCAAGTACGGATTCTTCAATATTCTAGCGGATGATGAAGTCAGACAAGGCTTGAAGGAGTTCGCGGATTGGCCAACTTTCCCTCAACTGTGGGTAGATGGTGAGCTTGTGGGTGGATTAGACATTGTGAGTTTCTCTTTGCTGGGTATAAGTGGTCAAGCTAATTTAATACCTATAGGTCAAAGAGGAGATTGCAAATGACCCCGATTTCTTCAAGGCATACAGCATACCCAAGGCTGCGACGGCTACGACATAGAAAATGAAAATAATACCCTTTTTCGCGGTTCTCTCATGGCAATTGCATTCTGCTCTATCTTGATGGATGAAGGAAAGTGATTTAGCAGGGTTTCGGTGCTTCTCAATTGCGTGCATGTTTTCCGGTAGGAGGGTTATGGCGAGTGCCTACATGAAGAACACCTCTTGCAGCTAACCTTCTTGGCTACATGCCTTTCGATTAATCTTCCAGGGTTGTTTTCGCTACAGCTAGTCACATTCTGCTGCAGTGCTATGAGACTTTTCTAGTCATGTATGCTGTAAATCTACGCTCGCTTTTTGAGGCTATGTTAATACCACGCAAAATCTTCGCATTAGCACATAGAGTGTAATATCAACAACCAAAATCAACGCAGTGCCTTCAGCTTTTGCACACGTGCAAGTAAAATCATCGTCGTGCCATAGGACACAGGAAATGCTATCAACATAGTTAAAGTCAACGCAAGATGACCATTCGGCTCTTAGCCACATAAAACAACGCATCATCACCCAAGTCCAGACAAAACCTTCACCCTTGCCCCTCTTTAGCAAGTCAGACTCTACCTTAAGCAGCAGAAGGTTGCCCCGGCATCCCTGTCTCGCTCGGAGTAACGACCAGCTGTCCCTGCCGACAAACTCTTCCTTGTAGCGTACAAGTAGGACACAACTGATGTTCGCCTGGTGGATGAAGACGCTCGCGCATCTCTTGCGTGATTTCGAAGAGTTCATCGCTGCCTTCGTAAGGATTTTCTCTACTGATCACATTTCCTTCTTCATCTTTTATAATTTCCGTACCCTCTATGTCTTTAAAATTTTCGTAGAATAATGGCGGTAAAACTGCACTTTTGGTATCCTCCCCGGCCTGCCTGGCTGTTTTGCACTTCTTCCATGGCCGGTGCCGGTATGCCCAGAAGCAAAGCGCAGTATTCCTTGTCGTAGTGGATGTACATGTCGATTCTTTGTCGGAATATTCCCAAGCTAAGCTGCAGTGTCTTGGATGTGTTGTCTTGATTGTTATGTTACTTTTGATAATGATCTTGATGTACAGTAGTAAGCTTCGTTAACAGATTCACAGTTTGAAAGTCTGCTTCAATAGACTCTTTGTTTAGTGCTTTGAGGAATAGGAAGAAGGAAGGATACCCAAGAGCAAAAGAAGAATTTATATTCGTAAATCTTTTTAAGGTTGTGTGAATCATGTCTCAACATGTAAGTGATCCACAGAGAGCCTTTGGTGCTTTTCAATATCATGTAAGTGACTAACTTAAGCTTGCTGGGGAGCACTGCTGTGAATCATGTGGACAGCACGGAATCTTCGAGTTTGTACTGGTTATAATGGAGAGTTGACTGCAGTTTCTGTGTACTAGAGTGGTATTTTGGAAGTATTTGCTGAGTTTGGTAAGACTTGAAGAGTAAAATGTGAGGCATATGAGTCTTGGATTTTAGTTCCTCAGTCGTGAAGCTTTTGAATGGACTTCGCGTCCCAGTTGCAAAAGCGGTTTAAGTGGTCTCTCAATAACTCGCACGTATACGAAAGAGCTGACAGAGGGCGGGAGGGCAAGGCTATACTATTAAATTTCTCACAGGATAGAGTGATCGCTTGCCAGGTGAATAAAGGTAGATGAAGGATCTTCATTCAGAACACTAAAATATGAAGTTTCGCTGACATGAGTCTTTACCCAATCTATGGCACACACTCCCGTTCCCCTCGAATAAATACACAACGTCTCACACTTAAACCTTAGTCTCCTTATCCACAGGCCTCTCATCCTGCCCGACCGAGCTGCCCGTGGCCGAATGATGTTGCACATGATAATCATCATTAGTACTCAACACATACTCCTCCTTATCAATATGCCTAAACAAATAATAAAACACCCCCGTAGCAACAAACCCAATGATAGCCGGGGCACCCAGATCCCACGTCAGATACGGATCCTTGATCAGGCCCGCGAAGGCGAGACCAAGCGCGTAGGCGATGCCGGTGGAGAAGAGATTCAGGGCCGTGACGAGAGATCGCATGTTCTTGGGCGCCCGAGAGTAGGCTAGACCGTAGGCGGGGACGTTCACGAAGAGTTCGGAGATGCCGCCGAGGGCGTAGGGGATCGCCATCCACCAGATGGAGATGGGTGCTACGAGGGAGATGCCGTCGGCGTCGACGCAGGTGGAGCTGGAGCCGTAGTGACCGCATGGGCCGATTTTGTAGGCATAGTAGTTTAGGACTGTGTATCCAACAGCGCCGATAGCGGACATGAGGAGACCGGTTGTGATACGAGCGACGGGGCCAAAATGAATATGATGTTTGCGCAGATACGGATAAAGACCATAATTGAGGACCGGTGCCATGATAATAATAGACAAGGAGTTGAAGTTGCTGATGAGATCGTTTGGCTGTCCGTTGGTGATCAACATCGTGGATAGGGCATCAGCCGCGATACCAAGTCCGTTATCGTTGATATACTGAATTGGGAAGAAGCAGAACATTCCTGTGGCTTGGAAAGTTCGGCGGACATCCTCGACGAATTGGTCGTTCCAGGGGACAGTTGTAGAGGCACCAGATGCGGCCAAGACAGATGGCTTGGCAGCTTCCCAGAAGCCATGTCGGCCGAATCTGCTGAAGTTTTTCTTTAGACAGATGCCGAGCACTTTGAAGCAGTTGAACAAATCGCTTCCTCCCGGAGGGTACAGGATAAGTTTCTTGTGCAAGTACCAGAGGACGAAAGGGAGGGGAACATAGATGGCCATTGGTAAGGTGAAGGTCACCATCCATCCAACGTCTTTGGCAAGGTAACTGCTGGGTACTCCCAAAAAGCCACCGACGTTGATTAGTAGGTAAAACCATAGAACTACACGCTCGGTTGTAGATTCAGGGTCGACGATAACCCTTTCTCCATCATCGAGAGTTTTGATCGTGGGCTTTGTTTCTTCGATCTGATCGAGGAGTACTGGAGAAACACAAGGCTTGAACATGGCTAATCCACTGTCAGTTGCGTCCAAAAAAAAATCGTTGCAAAGAGTATCTTACCAGCACCAATGGAAAGGACGTAGAGTGAAATTAGATATGGAGCAACTGCATGGCCGCTTGCGAGCAATGAGGGGGCTCCAGAAGCAATCATCAAGGCATGCGCAACACCGAAAACGGCAACACCGTAGCAGATGAGTCTGAAACGGCCAGTGTAGGTATCGGCGATGTAGCCAAAGATGACTGGTAGACAGTAAACAAGCATCTTGAAAGACTGGCTGACAGCAGTTGCCTTCACTGTGCCCAGTCCCAGAGCACCAGCGGTTTGCTGTGTTCCCTTTGGTGGCGCTCCATAGCCATTTCCGCCTACAGGAAGCTTGCGGTTGACGAAGTTGGAAATGACTCCAATGGATGAGTAGTAAGATCCACGCTCGCAGAATTCCGCAAAGCATAACCCGTAGGCAGTGTATGGAATCTTGCCAGCTACCCTGCGGAGAGTGTGAAATTCCTCAGCGGTAGGCTTGCCTTCATAGTCGTGTTCCATTTCCAGGATAATCGACTGTCGTTTCTCGTCTGCGTGAACCATGGCGCCATCTTGGTCAATGGCCAAGTGGTTTTGTGCGCCAATAGTGAATTGCGCATCGACAGTCTTTGCGTCCGCTGATAATTGTTAGCAATTTAATCCATGTATAGGTGAAGAAGCAAAAAGAGGTCTTCTTACCCATGATTGTTGAAACAAAGTGCTGCTGCTACTCTGCAAGGCGGGGATCCGGGAAGGGTCTTGACAGGAGCAAATCTTGGGGAGAGATGCGACACAATATATCCTTCACCTGCAAGCTTTCCAAGATACTCCACACAACCACCTTCCTAACATGGGCATGCTGGGACGTCGCCAAGCTCGGATGATCAGTGAGTGTTGGATCACCACTCTGGATCAGATTGACCCCTCTCTGCATTGGTGTCCTCCGCAGCGCGGGAAACGTCTCCTGCCTGAATGAGCCAGTATCCAATCATCGCGAGCTGCAAAAGGGAGGCAATGTTTCTTTCCTAGCCGTGCACCCTATGGTGAGCTTCGCTCTCTCCGTGCACTTTTCATGGGTAAGTCGCCAAGAGCCTCCATACGACCACGCATGGCTTGGCGAACACTAAGGCCAATCACCATTTAGAGTTTGATCTACTAGAAGGAGATCTTGGTTGTAAATTTGAAGCACGAGAGATAAGGTACCTAGTCGTGATTTGATGGAATCCTATGCTTTGCGTCAAGAAAAGCTTTTCCATATTTTGACTTTGCGATTACCTGTGAGGCGAATGGAGATGCACTACACTCTCATTTCCAGCCCACGAATACTGAATGCATTTTGACGACATTGACGATCAAATAGATTCCAAATTTCATAATCATTGCATGACAGTACATGGAAACCAGTTACTCGGGACGGCCCTGTCAACATAAAGGAAGGTGCCAAGTAGAAATGTGCCATTTTGCCTCAAAAGGTGCAGCTCCAACCTTGTTGAAGAAGCATATCAGCATATCCCTGTAACATACCATGACCTAGGGACCTTATTAATCGAACAAGCTGCCATCTCGAGACTCGAATTCGGGCCGCCGACGAGCTAGAAGAGATCCAGAATGTTATCAGTTCGTAACGTTATCCTTAAGCCGCCTTTCGCCATCTCCATGCGTGACCCCTAGACCCAGATAGCTTCCAGAACAATCCTTCGCGTCCCGGAAACCACTCACCATGCATCCTTTTGCAATAGAGCGTCTCGCCACCCCGCACATCAGCATCCAGATCCCGATGCAAGCGGCTATCTCGTCGATTTTGGTGTGATGGTGTGCTTCGGACGGCGCGTTGAATGAGGAAGGTGGCTACAGCCGTGAGCTTATTTCAACGTCTTGGCATCTTGGCGGCGGGTCTTAGCCTTGGTATTTGCCTTCGCCTTTTGTTGCTCTTCTCTTTCGCCGCCAATCATGGCATTCATGTCAAAATGCCCTGCGGTGTTGATCATTGGTCCAGATCGAGGTGAGGCGAGGGGAAAGGCTACGTTCGTATCAGATAGGGGTATCACGTGCTCAGCCATGAAAAGTTCTATAGAACGAGTTATGGCCAAACACCAGAGATAAAGTGAAGAGCAATTAACTCCATAGCTTTCAACACATCTTAATAAGAGATACTTCTTCGTGGGAACGTTCTAGCCATGTGAATGTGACTTTCTACACGTGATCTATCAGAAATTACTTACAAGCTCTTTATTTGGGCCTGAAGCGCCCCGTAAGTGAGCTTTGCTCTTACAATTCAAAATGATCGTCTCATCCAAATCATAAAGTCTGGGCCGCTTAGTACAAGAAATGGCCCAACTTCATTCCAAAATCGTTATTCCTAGCTACTTCCTTTTGTCGTTTTCTTGCACCTGCTCAAATTCAGACGTGGAAAGACATAGAGTCATTGAGCTGAAGATGCATGGAGGACGAGAGAAGAACGAGTAGTGAGAGCAAGCTTTGCTTCACTCGGATAGTGGAAAGACAGAGAGACCAAAAAAGACCAAAAGAGACAAAGTCTAGACAGACTTGTCCACAGAGCAAAGAAACTCTTGGTATCTACCAAACGACGGACACCTCTTTGTACACAATGTTCCTATTGCCTGACCACCAGGTATAAGAACTTCCATTTCGCTTCAAAATGCTGCTTCCTCAGACATAAATTCCAATTTAGTGCAAGCCTGTCTTGGTCCCTTGTGACCATGGCGGCCTTGAATCCAGGTAAGGAGCTCGAAGTTATAAACCAGCTCCCGTGGTTAGCTGACTGTGGTCTCCAGGTCAGTTCTCGAATCACTACATCGAGCTAAGACCTCGCGCGGACCTCGACTTCCGATTCGGAATTTTTGCACGAGCAGACATCGCAAAAAATATTTGCATTCTCGAAGAAGCCCCGTTGTGCATTTCCTTGCACAACACCGAGTTCAACAAATGTCTCGCATATGAAATTCTCACCAATAGCAAGAAAGCCCTGTTCAACAACCTGCGATACTATTGCTGCCCCGATTGCAGCATGTCCACGACTTATAAGATCTGGTCTTCGAATGCTCTTAAGTATGGTGAAGATGAGGCGAGCATCTTGTACAACGTGGCGTCTTACTTCAATCACGACTGCACTCCCAATGCTCTGGTTGACACCTCTTGTCCCCGCCACGCAGGTGGCCATGTCAAAATCATCACCAGGAGAGATATTCGAGCCGGGGAGGAAGTCACCGTTTCATTCATTCGAAAGCCAGGTACGACTTCGCAGAGGCGGAAAGAATTGAAGGATAAATGGAACTTCACATGCTCGTGCCAGACTTGTACATCCAATACCAAATTAACGGCCAAGATGCTCAGAGAGCAAGATAAAGCAGTGATGGCCACAAACCTCGCAACGCACCTTTATGGCGTGGACTGTCTACCATCGGCATTTGATCTGCAAAGATCTCAGCAGATGAATGGTTTCATCGAAAACCTCAAGGTCCGAATTGCCGCCCAAAGTCAAGCCTTCCTCGACGATTTTCAAGCGGCAGAGAAAGATTCTGGGAAGCATTGGAAGGAGATCACTCCAGCGAAGCTTCTCGCTTTCATTGAACAAGTCGCAACCTACTTGCGCGAATTGTTCCCGAATTCGATCAGTGCAGACTTCTTCAAGCGAACAGGTGACAGGGCGGCCATGTTTAATCAAAAGATTTTGACAGAGGAATTCTTGATGGAGGAGGCAGCTGCGAACTATGAGTTTGTACTCGAGGATGCTTACATGTCTGGAGAATAAGCTTCGTGTCATGCAAATAGAAGAGACGTCTCTGACAGAAGCTTGTTGCTCTTACTCATGTACTCTTGCGGGAAATGCCTTGGTAGCAGGAAAATTCGCGGTCTATTGTTTTTGGAGAACTTTGCTCTTTCTTTGGAAGCTTGTTGCTGTTTAAGACGAATTGCTGTTCTTGCATACAAAGAGGCTAAAAGAGTACAGACAAGCGCAGATGATAGGACGATGTTGGCAAGACAAGGAAAAGTTTGGACGCGCTGATTCTCAAGATGACTCCACCGATGCTCCTCCACTGAAGACTCAAGTGTAAGAATCAATTGGAACTGGAAAGATAAGGGACACAGGACGTGATGCAAATTGCCAATTTTGTGTACATTCCATCTCGATGCTAGAATTGAAAGGAAATTTTATTGATCTCGTTGCCACTCAGTGGATGGCATCGCAATGCTCCAAAGAAGGAGATGATTCCTTCAACTCCAATAGATTCTGATTCCCTAGCTGGAGGCAGGAAACACGGAATAGTCAGGCTTGCGCTCAGTGTTGGCTGTTTTGGTGGTTATTCCCGTCATTCCACCTTTCGACGTATTGATCTGATACTGGGGCATCAGGCATGAGCTGACTGTTGATTCCATATCCAAAAGTCTGATTTTGATGAGTTCTGGCGTCTGGGGATGCTTGTTGGGTTGGCATTGGATACGTCGGATCAAAGGTAGCAGTCGACGAGACGTTTCGGTCATCTGCACCGAGATGATCGTTAGAGCGATAAGGCGAGGCATTACCTGGACCATTGTGCAGCGGGAGTGCGATCTGTTCTGGCTGAAATTGCGGCACTGTTGAGTGATAGCCAGTGGAATACGTTGCAGCACTTGTACCATAGAGAGAAAGCGGGGTTGAAGGCTGATAGCTGCTATTGACGTGAGGCTGCATAGTCTGGGGTGATGTATAGGTCATTTCGTTCTGTCCTTGACTTCCATAGTACATAACCGAACTCGCCATAGATCTTGCCTGATGTTGGTAGTGATTGTTCGAAACAAATGACTGATTGCCGAATTGGTGATGTGGCCCTTGAGTAGTTCCGCGCGTTACATCTCCCGACACGTCAGGTAAAAGGTCCAAGTCTCCGTTGTGAGCCTATCTAATAGAGCATATTGTAATACCCTCAGTAATTCTGCCGCTTCCATAGGAAGTGGGAGTTCAGAACCTTGCTCGCTTGATGATTGTTGCGACGCCGTTTCGATGGCTGCCCTGTCAAGACAATGCTTCGTATGCCACATTGTGAAAGCTTCAAAAGCGATCTTCTTGAATAGATCGAGTATCTCGTCATCGATCAAGAATAAATGAGGTAAGGTCGAGTTTCGAATCTGACTTTGGCACATGGAGTCGTAGCACGAGGTGTATTCCCTCTTTTGCTCCGATAATGAAGAGAAGGACAGATCGTTACGCGTAGGAGGTATACACCCTATAGTATCTGTCGTTAGTCACGGCAGATCAACATAAGACATAAGCGGAAACATACATGGAATAGGCACAGGGTCGTCTGGAAACAGGATTTTCCATGTTGCTTCCCACTTTTCAACATCGGAAGATTCTGGCTCAAAAGATCGTTTGTTCTTATTAGAAAGCTTAATTTTTTCGATTTCGATCCATTGGACATCATTGACTCCTTCGTTTGGAATAGAGGGGGTTTCTGAGCAGCCACCTTTCCTGTGCAGAGACAGTGCCTTGATACGGGTCTCTTCGCCACCCTTGAAGATCTTGAAGCATCGCTCGCATTGAACGGAACGATGTGTTCTTCTCAGGTGCTCTCTTCACATCTGTTAGTACAAGATCGCCCGACATCCCACCCATCATATCTTTCCATGACTTACTTCAGTCTTCGAAAGCCTTGGAACCCAGGAGAGACGCAGGTTCGGATGTCCGTATTATAGTGCGCATTGTATTTATGTGGGTTGTGCTTGTTGAATGGGCATGCGAGTTTCAAGGTTCCGTTGTCCACTGTATCCGCTTTGGGCTTCTTGAGGTTGCGGCTTTGGCTGTCATCATAGTTTTCATCTTCCTCCTTTTCTCGAGTGTTTTCGCCATGATCTGAATGTCGTACATCCCGTTTACCATTGCTGTTGGTGGAGGTACTGTCCGAGACCTTTCGTCCAGTTGATGATTCCCCCCCTTGACCAGAATGGCCGGCATATTGATTGAACGCAATCGCCCATGATCCGAAGAGAGGGGACTTTTCTCGGTAGAAGATATCGCGAAGCTTGGGAATGAGGCACTGCGCAAGCTGGTAATCAGGGCTGACAGCTTGTACAACTGCTGCCTCGAACTTCTCGAGTTGAAAGATCCAATGGTTGTCATCTTCATTATCGTCATCATCATCTTCTTCGTCCTCTTCATCATCTTCCTCGTCCTCGTCGTTGCTCGATATTTTGACCTCATCATGTGAAGCTTCTTGGCAGTCACCTCTGAATTCTTCGTTAACTTCAACATCGAGTTCTCGAGAAGCCTCTGCTGTCCGTGAAATGGTATTCGCCGCTTCATCGATATCTTCGTGCACGCGCTCCGCTTCTGGATACTGTTGAGAGACCTGAGCCATCTCCTGGATACTGCAAACTTTGTCAATAGTTGCATCTAGTCTTGATGGGTCAGTCCAAGCATACCCGTCCGTTGAGTCTTGGGAAGAAGGAGTATTTGGTGCACTGAATTCAGAGGATGATCTTGATCCTGACTCACGTACCGGCTCTGACCTACCTTGTCGGCCGAACATGTCCTGGCTGTTCATGTAGTCTTCTAATGACGGCGAAAAGCGTGGCGTTGTTAGTTTTTGATTCGGTCGTCTCATAGTAGTCCTTTCTAGCGTCGGATGATAGGTGTATCTCGACTCCAACGTTTGTCTGAAATGGGAACTTGTTCGGCCTTTCCGGTCCTCGGTCGAGGCGGTAGATATTGTACCTGACACAGACGCCGCGCCAAGCTGGATTTCCTTTTGGGGGTAGAGAGGCATCTCCGGATTGGAGACATGCTTGAATGCGGCATTATCCACATCTCCTTCGGGATTATTTTCCGTGGTAGGTTGCGCCATTTTCAAAGGAAATCCTGTGGAAGTGGGGGCCAAGATAGTCGTCAAGTTCCTGAGGTTGAAAAAAGAAAGATCTAATTCCAGAATGCATAGGAGTTTCCTAATCTGAGTAGACAAGGGGATCCTTTATGTCTTCGGAGGAAAAGAGGGAGAAAGAGGGAGACTATAAAATATGAATTTAACTCACGTTAGGCTTTCTCTTGTCGATGTCCCAACATGCGGCTCACAATGCGAACCTCCAAGTTTCAAGATGGCTCAAACAACCCTCCAACCAGAACAAAGTGAACGAGGAAGATCGTCTCCAGGATCACGGTGTGTGAATTGGGGCAAGTCCATCATTCTGGCGTGGTTCTGGGGTAAAGCGAGCCTCTCAGAGGCGCAGCGCCATGCTGACTGAGACACTGGGAGTTGGCCGGCGACTCTAAGTGGTTGAAGGCGCGTGTGGCGGCAGCATGGATCATTCTGTCGCTTGCGCATTTGGGCGGAAAAACTCCTTTGGATCTCGAATCTTGGTCGCAGATGCGCACAGCGTTTATTTTCCCATGGTAGAGGTGGTCTATAGGGCACCTTTCCGTGTCCACCTTGCGCAAAGCCTTCGTAGCGTCCAAGACTTGAATCCAATGTGGCATCCCTTTCAACATTTTTGCACTCTGTCCTCAGTGTAAGGCAGATAAGGCAGCAGCCGCGTGTTTTGAGACGACGCTCGTGTTGTTTTGACTGCGGTGATGAGACTATTCGACCCCCACCCTCACCATGGGCAGGTCCTTCGGAGGGCAGATTCGGAATGAAGGCTACTTTCCAGTTCGCCTTCTCGCCATTACCTACATTTTGAAATAGACTTCCTTCCTAACAGGCTTCATAAGAACCTTACATTGATGGGCGATATTTGCTTTCGTGATGATACGGAACTATGGCAGCGTCAGCACTTTCAGCACTTTCAGCACATATCAGACCTAAAGTAGGCGTAAAACTCGATATTTACTTCCGGGTAGAGAGAGAATCAATCGCGCTCCTTTCGTATTTCATGCTGCATGTCCAATAACACGCGACGACAACCCTTCACGTGTACAGTCTCCGACGTTTCGCTCTCGGGTTTGCGTGCAAACCGAGAAAAAGCACGACGAAACAGAAAAGAATTAACTCTCGAGCTCAGGACCGACATCTGGAGATTACAATCACTCAAACTGAAGGCATTAAGACACCCAGAACAGCTTTAGAGAAAGGGCTGCAGATCAAAGATATATAACATGGACGGAGGTGAAGTCCTCCAGGAAGTACAACATGACTCGAGCACGGAACCCTGCAGTGGAGCCGCACTAGCTTGCACGTGATACTGTATCACGATGCCTCACCTTGATGTGCTTTCTTTCCTTCCGCCATCGAATCGAGTCGTGTTATACTCTCTGCCCTTCTCTTCGAGATCGCAAAAGTTGGAGCACTATTTATCTCTTCAAGTCGAGAGCGCCCAGGCTGACATGGTATGATATGCTATTGTTTTATTGACTACCAGCGCCCAAACTAGCAAGTTCCTGGCTCTCAAAGTATATTGCACATAGGAAATCTCTAAAGACGCGCGAAAAGACGAGAGATGGGGTTATGCAGACAAACAACTCCTTGCGACACCCTTCTCCATGAAATATGCCCCTTGCCACAAAATCAAATTGCCATCCGATTCTACCATAACCCCGTTCCAAAACATGGGTTTAGAAATGTATAGCTTCACCGACTCCATTGGGAAGACCGTTAGTGGCGAGTGTCTGCTGCAGCAGTTCCTTTGTGATCTGATTGAGGCATCCTGCACTGGCGGCGAAGAAGCCAAGGTATGGTCGTGAAGGGTCCAAGACCTTGCTCTGGTATTCGGGGTGGAACTGGACACCGACAAACCAGGGATGGTCTTTCAGTTCGACAATTTCCATACGGTTGCCAGTGTCGTCTTTGCCGATGAAGTTCAGTCCAGCTTTCTCCAATTCGACCACACTGTCCGGGTTGACTTCGAAGCGATGTCGGTGGCGCTCCTCGACCACATCTGCATTTCCATACAATGCCCGCAGCTTACTCCATTCGCTGCCTTGTTGAAAGTGTGTAGGCCGAGATCCCTTGAATGATATCAGTGACATTGACCTCTAAGCTCTTACAGAGACACATACCAACCTCATTGATCCTCCCATCTCTGTTCTGCTACCTTCTGGCATGAACATGATCACCTTATCTTGAGCTTTCTGATCAAACTCCTCCGACGTGGCATTCTTCCTTCCACAGACATTCCGCGCTACTTCGATCACGGCTACTTGCATACCGAGACATATTCCCAGCATCGGAACCTTTTTCGTTCGAGTCCACCACGCCGCTTTGATCATTCCTTCAACGCCTCGTTCACCGAAGCCTCCTGGAATAACGACACCACTGGCTGTGTGAACCGAAAGCCAAGCTTGGTGATACTTGGTAGGATCGCTGTCCTGTGTGGCATCTTCCAGATGTTCAGAGTCAACCCAGTTGATATGGAGGGCCTTGTTGCATCTCATAGCCGAATGCTCCAGCGACTTGACAACCGAAAGATACGCATCTTGAGCTTCAGTATATTTGCCAACAATGGCAATATTGACCTGCTCCAGATGTTGTTTAGGTAGTACCGTCTTGTTCCACAACTTCCACAGATCTGCACCCTTAGCGACTAGAGCGGAGGAGATTGCTAATTTATCTAGTTGCAATGCAGAGGTCAACTGTGTGACAAGGCCCTGCTGTTCAAGCAGAAGCGGTACTTGGTAGACGGTTTGCATGTCTCGTACTGTAAGTACCTGCTCAACTTCTCGATGACAACTGCGGGCAATCTTCAGGATCGTCTCTTTGGCAAGAGGACGCTCACAACGGCAAGCAATCTGTATCTTGTCAGCACTTACTCTGTGAAACAGTCTATGTATTTACCAAGTCTGGGATGAGGCCACTAAAAGAAGTATCATTAGTAACCATGTATCATGAAACAGGACACTCTCGACAATCTGGAAATACCATGGAAGGGGGATTAATCGCACGAGAAAGTACTTACGCTTGAAGTGCCCCACGAATTGAATGTTGCGTGGGCTTACTTTTCTCCTCTCCGTGTATTCTGTCGTCGTTGAAAGTCAGCAACCATTTGACCAGGACTTCTTCGAAAGAATCTTATTTCGGACACTTCTCTATAGTGCATAAGAACTTCAAGGAGGGATAGGACTTACAGCGGCACGTAAGAGACGTGAATGTTGACAAAGTTTCCCTTCCCTGCTCTATGTCGAAATTGAGTCAAGGCCTCCACGAAGGGCATGCTCTCGATGTCGCCGACAGTACCACCCTAGCAGACAGTGAGCTCCAGACGAGAAATTGGAGGCGAATCTAGGGGAAGTTGCAAGCTCTTCCTAAGTTCGTGAATACGTACCAATTCGACTTGGGCAATTAATTAGTAAAGATATTTCGGCGATGTTCAGGAACAAGACATACTGATGCACACATCCGGCTCCTCTCCTGAATCATCTGCTGAGACCTTGGCAACGCGTTCGATCGAATCTTGAATTGCATCGGTGATATGTGGGACAACTTGTACGGTTTTGCCCAGGTACGTCCCTTGTTGATTCTGTTAGCAACTTTGCTACTCGCGACATCTCATTGCATTCAACACCTTTTCTTTCTTCTGATAGCACGTGGCTGGTAGAAGGCCATGTTAGCAAAGATGCCATCTCAGATTTTGACCTGCAAGACATACCTGTAGATCTTTCCGGTTGTGATATTGCTCTAGAGTTGTATATGTCAATAAAACCGCACGGCTTAGGTCTATTTGACAGAATAAGCTGACCTCTTTTGTGAGATTAAGGCTCAAGTATCTTGAAGTGTACAGTTAGTTGATGCCCCATAGGAATAACGAGACGCAAAAGGATATATACCTTTCATAGTTTCCAAGATCAAGGTCGCTCTCACCCCCATCAATAGGTTTGTTAGCAATCTATGTGCTCTAGATGAAGCAAAGTAAATTACCTTTGAGGACGAAGCATTCACCATGCTCCTTGGGCCCCATAGTTCCTTGTGATTTTAGTTCCAATGTCCCTTCTTTGGAAAAGTATTCATACCTGCATCGATATTAAGATACGGGTCAATCTTGACCGCGGTGACCTTTAAACCCAAAGTTTTCAGGAGTAGGCCAGACGAGGAGGCTGAAAACGCGTGTGCCGTTAGTAAAGATGTAACGCGTCTCGAGATCCTTGGCGCATACCAATGATTCCCTTGCCAATTCCAGAGATCACACCTGGGAGAAGATTAATGTCATAGATTTGAAGTTACAAGACTGCATACATACCTCCAGATACCAAAACGTACTTCATTTTTGCGATTTGGTAAATGTGATTGAGTAGGACTCGAGAATGGATGAAGTTTTTGTGTTCCGCTACGGAAAAAAACTCTCAGATAAGAGTTTATGTAAGACCACGTGAGAGCGCATCAAAATCCACTAGGTCGAATACTGACTAGTCCAGCAAGCCAGTACTAAAGATTACCTACATCTTATATTCATTCAACGTCGCCTTGGATTGCCTCAACAGGGACTGCGAACGAAGAAAAAGTGTTGCAACTCACTTACGTCCGACCTATATCGGGAACAGCTGACACGGTCTTCGCAGGCTTGTTAAGTGCATGGACAATTCCTCCAGTTTGAAAACACCACCTACTGCGGCTTCACGACAAACCGAGAAGAAGACCAAGTCTTTGGTGAAGGTCTGCATAAGAGGGCATGGCATCGAGGCTACGAAATACCAGGACGGCACCTTCCCGGATTAATACCAGTTTCTATCTCCCGCGCGAATTGATTTTCAGATTTCTTTTCCTTCAAGTTGCTTTCCATGCCACATACCCATTTTTGTTCTGATGCGGGAATAGAACGCCGCTTTTGAAAAGATGGCCAGCCTCAATTAAAGCAGCCACTGACTTCTATCACGGGAAACGACTTGCGATTGCAACGACAACACTCGACCAAGGACGGAGGCATGTGCGACGCCCTACATAACTTTCACTCGCAAGAGACACATCCCAACTTCAAGCAGAAATCAATCTCGCGCAATAAAGAGAGCAAGTCCGGTATCAGCGGTGGCTATGGCGGCTCAACAACCACAGCCTTACACCTACATCAGTAAGAACCCCACGAGTTGGGCTCGGAAGGCGGCCGATGCGTATTGGCCGTGGTTAGAATGCAACGTAAAAGCTGAGCAGGTTTCTAGAGCTTCCGGATACGGTATAGTCACGATCCATGGAAGCATTTCAACACCAGAGCTGGGCGTACGTCACATTGAGTCTTTCCCAGAGATAAGCTCATGGTACCATTCCACCCAATTGCAGTCAAGATTGTCTTGCTTTTTCTGCAGGGCGTCAAATCGATAAATGCGGCGTCGAGAATGCAATGTTTTATTGGCATGCGACCCCGCTCGTTGTGGTGTGTTCGAGAGTTCGAGCAGCACGTTGCTCCTTCTCATTTGAAGATATTGGCCCCCAGAATCCTTCGACCAGCGAAAGGGTGGTGCGCGGAGTCAACTATCCGATTCCCCCATTGAGGCTCAATTACTCGTAGTCCGAGTCCCTCTCTCAGTTCCTCGTCCATCTCTTTCACAGCTTTCATTTACCATTACAGTTTCCCTCACACCGTGGCTTTCTTCCTCGACCTCCCTCGTTAAAGAAAGAAGTCTCGCTTATCATGGATCCCATCACAGTTTTGACAAGTGCTGGAGCCCTTATAACAACTTGTGTTACAATTACGAAGACAGTCCAGCGTACTGTTGAGGGCCTCCAAAATGCCCCAGGCATATTGAAGTCTATTGTTTCGGAGTGTAATGTCTACACAAGAAGTCTTGAAGAGCTCGAAGTCTTCCTCCCTCGACTCGGGATAGCACGTCGAGCTCATGATCCTCGTGGTACAACGATCAACGATGCTCTTGGTCAGATACATCTGACTTTGACGAAATTGAAGAATGAGGTGGGTCGTGCTGCGGGGTCATCGAGTAATCTTGGCATCAGAGGAAAGTTGAGGGTTCATTGGAACAAGGATGTCCTGGACCAGTTGCTCAGTCAATTACGAGGACAACACAGCTCTTTAAGCTGCCTCACATCTACGCTCACAAGGTATGTGATGCCTGTCTATGGAAAGATCCTGCTCATCCCTCACAGCCAAACAATTCTGAACAACTTCGACAAAATACATAAGGCTGACCATCGAGCTTCAACACAAGCGAGTGAAGTGCAGAATAAGGTCTCCGAGGCTGTTAGGAATGTGAGTTTTGGTTCGACCCATGGCCTAGCATGAACTTACATGTTGTAGAAACCTGTACAGACCATGCCAGACTTGACATCTAGATTCGGTGGGGTTTCTTTGGACGACCTATCATCGAGGCAATATGGCAACTACAGATCCACACAAGCTGCGTATCCAAATACCAGCAGACGGCTCGTCATGAATGAGCAAGCCTTCAACGAGATGATAACAGCCATGGCCAACAATGATCTTCGCACCATACAAAGTCTGTTGGACCGCGGATACGACTTGAACTATACGCTTGACGAATACGAAAGAGTCACACCTCTTCATCTTGCTACAGCAGGAAGAGATATTGACCTTGTTCAGAGATTTCTAGGAAAGGGAGCGAGAATCAATTCAAAGACTTCACCAGGTGGTGCCTCTCCGCTCACGTATGCGGCTGAACTTGGGGACATTGCCATGCTCCGTCTACTCTTGGGCAAGGGTGCTATAGTCGACAATAGAGACGACTATGGTCTCACTCCAATGCACAGCGCAGCAAATGGGGGCTTTACGGAAGTGGTCATTGCCTTGCTGGGAAAGGGAGCTAACGTTGGCGCCGAAGGTAGTGATGGGCTCCAAGCACTTCACCTTGCTGCTGGCGGAGGTCACTCAGCGCTAACAAGGACCCTAATTCGAAGAGGAGCTTCTGTGAATGCGACGACTCATGATGGATTCACGCCTCTACATTTGGCTGCAGCAACTAGCGGAACCGCGGATGCCGTACGAACTCTCGTTAACGAAGGGGCTGATGTTGATAAACGCGATAGCTTTGGCGCATCACCCTTGGATCTAGCTGTTTCTAACAGCAACCTGGAGGCAGCGGATATATTGCTGAATCATGGTGCCTCTCTGGATCCAGTTGACTATCTTTCTCTGCCATTCCCACCTCCACTGGGAATGGCTGTTGCTTCTGGCAGCCTTGAGATGATCCGTTTACTGGTAGAGGCAGGAGCTTCATTTGACCTTGCTGGGTTCGGGTCGGCGCTATTTTTGGCTGTCTCGGAGGCTGCATCGAACGAAGATGTTGTCAGCCTACTGATAGATCTCGGTGCAGATGTCGATGGTCGTGATGCGTCGAATTACGACTCGGAGCTTCAGTCTCCAGCACTTGCCGCCGCTGTTGTGAGCAAGTTCTCTATCGTCACTGTTCTAGTGGATAGAGGAGCCAATATTACCCGAAAGCATCGCGTCACAGGCCGTACCCTCCTTCACGAAGTGGCCATTCGCGGTCCAATTGACCTTGCCAGGCGAATCATTCGCCGCAATCCTGAAATGGCTCTTGCTCGAGACGAGTTTGGAGAAACTCCAGTAGATTATGCCACATCTTCCACCGCTTCTGAGCCAGGCATGGCGAATTTCCTGCGAGATCAAGTCATGTCGCTCCTTGGCGTCAAGTATCGTCCTACGTCCATGTTCGGCACAGCCTTTGGTGATGAGCCTGATCGCCTGGATTTCGCTCTCCCATCAAAGAGCTTGGGCGCCAAAGCTGGATGTGACTGCCCCATTTGTCGCGAACTGTCGACCCTTTTGAATGACATGCCTGCGGTTTCTGGCTGCAATTGTGCATCGTGTACTAGCAAGAAAAACGCAGCGCCTGCACTTCCTGGTTGTAATTGTGCTTCGTGCTCAAGCAAGAAAAGGCCAGCCCCTGCAAAACAGACAAACTCTGCAAATTGTAGTTGTGCTGATTGCCTCAGCAAGAAGCAGTCGAAGCCAAATTCTGCACCTCCTAACTGCAATTGTCGAGCATGTCAAGAGAAGGCCGCTACTTCAGCTATTCCCTCTTTGTCACCGCTCTCTCCTTACGATGACGATTTTCTAGGCTTACCACGACCACGTTCTCGTGGACCGCAGCACTCCAACTGTTCCTGCAGCCTATGCAGAACACAATCAGCTCCAGCTCGCTCTCAAACCCCGCAGCCAAGATATGTCGAGCCGCCGTCCACACATTCGAGATATGTACCCGGCTGTCCTTGCCCTCCACAGCCGCCTTCGTTTGAGGACTTTTTCTTAGCTACACTGCAGAGTGCTCCACCTCCACCACCCCCTCCCCCTGCACCTCCACAACATTCCATATACAATCCAAATTGTCCTTGCCCTTCTTGCGAATCGGCAGCGATTGATGCGTTATATTTTGGGGCGTCGTTACCTATTTATTTACCGCCTCCGCCACCCTCACGACGCTGGTGGGAAGACCTTTAAATGCCACATGCAATTTCTTCTGAGGTAGCAGGTCCCTTCAAACTAACTCTTACTGAGTGCTCTATTTATGCTATACTTCTTGCATCTTGGTTTATGAGCAACGAGAGTACATGCTTTGGTATAGGTCTTGAATTTCTGGGACTTTATGATGCTCTTTCTTTTTCGTTCACTCATTGATGCCTCGACACAGTGCTGCTCCTTTTCTCGCATTACATGAACGTTACATTACTTTGCTTCCACAATACTGACGCTCCTTGCTCTGAATGCCATTCCTGAATCAGAGGACTCTGTCACGTGATACCGACTGACCTGTTGATTTGCCCTTAGAGCGACAAGTGTATGCTGAAAACAATTGACGCGTTATATTTTTTCTCGTATGTTTCAACTAGCCAGTTTTCGATCATACCCTATGTCGGTGTTCGGACTTCCACGTGTTGAGTCAAGTACCATGTAATTGGCAGGGATTATTTTGCTATATCTGTATGATTTTCAACCTCCAAGCATCACTGCCGCATCAGGAACCAGATATTCAATCATATGTGCAATTTGTGGAGAAAGGTGCATGGCGATTGGAGAATTGTCTCGATTGAGAAATTGTCTCGGGAGAACCGAGCTGGTCCCCGCATGCAGCTGTGATACCTAGCCACTGACACCGACGGCATGGGCTACGACAGAAGCACAACTTGAACAACACGCTGTGGACCAACAAAATATGTCTCTCCCTGCTACACGGCGAGAATTTCAATTGAAACTTTCTTCCTTAAAGATCTCTTGGCGTGCGCATCAGCTGGCCACGATATGCAGTCTTTCATGGCACGGGACGCTTTCCGAAGTTTGTTTTGGCAAATTCTTGACTTAAGTACTCCATGATCACAGCTAAGTTTGAAGTTGAGCACCTTTGATACTTTCCTTAAAATTTCATAAAGCATTTCAAAAAAGAACTCAAAATGGTTTCATTATCCTCGCTTCTCCTCCCTCTCCTCGCCTCGACTGTCCTCGCTGCGCCTTGTTTGGACGATAACGAGGCCATCCACATCGCAAAGAAGTGGCTCGATATCTGGTCCTCCGGTACCATCACCAAAGAGTCTCAATTGACCACTCTCGTCACCCCAGATATCCAGAGCTACGATGGAACTTACGGTCAAGCCACTGTTGGAATTGACGCTTTATTCGCCTCGTGTACATATGTAGACCCATTGGTCAAAGATGTAGTCCAGGTGCCGATATTTATCTTTCACAGTTGTGATCAGATAGCTGCTCGCTGGACTTACAATGCTCTTTCGACGGGAGTTGGATCGTACGTATTCCAGATATTGTGCGAAGTTCGGGGCTAAATGTAGACAGGACGGTCAAGGCGAATACTCCTATCTTTTTCCACGGTACTGAGTTACTCCATGTCGATCTTCAATCGCGACTTATCTACAACTCAACCTCAAGCGCTGACTGGGTCCTGCTGGCGACTCAACTGGGTCAGACGGTCAACCTCTAGATGGGAGAAATATATCGTGGGGTTCCGTTACGCGGGTATCATGACTCCTCGCTATTTTTACTGCTGGAGCAAGGACGGAATGTTTGCTTGAAAGTCATTCAAAATAAGGTCTGGCTTACTAGTTTGTGGCTACAGATGTACGGGAGAAATGTAATGCCGTTTGTGACAAGAATGTAGCTATTCTTTAATCGTAAAATGCTTGGCGAGACTACTAATGAAAGTGAGGCCAGTCCGATGTTCCTTGCAAACTTTTCTATATTATCCGACAGACCTACTAGTGATTGGAATAGCCACCAGAAGCTTCTTACACGATCTTCATACGGAAATTAACTCTTTTCATTTCTTCCGTTAGTTCTCAAGTTATGCTGCTGCCTTGCCTTGGAGGTCAGGTGTGACTCGAATATTCCACGCCTAACTAGACTCGAGCAAGTTCTTTGTTCGTACGTATCAGTATGAGACAGAATACTCGACTATTGATACAATGTCTAGTATATATTCTTTTCTCCAGGTGCTCATAAACTTCCTGCATCAAATCATTATCTGTCTTCGACATCGAACACCAATACTCCACCTCATCCATCATCCGCACATATCTGACCAAGCGAAATTCCGCCTTCGAGTAGTAGCTCACTTTCAGTATGGCTCCTTACCTCAATGTAGGTGGTCTGAATAGCACATTCGCGATTCTTCAAGATGTTCCTCCTCCGTCAGGAACCATCCGAGTCCTCTCAAGGACGCGGAAAACTTACAATAAAAAACTCATACAAAGCCAAGTTGTACCTGCAGTAAGACAATTCATCACACAACATTCGAAGGCAGATCTTTCGGCCATTACTGGCACACTTACCGCATTCTTCGACTCCGCCCTCAAAGACTATGGCGCCAGAAACGCAGGAGAGATGGCAAAAGCCCAAGCATGGGTCTTCATTACCATTTCTAAAATCAACTCGTACGGCAAGCATTATTGGCATAGAGACGGAATTTGCGGCCTTGAGAATGGGAGAGTCCTTAGCAGATATAGCATGGCAATGGTTGGGCCTCCAACGGAGGTGATTTGCTCGAGTGAACCACAACTCGGTCTTGAGCTGCATCACGCGCAAAAAGGCTTGGAATCTCTACCACGACATCCTATAGCCACTGGTCAGGTTTATCGATTCACCACGGGTCAAGGGGACTCTCCCATTCACTCTACACCAGTTTTCAAAACTGGCAGAATCTTTGTTTCGGTCATCTATTACTAGATCATGCTGGACGGTGGAGTTGAGTACTTTGCCGGCAAAGTGGTCAGGAGATGAGGAGCGTCATTCAAGCTGGTCTTGGACTGCGCTATGCATAAATTGTAACTTTAGAGGAAGCCTGTATTAGGTAACATGACCATTAATTACAACTTCTCCAAACATGAAACGTGAGACCATAGTAGAGGAAAACGTTACTCATGTGACAAAGATGGTGGTGTTGTTTATCACGCAATTATACAGCAGAATAAAACGTGCCCCTCGCATTTGTTTGTGACTTCGAGTCAGATGGCATACTTGGAATCTATTTAGACAAATCATTTTGTGAGCCCTTGGTTAGGAGGCAGAAGAAGCTTTGGACTCTCATATCTACACCCATGGTGGAAAAGGCAATTAGCAAATAGCACGAATACTTGATCTAGTAACATGACGCTGAGCTAGCTGACTTGCGCTCATGAGCTTACCAGCTCAAACGACTGCACTTGCGTTCGTTTAACGAAAAGCCAACTGGCGATATATATTCATGCCAATACTTGACGTTGGAGGTTAAATAAGCGGACTTGAACGTAAATCGTTCTCTAGTGGTTAGATCAAGACCACTAAGGATAAAGGTACCGTAGGCAAGGAAATTTGAGCCTCACGAATCTTAGCGGTTTCAATGATTGCACTTGGTGCTACGCTCTTCGAGATGACTTTACCATTAATGGTCAACCGAGAAAGTTGCCCTGCGCTATTGCTTAGTGCTCCTAGTCTCAGCACGTGCTAGTGTTGACATCGTCTCGTTCCAGACTCCTTCAAACTCTACAACTTCTTCACAACCAAAAGATTACCACAATTCACAACTTCTTCGCAATCATAACGATACCTCAAGCACTTCGAACTCCTCCCAAAATGGCAGACAATTCCTTGATGATGGCAGATATGATCGGTAAGTTGATGGACATGCAACAGCAACTTGCGCATAAGCAATCTTCTAGCCGGGACCTTCAACAAAAAATCAATAACCTCCACTTGGTTGTTGACAACATCTGCCGATCATTTCAGAAGATTGGCGACCTTCCAACTCTTAGGGTTGACGCAGATGATCAAGTAAGTAGCCATGACTGAATGTCCAGTCCAATAACAGCAAGAGCTAACAATTTATAGACTGCTGTCATCTTAGCACCCACTGAGAAGGCACACCGCTCCTTCCTGGGATCTTTCTTCCTCAAGAGAGCCAAGCACAATCCATTGCCGTGGATGAAGCATGATTCCGACCAGCAACAAGAGGAAATATCCCAACCAACTAAACAGCAGGCCCCAAAGCACAAGTCTGAGAGTCGCGTCGAGAAGGCGAAGAGCATGAGTAATGCGAAAGGCATGTTCGCTCCACGCGCTCCACTTTCCGAAAAGAGCACAAATGCCCCGGCAACATCTCAACTTTTCAGTAAGGGCCCGAAGTCTGAGGCTAAGAATCTGCATCAAAGAAAGTTTCGGAGTCTTGCACGAGTGTAAGTTGTGTATTAATTCTCCATTGAATCATGAGCGTGATACTGACCAGTTCTCCAGTGGATCTAGTCTGCTGCAGGATTTGCAAAATCTTGCTGCAGAAAAGCCCGCTCCGACTGAAGACTCATTCAAGTAAGATGCCCTTCGCACACGAGCCTCGAATCCTTGCTAACTGATCTCTTCATAGATTTCCAACTCTGGCCTACAGACCAAGACCAGCTTTGAGCAATGCTCTCTTCGAACCTCCGGGTTCTTCCAAAACCAGTTATGGAAAGCTCGCAATCTCCGATAATTTTGATGCCAAAGAGAACAAAGGAAGATGAGGGCAGAAGTGATTACTCTGCATGGAGTGCACCTAGGTAATAGTGAAGGCGGCAATAATCGTTTGCGTTGGGTATGGAAAGGATGGATGTGGTATGGGTTTGCTTTCGTTAGTCTTGATGCACATTTCCATAATATTTGCGACTCATGAAACAAAAGCGTGCACATACTTTCGCCCACCATCATGATGTTCGAGTGTAGATGTTCAGTGAGCTTCGATGAGACGTGTTTTATCCTTCTCAGCCCTGTCAAAGTACCTGGTAGTGAAGCAGCAATAGTCGCCATCGATCAATTGTTTCTTTTGTCTTCGAATTCTAATCTCTTAAATCTCACTTGTATTATCTCAATCCATCTTCTGTCCCTAGAGGTCTCCAGATTCTGCTCATTCCCTGTCCCCAAGCATTCCTCTTTCCTCTCGATCGTTTAAGTTTTGGCGCACTTTAGACTCCTTTCTATCATGCAAACTGAGACTATCAAGAATAAAGAGATTGCTTTAGAAAAATTAAAGGTTTGAGCATTGATATCCTTAAATTACCGCGCCAGAGACTACAGTTCTCCAGGTGCATTCATCAGATAGTTGCGGTGCGCTAGTGCCTAAAGCTGCCCAGCTTCATCTAAGCGCTAGCACTTACATGATCTCTATTCTAACACCCAAACAGCTTACGGCATACACCATCACGAGTACGCAAGAACTACTGTAACTCGAACGCAATGGCTAGCTTATCTTTGACCTTAGCCGACATTGCCGGCAAGGCCATAGACTTGCAGCGCCAACTCGCACTTGAGCCTTCGCCTAGTAATCAATTGATAAATCAAATAAACGATATCCATTTTCTATTCGACAATGTCTACCGATCCTACAATAAGAGAGAGCAACCGACTACCGCTACGGCTACTGATGGCGCAACTTCCAGCGTAAGTAGTCTAAGCTTCTTGCGCATCGATATGAGCAGGCCTTAACATCATACAGGAACTTGTCATCCTATCCCCGACCGACACCGCACACCAAGCGTTCGCCAAGGGAATTCACATCAAGCAGTCAAAACACAATCCTCTTCCGTGGATGCATCTTGATGTCAGTCTGGGCAAGGAGAGCAAGGACAAGCCGACTTGGCGTGCGGATGCACGTTATCGTATTCAGAAGAACACCAACACAAGCACCGTCGTGAAGCGCCGCGTCCGTCGTCACGTTGTCTCTCAAGCAAGCTCAGAGCGATCTAGGGTAGTCGGGGAAGTCAACGATGAGGATGAGGAGGACGACAAGGTTGAGTTGGACGATACCACATCTGAACGAAATCTCGAGGTCACGGAGACATATCAAGAAAAGGTTCTGAATTCTCCTGACGACGAAGTTCTTCCAAATTTCTCAACTACATTGTAAGTCATCTTGCGCTCTTCCTCTGACATCATACTTCCAGTCTTATTAACCTTTTCATAGCTCCTCAATTCTGGCATATCGACCAAAGTCGGCTACTGGTTCCTTCATGTAGGTTGTTCGTCGATGAGACCATATCATATACGATGACGGCGTGTAACTTTCGGTTGTCAGCATCAGAGAGGATAGAGCTTTTTGTGGTTATGGTGGATTTGGTATTGCGTCTCAGATGATCTTCCGCGGATGTCGTTTGGTGAGTTTCTTTGGATTCGTCGGCCTTTGTAGGTAATTACTACAGCACCCGAGCTTCTGAATGCAAAAGAGTACTCAAAAGTTCTCTATGACAGTGATTCTTTGTGACATACCGTATCAACTGGACTCTAAAATATCATCTTATAAGCGAATGGAAGCAGGAAGTCAGTGAGGCGACCATGTCTAATTCTGAAAGCAATATACCAAAGACAATTAATTCATTTGATTCTCGCCATGTCTTAAGAGTCGAAAACTATGGTACGTGTATCAAAGTATAGAGCAATAGTACAAGCACTGAAATGTAGCACTTTCCTCCATATAATATTGGAGAAACATAACTACTCCACTCTAAATTATCCTAATCTACGTATCTTATTCAATGTTTGTCTTTGTGAAGGCTTGGGGAGACCATCTCTTATTTGTCCCAATCCTTTATTTCAAAATGATATCAAAGAGTTCAATTAATACTTTACACATTAATGAAGAGCGACTCGTCTGTCTTCACAGAAATGGCAAACCGGGGCACAGTTCCAAATTCTACCCAGCAATCAGCGATCGGACGTTCCGTTGTCTTCGGCTACCAAAATATTGTCAACTTCCACTTTAGCAGGAACAAAACCCTTAATCAACCCCTCGTCTCGTGCCCCCTTTCCCCGCTCGCTTAATTCTCAGCCCCCCCGCAAAAAATCCGCACACCATTCTCGATTTCCCACCGCCGTCACATACGATTCCTCAACCCACATACCGATGAGTGTGTCTAAAGACAACGACCAGCAATACCAACCTCTCGGATCCCAAATCCCGAATCCTAAATCCCAAGCCCCATTCCTCTCACTTCCACCAATCCCCTCGTATCATATCCAAACCCCCTTCCCATTACCTGATTCTCCAAACACACCGCACCACACCCCACAAACCAACAAAAACCAACAATCTCCCACCGCTTAACCTTCCGACCCTGCTCGTAGAACACCCAGACGACCACCAAAAGCAGCGCTTAATATGCCCAATCCAGTCACTCAATCTCTCAACCCTCGCAATAGAAAGCTTCCTATTCGTCCCACGGTACGAGCGTTGGCTTGGCTTAGATTACATAGAAATCTTAAACGCCGCCTCTCGTTCAGAGTACAGTCATCAAACTCCCCGCCTCTCCTCCCGCCCCAATATCATCCTCCCATCCCACTCTAAGAACCCATCACCCCTCTACGCTCTACCCATATCTTCACACTACTCCAATTTACACTCTACTCCCAACACACAACCTTTAAATCCCCACAGTACCTAGGCTATACTACACACCACCTGGGCAATGACCTCTAGTTCTACACATCATCATCACGTGCACCCCATCCTCCCTCCCCTACCTAACCGTACAGTAATCACCCCAACCTTTCCACCCTCGGGCTCCTACCCAAAAGACCCAGTTCTCCGGTCCGATGTGATCTGATTACTACACCCTTATGCACACTAACTCGATCGAGGCATTGCTGTGACCGCGCTAGCCCTTTTTTCTTTTGTTCTTTCGGTGTTTCTTTTGGTTCGGTAATTACTGTGCTATATTATGTATCTACGCTCGATTGAGATTGATAGGAGATTGACTTAGAAGTGCTTAACAGTATTAATCTAAAGAGCGTGACTAAGAGCAGTAGGATAAATTAGTGGTCATATCATAGAGCGTGATATGGTACCACAGACGTGTACAGCAGGACCAGCACAGCACAGCGATATAGCTAGGTAGCAAGAGATATATATGGTGGAGAATTTTCAACTATACATCATAGGTAGCCATACCACAGCCATAAATCGCAACCCAACCTAACCAGCCTGGTATATAAAATTCTTTTCCCATCCCTTGCCTTCCCTTCCTTTACTCTTTTAAATCCCATCCATCCCAGCACAGAAAAGTCCACGCCGGTAAATAAGTCCTCCCATATCATCTAGCTCTCTCTCTCATAGATACAAAAGATCCTCTCTCTCTCTCTCTCTTGCAGTTTTCCTTCTTCATCTCGGCGTATTGGCACCCATAAAGATATTATTCCCATACCCCGACGATTGATCACCCTGCTGCTGTGTCGGCTGCTGGCTATCGGGACTAAGTTGCGACTGATCGATGTTGGTTGGATAGAACTGGAACGCGGGGTCGATGGCTCCGCCGTTTTGGATGTATGAATCCCACGCTTCCTGTTTGTTGTTAGCATTCCATCATATCTTCCATTTTATATCCCAGAGATAGAGATCGAAGGAATGGAAAGAAAAGAAAGAACATACCCAATCCAGATTTGCGGGTACGTCCATCATCCCTTGACCACTGCCCGCATTTCCAAACACCGAGAACGGACTCGCGCCCGAGATCAGATTGCCAAACGCATTCGATTGATCCATGGCATAGTTTGGCGTCATACCCGTTCCACCAGACGAAGAGGGTTCGCCCATCGGCAAATCCATATTGTATCTCGTACCACCAGGACTCTGCGCCATGGCGTTAAACATGGCTGCTGAATTGGGTGTCAGGCCACCTGAGAGCATGCCGAGCGTCATAGCAGCTGAGTGTTCTGGTCTCAGATTTTCATCGTCGAATTGTGCAAAGACTTCAGCGGTTGAGGGGCCAGCTGGTTGTTGCTCTTGCCGAGTACGTTGGAGCTTGTCTAGGATGACTTGTAGAATACCGGATGCTTTGAAAGCTTCCATCGATTTGTCAGATGATCCTTTCCAGATCTCCTGCGAGTTCTCTAAGGTATCGAGCATGTCTTTCTTTTGAGCTGGCGTCCAGAAATAAGGATCGTAATTCGCAGGACGTTCTGATAAGGCTTCAGTGACGCTATCGTAATGGAGATCTAGACAGACAATCATTGCTGCGAGAAGGAAATCGTGCTTGGTGAGAGAAGAGATGAACCATTTCATTGTGCGCATCCTTCCTCCTGGCTGCGATTCCCGGTATAGCTGAGCTTGATGTCTGAGAATTTCCATCGAAGCATCAACTGAAGCTCGTCGTGAATGACCATAACGAGGATTCTGGCGTGCTCGTGCTATATACTTTCTATGCAAGACAACCATGGTCTTCTGCCAAAAGATGTCGATGTTAAACCGCTGCATGAGGAGCGTTGCCGGGTCGTGCGTGCACTCTTCGATAGGTCGTAGTCGTAGATGAGGAGCCATGTTCATTTTCAGGTCCCGTAGATGATTGTCTCGCTTCAAGATATCGTCGTAGCTAACCGATTTTCCATTCACGGCATTGAGCTCTTCGAGGATCTCGCCAAATTCGAAAGCGATCTGCGCCTTTGTGATCATGTACGACACCGGTGTAGGCTCGGTCAAAGGTCTCGCAGGTGGCAGAATCTTTGAATCCGGTCCGAACTCGTCCTCAAAGATATTCCTAGGCAGAGCCGTATCACAGTCCGTGGTCCGAATCATACTCGGCAGAGCAAGCTGGAATGAAAACATCGTGTCCATCTGCCGGATGAAAGACCATATCCGACGTCTCATCTCAGCCTGGTATGGAGTGACACCAGAGAACTTGCTCGGGTCGCGGTGATAGCCCATTCTCATAGACAATCGGACAACCATACCGACTATCACCCAGATGCCTACCTCTGCATCCCATCGACTGTTATACTCACCGTGAACATAGAGAAGCAGAGTCTCGATCGTGTAGATGTCTGACTTGGTGTAATCTGAGTTGACGAGGCATTGGACTGTTCGTAATCGGTACTCTGAGGCTAATTCTAGTGTGCGGCCTAATTTGTTGTCAATAAGATTTTAGTTGCAAGACTGCTGTCAGATCCTCACCTTTCCATTCCAAAGGTTCATCCCCAATCTTGTGATAAGATTGCATCGCTAAGCACAGGATCGAATAAAGCAGTCCCAGCCATACTATCGACGATTTCGATGGATCCTGCCAGTGGAGCTGAAGTTGTTTGTGAAATGTGGGAGAGTGAAGGATGTGAACGGCCGGATCGTACGAATTGAAATATCGAGTCACGAGCTTATCGACAGCTGACTTCGATGGAAGCTCTGCTCGAAGTTCGACATCGGTGACTGGTGTATGAGCACTGAAAAGAAACGCAGGTCCATCTCGTGCCGTGTCCGGTTTCGATTGCTTGATCTTCTCGTAGTTCTTCTCTAATTCCTTCTTGTGGGACGAAAAGTAATTCTTCACCTCCGCAATCTGAATAGAAGAGTCAGTACCTGCTTCGACACGTTTCGCACGCTTTAGACGTGTGACGAAAGGCTGCATGGCTATACAGGCTAGGTCAAGAAGAGTATTTGGAACGTTCCATTCAACTTCTCATGACTTCAAGCCCATGTCGTATCGCAGAAGGAGCCGAATTTCGACGCAACTTGATGGCCTCGGCGTCTCCGAAGACCCCAGACAACACCTCTTTATAAGAAAGACCATGCCAGAAGGATAGAGAATAGAGCTACTCACATCTGCTAGGACCAAGTGCCAATGCGAATCCCCAAAATACAAAGATTTTCCTTTATCTGCGTCAACTTTGAGCACGCCTAGAGAGTTAGTGACTCCATCAACTTCGCTATCACCACCCTCTTCTTCTTCTTTGATCATATCATCGTCGTCTCTCTCCAACTCGAGTGGGAACGAGGCAGAGCCAGTGCTATCGCTCTGTGAGCGGCTGATGGCCGCAGCAGCGGCAGCAGGTCCAGCTGACTGAGCTCCATTCGTCATCAACGACAAAACTAAGCCTTCTAAACGGTCAATACGGTTTTGCATATCATCAGGGCTGGTTGCTCCTTGACTTTGGTTCTTCTTTCGAGTTCCCGGCGCCGCATACGAGCAAGAAGCCGCATCTCCTCTCCTGATGCAGTTCTCACAAGGGTGCGACCGGTTACACTTCAACCTGCAAAAGAGTCAGTTATCACCGGGCTGAGGGATGCACAAAAAGCAACAAATGCCAGAAGAGGAAAATGACGGAGCCAAAGGAGAGAAGGACAAGACTGACTTCCTGTGTCTGCACGGCCCACATGACAGGGGCACTCTATTTCTCTTCCGCACCACCCGATACTGGGCGTCTGGGGAGTGACCTCCAGCGCTCGAGGAGGTGGTCGACGGCGGTGTTGGCGTCATGATGAATAAAGAAGATTGCTAAGGTTCGGGTTCAGAAACACGAGGAGATGGGTGGGATGACCTCGAGCCCGAGCGATATATTCTCCCAACGGCGCTCCGAAGTGGGGGCGTGTCCTTTCTTCACGGAAGGGTTTTCCCTTTATCGGTCTCGACGCTGCTGTTGCAGTCGATCTGACACCGGTTTGGCTCTCCACGGAGCCAATGACGGACCAATGATCCAGGGGCGAAGCACACTTGCGAAGGAGCTTCTCCCGCAGTCGGGCTAGGCGAGAAAGCAGGGTGGTGTCTCGCTCGACAGACTTAAGGTGCTGGCCCTTTGGCTCAGTGGTGGAGATAGCGTCGTTGGTGCAGATTACCAACAGCCTTATGTCCACTAAGCAGCGATAGTTAAGGCCTTTGTTCAGGCGTATATATGCTGCCTGTTTGTCTCCCAAAGTCTGTTTGCCCCCTTTCGACGTTTGCCAATGAACAGCAGCCAAAGGGAACGCAATCTTAGTGCTCCTGGTCTCACTTGAGGGAGTTCCCGCGGAGCTCCCGCCGGGGCTCAGAATTTTTCTCACGATCTTGCTCGCAACGGCCCTAAGCTGATTTTCCTGACGTCTTTCCCCCCGTCGCGCAAATTATAGCAAGCTATAGCAAGCCCCTTAACTGATTACTCAGATGCAAATCAACACAAGACCAGTATAGCCAGATCGGATTGATTCCAATGTCAGATCTCGCCCCCTCGAAGCAATACCGCCGAAGCAAGACCCAATTCTATGATTCGTTTCGAGCGGCTCGTGCGGAGAAGAAAACTGCTGGATCTAAGTGCAGACCGCCTCGACTGGATCCCAGGCAATGCAGATGGTCTGCAGAACACTCGAGATGAGGGTGCTCAGCCTTGTGTGAGATAGTGCGCCACTGGCTCTCGGTCGAACGCAATTTGGGTAGTCGAATGCGAAGTGGTCAGCGAAAGGGAGGAAGTTCCTCAATGGCAGGTCTCGATGCTTGGGAGACTTTCGGCGTCAGAAAACTCCTTGTGCTCCGCTATAGCAGCAATTCCGCTCAATTCCTGGCCATTTGTCAGTCATATTCAATCTAGTCTATTCCAAATTCCCAGTTTCAAAGCGCTCTTACCGGTTAGGACGTCGTGCTGCAGAGTGCAGCCAGATGTGGTGGTGCAGCCTCAGAGGTTTCTAGCCCGCGCAAGAAACGGTCAAACGTAAACGCCGCAGAAGCCACGGCAGGTTGTATCGGAGCCGGAATTGCAATTAGAAATCACGCGCCTCGAGATGAAGTTATTCGAGGCAGTGGTGTTCGCGTTCAGTCAACGACATTCAATCGTTGGACGTTGAAGTGCATCGAAGCAGGCGATTCCCAGGTTGGTGTGGCTTTAGCGGGCAGAGCAAGGCTGAAGTGGGGTTTGCTATTGGTTCGCTGGCACTCCTCAGCCGGACTACACTGCACTGCACTGCAAAGCCTAGGGTCGGTCAGTGCTATGTAATCGAGAACTCCCGGCGAAGCGTCTGTCTGATTTTGGTTCGATGCACGTCGTTGTCGCCGTCGTGGAGAGGCTTTTGCCACCTATATGTTGTGTGAGCAGCCGTCGGCGATGCGTATGCCCAAGGCAGCAGGAGGTCCGCGTTGCTGTCAGAAAAATGAAGAAGTCTTCGATCGACAGGGAGGAAGAAGGTGCTGACAAAGGAACGAAGCGTTGGACTTTGGTAAAGAGGGATAGTGCATTTACGTCAGCTGCGTTTTATGACTCACGATAGACCTTTTTGAGGGGAACAAGACATGATACTCTGCTCATTTGGGATTCAATCGTGCCAAGTTGGTAGCTAATTCCGATATCTCCGAAGACTATTCTAGATGCCCATTTTGAGTTTCTCAAGTGTCTATCAAGTCGTCATAGTAAATAGAATCAGTATTGCAGTGAGAGGAGCATCAAAATGGAAGAATTTCATTTCGTATATACGATAGTCGGACCCAGCAAGTCCAACATTCGTTTTATCATATTTCTAGATGTTTTATACTGCTACCCTACCAGAAGTCCTGGTTTATGGGATGAAGTTTCACATTTGAAATTTGGCGGGAAGATAACGGGTGTCTCAAGCCTCTCACTTGACGAGGCTGTAAGTGATTGAGCTCTTGATTTTGGAGTATCTAGGAGATAAACTTGGATCTCAGTGCTTCTTATGTAATGTTCTTCAAAGTTATATATAGAGCTATGAAATCGCGTCTTGAGATACTCTTGTTACTTTAGACATAGGCCAAAATCTCGGGGTATAGATAGGTATTTCTTCTAAGATTTTAGTACCGAGATATATACAACGTTTTACTCATATATACAGTCTATCAGATCTTCTGAAATCTGGAAAACAAACCTTATATCACACGTCTCTTAGAATCTTGCCGCATTTTCGTCTCCTTGAACGGCTTGCGTAGAGTTCTCGATCATGCCACCCCTTCAACCGCTCCCCAGTCACGTGTTGGATTGCCACCAACCTTCACAACACCACCATCTCGAATCGATGCATGCACATCGTCTAATTCGAAACGACGGTGTAGATAATACGGACTCGCCGTCAAATACGTCATTTTTGCCATCTGCTCAAGGCTGAACAGCACTGCCTGGAGTTTGGCCGGTGTTCCGATGCTGGTGATGTGTGGAAGCGGAATTTTTGAAGATCCGAGTTCGTCCGTGGCTGATGCCACATCCAATATCTTCGACGAGGAGTCACTCATCTTCCAAACACCTTTCAGTCGCCAATACCAAATCCAAACCAGATTGAATCTTTTGGCGCAGCGCCCTTCTCGAGATCTTCCACTGGCGCTTCACATAGCTTTTGGTTTTCTTCTGGAATCTTCCAATCTGCCAGCTCGTCCACCCGGCTCACAAACTGCATCACCAATCCAGCTTCGGAATGCCATGCCATATGGCAATGAAATGCCCAGACGCCTGGATTGTCGGCGACAAACCGCAGTACAAGCCAACCAAAGCCTTCGGCTGTCGCGACATCTCTTCTTATCAGATTGTCGAGTGCTCCTCCATGGCCTTCGAGGACACCTTTACCTTCTGGCTTTAATCCCAATGTATCATATCCTGGGAACATGCCATGGCCTTGTCCGAGGACCCAGAACTTATGGCCATGCAGATGCATTGGGTGGTTCCCTTCATCGAAATTCTGAATGACGAGATCGACGACCTTGATTCCAGAGTGTTGAATAACGAAATCATTCTTGAGGTCATAACATTTGGAGTTAACTCCATCTGTGCTTCTCATAGTGTTGAATGTTTCGTTCTGACTAACTAGTCCATCAATCGTGCGGTGAAGAGTAGGTTGCTGGAGGTTCGGCCGGAAAGTTGATGTGTTGAAGAACCCTCTTTCAAGCCTCCAATCTCCGATCTCGAGGTTGGATCTGATATAGTAGCTATGATCGGCTATCGCGGGTGCAGGCTCGTAGGAAGCAGGAACATAGGAGGTTGTGTTCATATCTTTACATTGGACCTCCATACCTCTACTCCAGGGTTGCGAAGTCGGTTGTACGGTCAAGGTGTTTCTAGACTTAGCATCTGCGGTGTATTGCAGGATGGCCTTCACCTCAGCGGCGCCATGTGCTGGTAGGTCGGGATCCTTCCAGCAATGAGTGACCATTCTTGCACGAAGCCAGAAAGAATCAGCCGAAGTTGTATTGGCGTGAAGGACGATGCTGTATCTTTGTGCTGGACTGATCATCATCCTGTTGTCATAGGTAGGCACGAGATCCGTGCCATCCGCTTCCGTGATGGCAAATTCATGTTCGTCCACCGAGACTTGGAACCATGCGAATGCTCCAACATTGACAAATCTCAGGCGATGGTTCGCATTCGCTGCGATGTCGAAGGAAGGAATAACAGCAGTGGTATTGTCGCACATTCGATCAGGAAGAACTGAGCAGTCACGCTTGTTCAGTCCATTGATCAGGGCTCCATTTGGTATTGGAGACGCTTCACTTCCTGGTTCGAGAGAAGTGATGAGAAGACCGCTGCTAAGATCGTGATAATAGTCTTGCAACATCACGACTCGGTCAGAGGCGTAGGAGATTTTCTGCAACTTCTTCTCTTCGCGGCCATGTACCACAAGGGGTCCGTAAAGACCGTCCGAAGCTTGAACCGCTTGGTGTCCATGATAGTAGTAAGTGCCAGATTGTCCGGAGATGGTAAATTCGTATTTGAATTTCCTCCCTGGTGCAATAGGACATTGGGTGATGCCGGACGTGCCGTCCATGTAGTTTGTACCGTTCTGGTATAAACCATGAAAATGTATTGACGTCGCATTGATACTCTGATTTTCCACTTCAACCACAATCGTATCGCCCTCGTTGCATTCGATCATCGGGCCTGGAAATTGTCCATTGATGGTTATCATCTCTCGAAAGACACCGTCTGGGTTTCCGACAATATCCACAATCGTCCACTTGTATTCTCGGACTTTTGGAGCGGCATTGAAGTTCCATGAAGGGTCCAAAACATAGTCACTCGCAGGTCTGCGAAAACTGCCAATGCCAACCGCCTCCTCCACATTGGTTTTGTCCTTGACAATCACGAATTTGGTGAACAAGACCAAACCCACAAAGACAAGAAGTGCTGCGAATATGGACCCTGCAATTGCCCATCCTGTCCGCAGATGCCATTCGACCTTATATTCCACATCTCCCGCAGCCTCGATATAATCTTCAGCCAAAAGTCGCTCTCCTTGGTCATCCTCATAGTCCTCGTCCCGCTCCCGAATTTCTACATCGTCGACGCTCCGGCTGTCTCTCGGAGACAATTCGTCCTTGTAGTCCTTGAATTCTGCCATCGTTCTTGAGGGAGAAGCAGGCACTCGTTCTGGTGGGCGTGGGACGATTTTTGTACAAGGCTACCGGACACGAATGTTTCAAGGCTCAATCATAAAGTGAGACACCGTCAGATACAAACGTACGATATGGTCTGATTCCTCAGCTCAAGGCCTCAATATCGTCATGTCAATGCGCAAGAAAAGAACAGCAGGTGTCAGAAAGAAATGTCAGAATAGGCGTCGGTAATAACCAGAGTGACTGGTGAGGGTCTGACGGGATAGTACCTATCACAGCTTCAGCCGGTGCAACACCCAAGTGGCAACGTGCCTTTCTGCTATGCAGCACAACGCAGCAGGCCTTGAGCTTCCAGAAGCTGGAGAAGGATGGACCATGTCTGGATGTCTGGTACCGAAATTACTAAAGTAGCCAGCGCTGATGTAGTGGTGAGTGGATAAACGCCTGAGGCCACTGAAAAAGCTTGAGGTCGTCCATGATCCGGCGACTCTCGACCTATCCAGATGCACATGTCCAAGGGACCCTGAAAATGCAAAGATGCAAAGAAGGGCCTCGTATCGATGCTGCCGTACCTTTTTTTCGCGCTCTGTCTCAGCCTCCCAATCACGAACTGCCGTGACCCCACGGGATTCAGAGATCAGCGGTCCCAGCGGTCGTGGAAAGTTCTCCCGTTCTGCGCCTGCCGCTTTGTCGTTAGCGGCCGCTGCAAGCCACCATGCTTATGCTCCCGTTTCGATAATCTGCTGAAGCTTGAACACTTGAAGAAGCTCCAACCACAACCGAATTTTCTTGGCTCTTCACTGTGCATGGGAGACATGCAGGTCAGAGAGGTCTCTTCACCAATAGACACGCACACGATTCAAATTTTGCCTCACCAACCGGCTCCAATAGCCTGAGTGAAAACACCTAAACAAGGTACAAGGTACATCTGCAGGGGACCCCACAATGCCGAACGCCTGAAGAATGGGATGAATTGGTCAATGAGTAGGTCAGCCTCGTGCCCTCGTGCCCCTCGTGCATCTAACCTGTGGCCAGGAATCAACAATCATGGATAACTCGGATCGCTCTACGAATCTAGAAATCCTTCCATCTCCACAGGGCACGAAAAAAAGTCGACATCTTCCGCTTTGCAAATCAAACTCAAGCTTGTTTCTATGCCAGATGCTGGACATGTGCTCAGTGGCTTGTCATCATAGCTCCATGGACGGTGCCTCCGCTGATTTGGATCCCAGAAGTTGGAAATAACTCAATGCCAAGAAGACCCAAGTTGTCATAGTTTGGTACCTGCTAGAACGAGCTGCCCGTTCCTTGTAGCCATGGCACCAGGTCCAGAGTCCAGGTAACAACCAATTCCATGGGGGAAGGAAAGGTCCCAGAGTACATAAGCCCTGACGATCCCAATTGATTTTCTTCTCTTCCCCTCTCTTCTTCAGCCTCGTCGAGTTCCAGCATTCTCTCAAGACTTCATAATGCGTTTCTCAACCACTGTCGTTGTCGCCTCTTTGGCCTCGGGTGCCTTCGCTGCTCCAGCATCCCCAACGGCAACTGACCCTGCGGATGTCTACGCTGCTCAAGCTACTGCTTTGACCGAGAGCCCAACCAGCAGTGTCAAGGGCAAGGCCTTCGATCGTTATGTCTCCATCTGGTTCGAGAATACCGATTATGATATGGCTGCTGCTGATCGTGAGTCCTGTCCTCAACTGTGTCTCGTGCCCATCTGACAAGACATATAGCCAACTTCCAATTCTTTGCCAAGAAGGGTGTCACACTGTCCCAAAACTACGCCGTAACACATCCTTCGGAGCCCAACTACATGGCCGCAATTGGTGGTGATTACTTTGGATTGGATGGAGATCCATTCACAGCCGTTCCCTCCAACGTCTCCTCCGTCGTCGATCTCCTCGAAGACAAAGGAATCTCCTGGGGTCTCTACCAAGAAGACATGCCATACACCGGCTTCGAAGGCTTCTCCTGGGTCAACCAGAAAACCGGAGCAAACGACTACGTCCGAAAGCACAACCCAGCCATCCTCTACAATTCCGTTGTAAACAGCGTCGACCGCGCCGCCAAAGTCAAAAACACAACCATGTTCTACGAAGACCTCAAAGCCGACCAGCTCCCCCAATGGATGTTCATAACCCCCAACATGACTTCTGACGGCCACGACACCTCCGTAACCGTCGCCGGCGTCTGGCTGCGAACCTTCCTCGAACCCCTCTTGACGGATGCAAACTTCATGCAAAACACCCTCGTCCTCATCACCTTCGACGAAAACGAAACCTACACCATCTCCAACCGCGTCTTCTCCATCCTGCTCGGCGACTCGCTCGACGCCTCCCTGATCGGCACAACAGACTCCAATTACTACAACCACTACTCGGAAATTTCCACCGTGGAAGCAAACTGGGACCTCTACACCCTCGGCCGCTGGGACGTCGGCGCCAACGTGTTCTCGGCCGTCGCTGCTAAAACCGGAGATGCGGACCGCACCTGGTACGCGCCGAACTCGAACGGTGTCCCGTTTGCGGATTACTACTTCAATGCCTCCTACGCGGGCATCTTTAACTCGAAGACCTGGGCCCCGCAGCCGGTGCCGGATTGTCATTCTAGGAGAGAGGGACGCACGACGTTGCCGGCGATTAAGGAGGCGTGGGAGGCGCTGCAGGATGAAAATTATTATCATGGACAGTTGGAGATTCCGGATGGGGCGCATCCGCCGGTTTATCCTTATTCTTATTATAATAGGGGAGAGAGGAGGAAGGGGAAGTAATTAGTAGTATATGATCTCTAATTGAGATGAGTTTGAGATGAGATCGTGTGTCTGAGAGGGTTTTAATTGGAATTCATGAGTTTATCAGGTAGGCAGCTGTTGAGAAGTCCATTACTTACCTCTAGACTTCTGCCTGCCTGTCCATCTCACTCATCATATCCCCCTATTTCCCCCTCCTCCCCTTTTCCACACCACACACCACCCCCGCATCAAAAGCCGCTCCATCGCCATTACGACCCTTCCTCCCTTCATATCGCAATCGCGCTCCTTACAATAATACCGTCTTAACTCACCCTACCATCTTTCCCCCAAACCTTGCTTAAAAGCATCCATAGCTAAAGTAAATACCGCTTCACAAGTGGCAATTCTGCAAAACTCTTACGCCGTGGCCTAGTTTCCGCTGGTGGGAACAGATTCATCAGGACGTGTAAGAGAGAAACGATGTTGAGGGTGAGTTGAGATGGTAGTACGGAGGCAGTTTTCTTTTCTCGCTGTTGCTGAACGGAAAGAAAAAAGGAATGAAAAGAGAAGGGGGAAGGGAAGGGGAGAGGGGAGCTCGCTTAATTATTTTGAAGAACTTCTCGGCTACTCTAAGCAAAACCTTCTGGGGCAGAAGACGTAAGGTAAGTTGATAAAATCCACCTAGAGTGCCTTACCTAATATCGAACCGCATTTCAGGACTGTTAAAGCTTTCGATGATCTTTGGATTTGAAAGAATTAGCGGCTAAGAAACTCCAGAACTCGTCGCATTGTTGCCGCAAATTGGTTCATAGGTGGGAGGGCAAGTCTTGGTAAAATGAAGAAGCCCGTTGATCCATCTTTCGTTGTTCCTTAGTTGTCCTGCCTCACTCTCGCAGCTTCTGTATTACCAACATATGTCTTGTAGCGGTGTTTAGCTTGGCTTGAACGTCCGAGACTTTTCCAATTCCTGTTGGCTAGAACGAAAGTGCACGCAAAAGAAAGCATATAATTCGAAGAATTCGTTCCGTGCGAAACGGCATAATAAAGCCACCATATTGAAGCAGCGAAGATATGTTATATTATCATTCATATCAAAGAGAAGATGGCTTTGGCAGTGTAGGGGGTGCGAGTTCGAGGGCGCTGCTTTAGCGAAACGCTGGAGGGGTGAAAAAGCGGCGGCTGACTATGAGTGAGCCGAGGCTACTGGCTACATCTTCAGGATTGTATCACCACCTACACGATTCATAGTTGGTATTTCCCCTTCCTATTTATCACATAGACGGAGTTCATAGCAGATTATGCTTCTCTTCTTCTCATAGACCATCTCCCGCCTCCTCTCCAAGTCCCTTTTCATTCCTCAGTGCGGGGTACCCAAGGCAAGATGACACACCCAACTGCTTCACGCGAGAAAGCAATGAAAGCCGTTGAAGCTATTTTCGAGCGGTATGTGACTTCTACTCTATCTAATATCCATAATATTCCTCAAAAAACCACCTACGTTACACTGATTATCAGATTCTCCACTTGTCACATGCATCCCCGCCCCCTTTCATCTTCGCTTACTCTTCTAGGTACCTCCTAATCGCGAAATCAACGAATTTTACCGGCTTCGACAAACACATAATGTCCACCGTAAAAGTCGTTGACGCAACTATGGGCGGAACGGTGACTTTTGAGCTCCCCCTCGATGAGCGGTACGGAAATTTGAATGGTGTCATGCATGGTGGTGCCGCTGGTGTTATCTTTGATATGTGTACCACGATTGCGCTTGGTCCTTTGGCGAAGCCGGGATTCTGGGAGTGGGGTTTTCTGGGTTTGAGTTGATGGCGTGAAAGCTGACACGGAATAGTTTCTTAGGCGGCGTGACGAGGACGTTGAGTATTAGTTATTTGAAAGCTATTCCTATCGGTTTGTCCATCGTCCCATTCTTCGGGGGTTAGCTAACTAAGGGAAAGGAACAACGATCCGTGTTTATAGCGAAGTAATGCAAGTTGGCAGGACTATGGCTCTGATTCGAGGTACAATGACGAGTCTTGACCGGAAGACTGTTTATTGTACGTGTGAGCATCACAAAGTGGCTGTTCCGACGAGGAAAGAGCATTTGGAGCACGTGGTGGAGTGGGATGGGCTTTGGGCCAAAGATGGGGAGGGTAAGGCTAAGTTATGAGGGTGGTGGGACGTTGTAGCTGAGAACTGTCAGAGAGAGAAGAACTGGAAGTTAAGTGGCACTGCTTCTGTGAGTAAAGTCTTCAGTATCTTACTACCTTTTGGACATTGTGCTATGCAAAGTACTAGGCCGGAAATAGAATATTAAATGAGAGAAGAGCACGAGACATCCACGAACATTATATATATTTTTGAAGTTTATAAACACGAAGGGTATCATCACCTTCTTGGAGCCTTTGAGGATCTAACCAGACTCATGGTCCTTTCCTTTTCGCTTTGTTCCAAGACACTAAAGTCACGACTCGGCCTAACTTTCACACCTGGGCAGCACCCTCCTCGTGCAGGCCATTGTGTCTCTCACGCCTCTAAGGATCATTCACATCAACTGAATTCTTGAATCTAATGATCCTCATCCAAGCAGGTCAAGAAAGTCAGCTTTGCGACATTAAATGATTGTTCTTTGACCAATCTCTATGTCGGGCTCCTGGGATTACTCCCCAAAGGATTAAACCCGAAATTCATTTCCTTTCCATCCGCAATAATCAACGGTCGACTCTTCGGCCTATCCCGGGGCTTCTTCATCGCGCTCTTCAAAGGTTGCTGCGCGCCTGCACCCCCACCGGTCCCCGTCCTCTTAATACTATTCCCCGATCCAGGTGGGCTCTGTGTATTAACCCCTTGCGGAGCCCCTGTCCCTATCCCCAACATCGGGAACGAGGATGGTGGTACGTTGTTGCCGCTTTCACCAGCTCCTTTGCCCCGAGACTTGGGTCGTTCTTCAGATTCTGGCTGGCGAGGACCGACTTCGATGCCCATTACGGCACTAGCTTTGTTTTGTCTCCGGCTATCCCAGGGGAGACCTCTTCCTGATGAGTTGGGTGGAGAGGGTCCATCTTCGGTCATGGGACGGAGTTTCTCCTCGAGGCGCTGGGATGCGATGTACGATTTGCGTTTTCGGCGGCGGAGTTGGATGGATGCTAGGCTGACGATGGTGGCTACGAAGCCGAGGACCAAAATGGTGATCCCTGCTATTGCGAGGGGTGCTAGATGTTTGTTGGTGGAGGTTGGTGAAGTGGTAGATTGTTCATTTGAATTGGATTCTGCTATTGAGGAGGCTTGGGCTGTGGAAGCTTGAGTCGAGGTTGGAGAAGCTGGGATGGCCTCAGATTCGTAGATTGAGAAAGCTGTGATTGAGGATGAGATAGCAGATTCTTGAGGCGCTGGCGTAAAGGCAGCTGGTATGGAAATAGATGACGAAGCTTGGGCTGGTGGGGGTGTGTTATCTGGTAGTGAAGTTGTAGAAGCTGGTATAGGAGCATCTGTTGGCGAAGTTTCTGCACTCGGTGTCAAAGACGCTGGTGCTTGAGCTTGGGCCGTTGTCTGCACTGGACTCGGCGCTGGTACGTCGCTGACGATTGAAGATATTGCCGGCGTAGGAGCAGCGGATGGAGGAAGATCAGGTGTGGTTTGTGGGACTACAGCAGGTGTTGAAGTTGGTGCATCCACTGGCGTATCGATCGGCGTTGTAGTAGGTGTTGAAGCTGAAGCTTGACTACTTGCTGGTGGCAGGTTGCCAACCTGCGAGGATGCAGCCTCTAAACCGCATATCCTGTTGAAAGTACTTCTGACATCTTGAATAATTAGAGATATTCAGATCATTGATCTTACTAGTCACTTACCTGTCGCATTTGAAGCTCCGCAATCATGCAATATACACCCGCCTTGAGGAGACAGTACCTTATCTGGACCGATGATCGCATTTTGATGAGCACATTGACAACCAAAGTCTGTTGCTCCACATTTGACAAAAGCAGCTGCGCGAGATATACAATTGTTGGCGCACGGATTGAGGTCAGAAATTGCTGCTGCCAAAGGAGTCTGTGAAGAGACTGGTGATGACCAAGTGAGGAAGGAGATTATAAAGACATTAAGAGTGAAGTAATGCATCGCGACAGCCTGCTGCCCACAATATCTCTCGCTCAACAACAACGACAACGACGGCAATACGACTGTAGTGACGATTACCATGAGAAGATTCGCGAAGGAAGAAATCACCTGGCTGCTGGGCATTCGCCACAGATATGCGGATGGTGGTCACCATTGCAGGCTTCCAAGACTTCCTTACGTACCAGTACCATGCAATGGAAGCAAAAGCATATCCGCCTGAATTGATCTCCATACGTTTATGAATTTTGAGTCTCGTTAATGAATTGAAATTGAGAGAAGAGCCACTTCAATCAACTCAGGCAACTTGACGGAGACCAGACGGAACAGTTCTCAGACAACAAGACAGGTTTAATTAGCCAATCGCAAGAGCTGTCATCGCAAGACGTTTTGTAAAGATCGGCTGAAGATTGGGGAATACTTGCAATGAAACTTCAATTGTCAAAACTCAGGATATTGCCGGGATTGGAGGAGGCTCGCCAATTGATCCGAACTGCATTGCATGAATCTCCTTTAGGCATCTTGAGGTCCCGCTACCGAATGATGAGACACGAGCAACGATGAAAGGACTTTATTTTCCGACGACGTCTAATCTCGACCTCATCTGTAGGGATGTATTTGACTATTCAAAAATTGTTCAAAGGGATCAGATATCCTTTGTCGCTTCGAGATTTGAGATCATGGTTGTGTCTTTGTATCCGAAATCCAATACACTAGTATCTTGTATTTTTGAACGGTGAAAATCAATATTCACAGGACTCAGAGGGACTGATCTACATTGCATTATTCTCGAAGCAAAAACCATGCGAGCCGCCGAGATCAAGACCGAATAATGAAGAGGAAGATCCACGTCCGACGCATACTCGCGGAGATCCATGATCTGCTGCTCAACTTGGAAAGTCTAGTACCCGCGACTCTGCATGCTATCCCTGTGCTTGCAGTCGCGCATTGTAAGGCTGACCCAAATCGAGGCCTGCATCCTTACAGACGTTGAAGCTCGCACGTGAGAACCCTGGTCCTTACCAAGCCGGAACATCACCATGTCAGAGGGATATTGCCCATACATCCTTTTCGCAGAAATGAGACTCTGCCTCTTTAAACTCACGGATTTGGACCCTGGATTTTTCTTGGGATCATTGTTGTCACCGTCCCTGACTTGGATGGGAATTGCGTGCTAGTCAAAATCATGTGCGGATTTCTGTAGACGTGCTCAATTGGAAAATCTAAAGCCCATGTTTAGTTCATCGAGTGGACACAAATATCACCAGAAGTCTCATGAATAGGTCATTATGTCAAGTGATCTTAATCACTGTGCAAGCTCAACGTCCGGCCAAAAAAAAAAAATTAGCAAACCAAAGCAATGGAGGTGATCTTGAGTACAGTAAATCAACCTATTCCACGCAGCCAGTCCCACTCAAATGCCTCATACAGTTCTGTGTACCACCCCCAAGCTGACCTTTGGTAACGGCCTATCAATCGGGTCCGGATGAGAGTGTTTGTACGTAACGATCGTCTGCTCCACAGCTTCTGCAAAATCATCCACCAACATTTCATCTGAGAATGTTGGTGTTTTATCAAGTATAGTGTCCGCTCGCCTATGCACTCCATCTGCTCCACAGCAAACATCTTCGGTGACCAGGTAGATGTGAGGTGTAAGGAGAGGGACGATCTCGGCGATCTCGCCAAAGTACTCGTCGCCTTGACGGCCCAAGAAAGTCTGCGCGTTGAAGGCAATGCACGGAACCTGGCCGCCACGAAGTGACATCTGGCTGCCTTGATGAATAATTGAGTACAGGAAGTAAACGAAGGCATCAAAGTCCCAACTGTGCTTCAAGTTGAGATAAAGCACATCATTGGCACCTATATATGCTCGGAAGGTGGGGTGTACATCGAACTTGTTGGCCCCCAAGGGTTCTGGATCAAGACTAGTGCTATCTGACAGAGAAGCATTGGAGGCTTCGTAGCCGTCCCATATCCAGTTCTCTCCTGCTTCTCCAGCATCGGATTCGGTTCCATCTTCGGCATAATAGTGTTGACTGCTCACTTCTAGCAGTTGATAGTGCTTGAGAGCTTCCTTTCGAGAATCGTGGCAGACGTGGAGTACAGCTGGAGTGACTGAATCTGTCCAGGACTTCTTTGGCTTCCCACGAATTCTCCGTGTGTAGACTTCTATGACACGACCTTCTCTTGCAGCATGCTTCCCTATAGTCAGAATCTCAGAGTCAGTAAAGCTCTGTTGTGTGTTTTGGAAATAAATATGCAGGTCTTAGGAGTGCCATTGGAGCAAAAACTCCCACTCTTAAGCATGACTCCAAAGAGAGCAAGGAACTGGAACATATCTTTCAAAAGAATTTGAGACTTACAGATTTTCAATTTCAGCTCAGGAGGAAGCTTTGGAAAGCGGGCAAACTCCACTGGACGTGTTAGAGATGCCATACCGCGTGAATATCTGGCTCGCAGACTTTTGAGGAAGTTGCGCCTCAGCTCTAGAGACAGAAGTTAGCTTACACGTACATGCTCACGATTGCTATTGTAACTCGCTTTCAGTCCCGACGAGATCTCGAGCTTTGGTGTATGGCTCGTGAGGTTGTACTTTGGAAAACGATCTTTGATCTAAAGTGATTGTGCGTCTGTTCTGGATGTAGACTTTAGTTGACCTGGACTGATGACTGTTGTTATTACTCACCTCCGGCTGTCCAGCTTTCAGGCCCTTGGTGTATAATTTGCGGAGGTGCTCCGATCTCGGAAGAAGGAAAGTGATCTTTCAAGTGACTGTGTCTCGGATCTAGACATAATTAGCTTGCATGTACTCACGGAGGTTATCTTTGCTCGCCCACATTCCGTCTCCCAGTGGCTCAAACTGTTGTTGTATGAAGTGCAGAAGTACTTGGTTTTTGAAAAGTGATATCCGAAGTTGGTGCGCATTTGTACTAGATGTAGAACTTAATTTACAGGTATTTGGTTGCGGCCGCTGTTCCTGCTTACCTTTCACAAGCACCTCAGTTTGTTTCTACAAGAGTTAGAAAGTAAATTGACTCTTACAAAATGACCTTTCAAGGTAGCTATGCGTAGGTTCTAGTGATATAACTCAGCTTACACTTGTTCATGATTATTACTCTCGTCCACCTTTGTCAACGTTTAAGGCCATTCGTGTAACAACCGTAGATCAACTTGTCTCTTGAATTAAATGATTCGAAGCTTGTTGAGAGTTGGAATTAGTGAGATGAGTTGGCAATCATGAGTCCGTATTGTAGCTCATGTTCCGCTTTTGCTAATGCTTGAAGCAGAGCGTGTCATGATGGCAGATGAGTTATGACTAAGAAAAAAGACAATCATGGATTGACAACCTGCTTCTCTCAACAATAGAATCTAACAATAAGCAGTGTGCGTAGGCTATTATTGAGGACTCACTTTCCGCCCCACTCAGCCCGGTGCCTACGGCTAATCGGGTGAGGTTTGAATAGTAAGACATTTATCTGAGAAACAGTTGCTCAAAGTGGATTCTTGTACGATAAGTGTAGTGATAGACTTCAGTCACAGTGAGTGAGTGCAGGCTATATTTGAGTGCTTAGCTTCCATAAGCACCCAAAGCAAGACACGTGCCTCGTGATTATATGCAAGCTCTTGTGGGGCATGTTCCGACAGGACCCTACGACAGTTGTAGACTGCAATTGTAGACTAAAACTTCTCTCGGAAAGATGATCTTGAAGAGCATTTCCTTTTTGTCCTAATGAAGAACGTGAGGAAGGATTCATAAACTGAAATAGAATGAATCCATTGAGTTCTATGATGTTGTTTGCCTGGCTTGATAGTAGACATTGGAAAAGATGAAATGGGGATTACTTAAGCTCGGATGAAATGAAGACTTCTGAAGTGAGCTCATGGGAGGAAAGGCAGACGAGACAAAAGTGTTCAGGTTTGCTTACTGAGCAACACCTGATCTCGCAACGTCCAACAGAAACAGGAACTGTCAACTTTAGCAAAGTACACAAAAATATGAGGCGAATGTAGAGAAACCAGTAGGTAGGTATGTGTGATGTTTTTGCACATTTCAGGCTCTACAAAGTACCGCTGGGTCCTGTAAATAGTTTTCCCAGCATCCACGAAAGAGGTCTGAGGTCTGATGCCGATCCATTATTCTCTGAAATGCACAATGCTGTCTTTAAAGAAGCCCCCTTAGTACGCCTTTAGTGCACCACTAATCCAAGGAGATTTGCCTTCTCCCCCCCATCTTGATGCACCCATGCCATTCCTTCCCTGCCATAACGCCGTAAGGAACCAAGTAGTGGCCGTGTACCGTGAGCTCTTTTGAATCATGTCCCATCATCCTCTCAAAGTCTGATATACACATCCACGCATGGCACCCGCCATTCTCTGCGGCCGAGAAGACTGCGTAACCATTCGACCCCAATACCGGTCCATTCGGTCCGTACAGCAAGCTGCTTCTTTGCCTCCTCGAGCGCAGCACCTGCCAGAGCAGTTGCTGTATTATTAACAGCATTCATGTAGATCGAAACCTGATCGAGTGTCTCGTTCGAGAGGGTGGAATTTGTTAACTCCGTTGTGAGGCCGGAGGAGTGCCTTGGCTCAAACCAGTTGCTACTGAAGTCAAAGAAGCAGTGGTCTGACCAGTGACATGATGAGGCAAAGAGTATCAAGAGGAGAAAAGAGCAGTAGACGCATGGTCGGTTTAAGAAGTATGTACAGACAAAGAAGAGGAAGATGAAGATCGGGGAGGCGTTCGTAGGTATGAAGAGGAGGGGCAGCCAGCTGTTGAAGACGTTAGCAAAATCGCGTAACTGTCGCAAGAATAACCGTCAAGCATGCCTTCTTAAACAGAACATTCTGTCTACTCGGGAATAGGTTGACACAATGGTCGTCGTTCCAGATTATGTTATTGTATCATCCGCAACGCTGCGCGAATCGTTCTTGCAGAAACCGAAGGCTAGAACACAAAAGAAATTTGGTATGGACGATCTGGTCGCGATTGCTGTCTGCTGCCGAAGGGTTTCTTTGTTTTGTGCTGCACCGGTGCCTTGGATGCTGGTAATCTCGTGGCAATCGATGAAGTGACACAATTTCGCGAGGTCTGGGGAAGATGCCTCAGGCGAATAGATCGGAAGCGGCGCCCAAGCTCCAAAAAAGTCACCTCCAGCCCGAACCTGCAAACTCATTTCGACAACAACGACACTCCTTCGACAGTATTCTTGGCTCCTGCAGCAAGAACTGTCGTATCAATCTCATCTTGTCCCCTTTTCATCCATTCAAATTGGTATTGCATGAGCTCAATTTTTGATTGATCTAGAGTCTTCAATCTGCGCCTCGAAGGGCTCACCTTCGTCATGTCGGGATCTTCTGGATATCCTGCTGCCAACAACGGCGAACAATTGGATTCACTATTTGCTCAGCTTCGAAATCAACAGACGAGCAAACCCCCAAATCTTGAACCCAGCTACACCTATTACAACAACAACACAAATAATAACGGTTACTTTCAACCTGCGTCATCGCAACAACATCACGATTATCATCAAGCCTCGGTCACGTCTGCGATTCCTACGCCTTCTGAAGCTGGATCGCAACCTCACCACAGCTCCGCAATCATGAGTCCCGCTGATACACCTCAATTCCGTAGCAGTCCTGCTGCGAGTCGACCACCGAACAATGATGGCGCGTCCAACCTACTCAACTTACTGAAGTTCAGCCAACCGTCGGCAGCCTCTTCAAGTCAACAAGGCCCCATTGGTCCCCCGTCTACCAATGTGTCCCGCGCAGCTCCTGCAAGTTTCTCGGGCTCTGATATCCTCAGACAAGTTGGCACGGCTAACCATGATGACTCTCGATCTTCCGATCTCTTGGCTACTCTCTTGGGTCAAAACAAGTCGCAGACCACTCGTCAATTCGCCAAACCCTCAGAGCCCCCTCAATCGAGCTTTGCCGCAGCTTCTTCTCCACCTGAGCAAACTCAAGCATACCTCCTGCAGCTCTTGAAGCCGAAGCCACCTCAAAGCGACGAAGAACCCCAAATCAAGCATACCAAGATATTGACACCCCCAAGCAAGGCTGTATCTGAAGATGACGTTGGAGAGGTTACTCAAGCGATGGAAGATGCATCTCTTGAGATGAACATGATGGGCTCCGCGGCGACTGAAAACATCCCAGGATTTGGCAAAGAGAATGTGCAAGACACCACACCAAAGAGTTCACAGGGAATGTTCACCTACGTCAATCCCTTCGAGCAGCTTGCCGCCTCTTCTCCCCGCCATCGCACACCCAAGAACTCCACAGCAGCTCCTGCGCCCGCCGGTAGCCCGATCTTCCAGATCTTGAAGAACCCCCGTCAAGACTCTTCTTCAGATCACAAACGCAAAGTAGAGGAGCGAAGTTCCATGCCGAGCCCAGCTCATACAAAGCGCAAGATCGAGCCCGTCTCGCAAGCTTCTTCCGATCCACCCACTCCTTTGCCGGACGGCCGCACCCAGGTCGAAGCATTGATTGGTATCGGTGCTTCTGAAACCAAAGAGAGCGTCCAAGATGCGATTGACGTAGTTGGAGATCAGGTCGACAGACAGGTCCAAGAAGCTATTGCACGAGCTGAGCAAGATGAAGTCCAAGTTACGATTGAGAAGGATATAGAGGATATGCTTGATTCCAAGACGGAGCAGGAGTTCAAGGAGGCGGCTCAAGTCACTGCTGAAGTCATTAAGAACGAATTGGACAAGGAGGAAAACAGCGGCGCTCTTGATGACTTACCCACACCACTTGCTGAAGAGGTTAAGGATATCATTGAAGATGTCGCCCAAGGTCACATTGCCGATAGTTGGGAGAGTGCAGACAACGAAGATAGCCCCGTCAAGGACGAAGAGGAGACGATGATCAAAGTCTACAACTTCCCAATGCGACCATGGACTTCAATTACAGTCAAGCAACATGGAGAACGCCGTCCTAGCTTCAGCGATGACTCGTTCGTTGACATTGCTCGCTTGAAGAAGGAGTTTGATCAGATTGACCGGATCCTCGTCACCGCATCAAACAACTTCATCGTTTATGGAATGTCTAAGAACGGAGGACTTCGGATCATTCGGCAAGAAGATGGTACTGATACAAAGCTCTTCACTGAGACGCATGATCGCATCTTTAGTGTCGTTGTCTCTGCCTCTTCAGCTGAGCAAAAAGAGGCTATCATCGGCACTGGCATCAGTGGTACCGTTTATTGGGCTCTCATCAAGGATGGTGAAGGCGATCATATCGAGGACTCCAACCCTGAGACCCACGCATTCGCGCTTCCGCCAATTCATTCTCAAGAGACAGAGTCCCCAGGTGGAGTCTTGAAGACTCGAGCACGAAAGAGTGCCAGTCACCCAGACTTTTTCGCTGTTGGTCGCGGAAAGTTCATCAACATCATCTGGCCAGGAGTCATTCTCAAGCAGTCCTACCTGAAAAACGGCAAGGACCGCATTGTTGACACTGACAGGTATCTCGCCAAGCACTCTCTTAAGGTCAACACTGGAAAGGCAGGAAAGGATTTCACCTTCAGCGAAGATGATACAACAATTGTATCACTCGACAAGGCCGGCAGAGTCAAGTTCTGGGACGTTCGTGACCTGACCGCAGCTCATATCATGGATAAGCCTTCTGAGTCTCAAAACATCGAGATCAAGGAACCTTTGATTACTTTCACTACCACTCCAGCAACTGAGAAGTCGTGGCCAACTTCCGTCATGTTTGTGGACAAGCTCCGACCATTCCAAAGAGGTGGTGCGTTGCGATACCTCGTTGTCGGAATGAAGCAAAACCACACTCTTCAATTGTGGGATCTTGCTCTTGGAAAGCCTGTACAAGAAATCCACCTTCCTCATAGCAAGGAGTCGGACGCTGTCTGCAGTGTTGTCTACCATGCTGCTACTGGTATGATTGTTGTTGGTCATCCAACGCGCAACTCGATCTATTTCTTGCACTTGTCGGCACCGAAATACACCCTGCCTAAGAACCTCAACCAAGCCGAGTATATGCAGAGACTTGTCGCCAATGATCCTGACTTCAAGAAGCCAGACTCTACAGCCGTGATGAGTGGTATGCGTGAATACTCATTCGAGAACAAGGGCCAACTCCGAAGTCTTGATATCCTCCAGACACCAAATTCGGCAAACTCTTCAGCTGAGCCTCCTCGTACCCTCTTCGAGTTATATGTCATGCATTCAAAGGGTGTCACTTGTCTGAATGTCAAGCCTGCCACGCTTGGATGGACCTCTGACAATAAAGTCATCTACCCAGTTGTTGCTGACAAAGTCAACATGGTCACCATCGACACGCTCAAGGAGATTCCAGCCACAATTGAGGCCAGTGAGCCGTCAAATCAAGTCTCGATGCCAACTCGTATCGTACCTCGACCAGCAACCAAGGAGACCTCTAGAGAACCCCCTAAGAAGTCTGGCCATAGCGAACCTGCAGCATCCACCTCGAAGGTTGAGGACAAGCCAGAAAAGAAGGATTTGGCGATCTCTAATGGCGGTATGGCTCAGACCAGCGGTCCTGAAAAGGCCGAGAAGAAGAAGCGTAGAAAGGGCACTCAGAACTCCGAGCATGCAGCAGCTGGTCCTTCCCACATTGGTCAACCATCAAAGCCTATTGTCCTCGATCCTTCCTCCAACGTTCGGAATGGAAATTTGAACAAGGCCCCGGTGATTGTACCTCAATACGAACTTGCTACTGCGTCAGCACCTGCTCGTGAGATCAACGATGACACCCTCAAGGAGATTGAAGCTCGTGTCTCTGGCGAAGTCAAGAAATTGTTCGGCGACTCTCTTGAAACCCTCTATCGGAACATCAAGGAAGACAGACGCACCCAAATTGCTGTAGCAGATGCCAAGCAAGATGCCATGCTCCGACTTGTGTCGAGCACCTTGTCTGATAACATTGAGGCTACTCTTGGCCAAATTGTCAATAAAGGCATCCAGCAGAGTGTTCTTCCAGCCATTTCAGATGTTGTATCCAAAGCTGTGGCTGAGCAGTTGGGCTCCAGGCTGAATGCTCATATTGCTCAAGTCCTCCCCAAGGAGCTCAAGGTGGCCCTACCAGACATCGTCACACATGCTTTGAACCAACCTCAACTCCAGAAGATCTTCGGCGAATCTGTGGCAAAGAACATGGCGTTCCGTGTCGACGAACAACTTAAGACCATGCTTTCCACTGTCGTTGTACCTTCCTTCCAGAATATGGCCATGTCGTTAGTCAACGATGTTCAACGTCAGGCAACCGAGCAAATTCAGGCTATAGAGCAGCAACGCCACACCGACAGTATCAAGATTGAGCAGCTCACCCAGCTCGTGGCTGGGCTGACCAATTCCATTACATCTATGGCTCAATCTCAGAGTGATTTCCAAGCCGAATTCCTAAAGCTGAAAGCTCAATCTGTGTCGGATAGGCGTCAAGGCAGTCAAACCCAGGCCGAGGCTTCTCGCGTGTCCAGGACTTCCACATCCCTCACCGGTCCCATTGATGAGAAGACACCAGCAGAGATTGAGTATGAGAACATGCTGGCCGGTATCACCACTGATATGAGCACCGGTGACTACGAGAGCGCCGTGATTAAGTGGCTGCAGACAAAGCGAGAGCAGGAATTCTTCGCCGCTTACTTCTCCAAGTTTAGTCCAGACTTTGTCCGCGAGCTGACGCCACTTTTGCTTCTATCTCTCGGGGCTACGATCAGCATCAAGCTCGATGATCAGCTCATGAACGAACGTATTGCGTGGATGGAGACGCTTCTTTCGGCTTTCCAAACTCATGTCAGCAATGGCACCATTGTAAGATATCTGTGCCTCCATGTGTAAACATATTACTGACTGTTCTTAGGATGACCAAGTCCGAGAGCTCATCCCAAAGATCATGGGCATCTATACACAACGTGTTGAGCATCTCTTCATGCGCATCAGCCAAATTGCTGCCAAGGATCCTGCTCTGAAGCGACTTTCTCAAATCGTCACCAGTGCCAATCGTATTCTGGAAACTGCTCGTCCCTACGATTATAACGAGGAGCTCCCAGCTGAGTTAGCCTATCCACCTCACGCTTCCGGTAGCGGCCGTCGTGCTATGTGAATAACCCTCGACCAATTCTTCCCACACTGCAACAAAATGCCATTAACGGCTCTTTTCTGACTCCTTTTGATTATGGGATTGCTTAATTTTTTTAGCAAAACTCGTTCTCTATTTGGACAAGACTGATGGATTTCTTGCTTGCTATGGAGACGCTGAAATGCTCTCACGCATGCTCCACGAATCTATCACACTCTCCTTCGGGACACACAACTACGATAAATTTTCCTTGGATTCTTTTCTATTACTCATGCAGACACGATGATGTCTCCTTTGCACACGCTGGCGTCGGAGCTCAAAACATGATTCGTTTGTTTTTGAACCTTGCGCTGGGCATTTACGAAGCGAAGTGGGCATGGCATCTTACGAAGTCACTACTTTCAGGTGGAATGACGACCACGTATGCATGATGAAGATATTATAGGAGGCATGAGCTTTCTTCATGAGGTCTTGCGTAGAAGCTTCTGTGGGCCTACGGCAAGACATTGTAATGATAAAAAAAATGGGTGGTAGCAATGAAGGTTGTTATCGCAAACATGTGCCTACTGACTTTCGCCTGCTCGTTTTCAAACGTGATATTCGTCTATAGGAAGCAGTCCATTGCAGCCATCATTATCAAACCAAAACGCCTGCAAGTGCAGATTCTGGCAGCAGGAACCTTTTCTGTCGCTCGCTCACCGAATTTCTCACCGCCTGAGGGCGTTCTTTCCCGTTTGATCTCCCTGCTCAACTTGTCTAACTTCCTTTTCGTTCATTTCGGGCGTCCGAGTTTCATTCATGCTCATTTTCTCTCCTTATTCACCTTCTTTCCTTTATTTTTATCCCATACTCCCAACAAGGCTGGTCGCCAAGCCATCTGATAAAGCACCTTCCCGTCCCGTTTCTTGAACGCCACTGTGTTCTGAAGAGACATTGGTGCAGATTAATCCATCGCAGCCTCACCAATTGGAAATCTTCCCAGCTAGTGTGGGTCCTTGGCGTTCAGTATTGCTTCTTCCACCGACGCCACATCTTCTCAATGAAAGGTATTTTCCGGAAAAGCAACAAGAATAGATATAAAACCCCTCTCAACACTACACTCCTGTCGCGAGTGAGAATACAATCTCGAAATAATGGCAGCAGCACCACTTTCCCCGCCGTCAAGCGACGATATCTTCAGGTATCGCTACCAGCATGGCACGAATCTCGGCTCGATATTCGTCCTTGAACGATGGCTTACTGGAAGTATGTATGTCGATGCCATACCCGGTGACGCAGAACTGGATGCCATAAACGCGTAAAGTGTTCCCTTTCCACCTTCTCACTTCCTACTCACAGACATTCAGGAACCTCACAACATACGGCCCCGATACCACCCGCGCAAAATGGGAAGCTCACTGGAACAACGCTCTCAGCGCCGATGATCTCAACTGGCTCGTCAACATAGCACACGCCAACATGCTCCGTCTCCCCATCGGCTGGTTCACGCTCGGCCCGGCTTATTGTACGGGGACAGCGTTCGATGGTGCGCCAGCGCAGGTATACGTCAATGCGTGGGCTGCGGTGAGGACGCTGGTGCAGAGGTGTCATGATGTGGGGATTGGGGTTTTGATTGATCTGCATGCCCTGCCTGGTGGTGCGAATCCGGATATTCATAGCGGGACTAGTAGTGGTGTTGCGGGATTGTGGGAGAATGCGGCGAACTTGAATTTGGCGAGTAGTTGTTTGGTTTTTATTGCTAATGAGATTAATACTATGCCTGGGGTGGTGGGGTTGCAGTTTTGTAATGAGGCTGTTACTGGGGCTGCGGTAGGTCGAAATCTTCTTTGGTGCCAAGGTGGTTTTAAAGACTGAATACTCTTCGGAAGGGCTCGCTCGATTCTTGAAGATTTGAGAAACCAATACTGATTGTCCAAAGGCGCTAGGCATGTTCGACTGGTACGGCTCAACCACTTGGCAGGTAAATCAAGTCAACAAAACAGTCCCAGTCTACATCTCGGATGCCTGGGCCCTCGGTGCCGCCATCCCATTCATGAAGAACATGAACCCCACAACAGCCGGCGCCTTGAATCCAATGATCATCGATACACATCGCTACTACTGTTTCTCAGACGCCGACAAGGCTCTAAGTCCACAGCAGATTCTTGCTACCATTCCGACGGAGCTGAATGAAATGGATGGCATGGATGGAAATGTATTTAACGGCGGAGCAGCATGTGTCCTTGTGGGCGAATACTCGTGTGTCCTCGACCCATCAACATGGGCAAAGACGACAACAGATCAAGTCACGCCGCTAAAGCAGCAATTCGGGACAGTACAATGTCAGCGGTGGCAGAGCAGAGCGGGCGGATGTTCATTCTGGACGTATAAAATGGATTGGATGGACGGTGGCGATTGGGGCTTTAAACAACAAACCGAATCGGGCGACATTGCCGCCCCGCCAATGATGAGTCTCGCGGTTACAGATATCAACGCCCGTGTCTCGTCAGCGGATGCCCAAGCGCAGGGCTTGCATGATACGGCGTTGAGCGGACATACGAGTTATTGGAATTCGACGGCGCCGGGACAGACGTTTGAGTTTTTTCGGTATGATCAAGGGTGGTGGAACGGGTGGAGTGATGCGAGGACGTTCTTTCTGGCTAGGACGACGGGGTTGGTTCCTGGTGGCGGGGGTGGGAGTGGTGGAGTGGATAAGATTGGGTTTTTGGATCTGTGGGTTAGGAAGAGGATGTTTGAGACGGGGAATACGCAGAGTCAGGCGGGCTTTGGGTGGGAGTGGGAACAGGGGTGTCGGAAGGGGGTTGGAGATTTTGAGGGGGTTGTTGGGGTTTGATGATGGTGTGTTGCTGAGATGTGCTCTTTGAGGGGGAGTTTGGGAAGGAGAGAGAGGACTGGTATGCTAAGTCTAGAGATGAGTCTGCGAATAGCCCGTCAGTCGAAGTACATTACTCAATCCGACGTCAGTTGTCACTCTGCTTCTTCTTCTCCTGTGCTGTCGATCTTCTCTTTCAAAGGTAAAGATATCATAAGCATGCATTGGTAAAAAGCAGCGTAATATCTACAGCCGCCGGCAGGACCTCGTCGGTTCACTCTTTCGCTGAACTCAACTATTATCCAATAGATCTGCGCTCCTCCTTTGCGCGACTTTCTCCTCATCTGCACGTAAATCATTCTCCTGGTCTCGATTGATAGTCTCCGGTTCAATATTGCTCGATTAAGTGCTCTCTCTTCCTGATTAGTTTTTCGAATTTCACAGCTTTCTTGGGTTTATTCGCTTTAAAAGTTTGGGATATTTATGGTGAATATGTCTGGTTTTCGATGCTTGATTTGGAAACATGGTAGCTAGGTATGGGAATTGCGGCTTTGAGAGATACTCCTAAGCACGGCATATCAATGCTGAAGTTTAGACAGGTAGGTCGAAATTTTGGGGTTTCATCACGTACCTTACAGATATGTTCATTCGCTTTGATGGTTTGGGATATTGACAAAGTCGGGTCTAAAGTCACCTTTGACATAGCTTGAGCCTTGAGAGAAGAAGAAGTTTCCCGCGGTAAATAGATCCTTAGACTAAGCGAATTGTAATACTGATCGGTATTCTTCTACTTTACCATTCCATCCTATGTCTTCAACGGAAGCTTATTTCCCCGCCCGCACGTACCTGCATAGCACCTCAGCACATACGGAGGCTCTTCGGAGCCCTCCATTCTTCTGCTCATCACAAGATCTCACATCGCGGTAGTCCAGAAATGATCGACAACGCATGCCATATCGGGCCTTCTCGCTCTCCGCTCCGAGGCATTCGCGATGCGGGGGAGCGGGGTGCAGCTTTGACATCTTCATCCTGGGGTGCAGGAGGAAGGAGGTTATGCTTACTTGGAAGTATAATCCGGTGGTGGTATGGAGGGAGTGAGGGACGTTGCGGTCCGAATGTGATGGTGGATGGAGGGGTGGGTGGCGTCATGAATGAATGAATGAAATGTACCAAGGTATGTAACCTTACATACCCCGCGCCCAGGCGGGTACTGCCGAGTTTGGATCCGAGGAAGACAGAAAGAAAGAAAGGAAGGGAGGGATGTTTTGCAAAGTTGGGACTTTTGATATCGGAATTGGAGGAGGGGAGTGAGATCCTATTTGTGGATATCGATAGGTTTTAAAATGGAAGAGAGGCTTAGGAGCAAGCGAAGGAAGGACGTTGTGGGTTCAGCGCGGCCCCTGAAATTTGGGCGATGGATGGGAAGCGAGAACGTGGTTGGATGGCGAGGGCCCAGGGATCGACAACCCCACAAAAACGACATGAGGACGCCAGGAACGACCACAGACACACCACTCGACCACCACGGCGGGGGCATGGCAGATGGAAGAGATCGAGGCTGATGCAGGCAAAGGATTTGGTGCCGCCACGGCCTTATTTCGTGCTGCCCATGCAACCTTTGTGCCGAGTCTAGGGCAACCTGGCGATTGGTGAGGGTCGGGGATTGCATCACACCTGTGCGTGCGTGAGGATATAAGATGACGGTCGATGGTCGTTGATGGTTTCCAGGCCAGCTCAAGCGAGTCCTACTATTGTGTCGAACATCAGGACTCGAGTCTCGCGAACGAGTTGTCCAGCTCTAAACCCACTCCAACATCATGAGGTTCAACACAGCTGCTTTCGTGGCGTTGGCCTCCAGCTCGGCATTGGCTCTAACGCCTGCTGAGTGGCGCTCTCAATCCATCTATCAAGTCCTTACTGATCGTTTCGCTCGAACTGACGGCTCGACTACGGCAACATGTGATACTGGAGACCAAGTCTACTGTGGGGGTTCATTCCAAGGAATCATCAATAACCTTGCCTATATTCAGGACATGGGTTTTACAGCTGTACCCTTCCCTATCTCTCAATAGATAGAATCGTACTAATGAGACCACAGATCTGGATCTCTCCCATCGTGACGAATCTCGTGGGAGATAGCTCAGATGGAGAAGCGTATCACGGGTACTGGGCTCAGGATATCAACACCATCAACACCAATTTCGGCACAGCAGCCGACCTGCAGTCTTTGTCTACTGCGCTTCATGACCGTGGGATGTATCTGATGGTCGATATTGTGACAAACCATATGGGATATCTTGGGTGCGGGACATGTGTTGACTATAATGTCTTTACTCCTTTCAACTCGGTAAGTCGTCTTCCTTTGACTCCAAAGATATCAGCTGACAAGTATCTAGGAGTCCTACTACCATCCGTTCTGTCTGATTGATTACAACAATGCGACGAGTATTCAGGTTTGCTGGGAAGGAGACAACACGGTCTCGCTCCCTGACCTAAGAACCGAGGATTCGGATGTGTTGAGTGTGTTTGAGACTTGGGTTGCGAATCTGGTTTCCACGTATTCGATTGATGGATTCAGAGTCGATAGTATGCAGCAGGTTGATCAGGCTTTCTGGCCTCCGTTTCAGTCTGCTGGTGAGTCTTCCTCATATCTTGCTTGATGAGATGTGCTAATATTAGGGTATAGCTGGGGGAGTTCATATGCTAGGTGAGGTCTTTAATGGAGATCCGACTTATGTCTGTCCGTATCAGGAGTACATGACTGGATTACTCAATTATCCTGCGTGAGTTGTATTAAGCAACCGTGAACTTTACTAATGCCAAGTTAGATATTATTGGATCACTCAAGCATTCGAATCAACAAGCGGAAGTATCAGCAACCTGGTGAACGGTATCAATGAAATGAAGTCCGACTGCTCAGACACCACACTCCTCGGTTCATTCCTAGAAAACCACGACAATCCTCGCTTCCCATCCCTCACCTCCGACATCTCCCTAACCAAGAACGCAATCGCCTTTACCATCCTCGCTGACGGAATCCCCATCAGTAACTCACCCCCCACACAAGAAAAAGAAACACACTGACAGCCAACAGTCTACGAAGGCCAAGAACAACACTACAGCGGCTCCGGCGTCCCCTACAACCGCGAAGCAATCTGGCTCTCGGGCTACTCCACAACCTCCACCTTCTACACCTGGATCGCGTCCCTCAACCAAATCCGCAACCAAGCCATCTACCTCTCCAGCGCCTACGTGACCTACAAAGCGTACCCCATCTACTCAGACACCACTACAATCGCTATGCGCAAAGGCGCCACGAACTACCAGATTATTTCCGTGTTCAGCAACCTGGGGGCGGGAGGCAGTAGTTACACCTTAACTTTGAGTTCGGCGGAAACAGGATTCACGGCAAATCAAGCCTTGGTTGAAGTCATGAGCTGCACGGCGTACACCACGGATTCGAGCGGGAACTTGGCTGTTGCGATGGCGGGTGGTTTGCCACGGGTCTTTTATCCTGAAGCTGGGTTGGCGGGGAGTGGGATTTGTAGTGCGGTTACGGGTTCAGGTTAGAGTGCGCTTTCGTTCCTTCCTTTCTCTTCTTTGCCTTCTTCTCACTATTCCAGGCTCCTCTACCGCAACCTCCACCCCTACCTCTACATCCACCTCAACCTCCGCAACCTCCACATGCACCTCCCCCTCCTCCCTCCCGATAACCTTCACCGAACTCGCCACAACAACCTACGGCCAAACCATCAAGCTCGCGGGCTCTCTCCCGGCCCTCGGCTCCTGGGACACTTCATCCGCCATCCCGCTCTCCGCGTCCGAATACACGGCCTCGAACCCGCTGTGGGAGGGCACGGTCAGTCTGCCCGCGGGCGCGGTCGTCGAGTACAAGTTTATTAATGTCGCGAGTGATGGGACGGTTACGTGGGAGGCGGATCCGAATCACACGTTGACGGTGCCCGCTGGGTGTGGGGCGATGGGGGAGAGTGTGGCGGGAGTTTGGCAGAGTTAGAAGGGGAGGTTTGGTTTATCTTTCTTTTGTAGTTTACTTTTAAATTTACATACTTGCATGCTTCGCTTCCCAGGGCTTGAAAAAAGAATAGGGAGTCGAGAATACCTACCTACCTACCTACCTGCCCAATGAACCATCTACCGTTTTCCGCTGCATTTGTTCTGCAGAGCCACTCACTCAACCTTTGTTTTTTATATTATTCATTTTTCTGTTCTTTGCAATTTCCTGCTCTCTGCACTCCTCTCTACCTATCCTATCCTATTTCCAGCAAGCGAGCTAACGGAAGCGAACGAGGCCGGCTCCAGTTAGCATGATCTTGCATTTGTGGAGGTGAGTATGGGAAGTTGCTGCTAGCGCGAGGAACATTTCTCTACTTCGATCGTCGCTTTTTCTGTCAGGTTCTTGGAGAAAGAACAGTTCGCAGAAACTTTTAGATTTGGATAAAGCTTCGATGAGTTGCGCGGGCGTACCCTTGATGGTGTCAATGCAGAGACTGATGGATTGTGCGTCGTTCAGGTTTCCTGTGTTCAATGCTACTGCGATAGCATCAGTGGTCAATTCTTTGAGCAAAACCCAGTCTAGGTGTTGTTGTCCGGTAAAAGCGATTCCCAGGAGACTGCCAAGTGCTTCTGGATTATCAAGCTCCTCTGATTCTGATCTGTTGCAAATTGTAGGCAGTAGAATCTCTTGAAAGTGAGGAATGTTAGTTGCCTTGTCAAGAAGAGAGATGTTCGAGCTTTCTGTTGTCAAGAAGTTGTCGACCAGGATCTTAATAGCTTGGTCATCGAGAGAGTTGGCGCCGATGTTGAGTTGCTGTACAATTTGAGCTACAATTGGGCCCTCAAATTCGGTAGTGACCAAGGGAGGCCAGATATCTTCTCAAATATAGGAATCAGTCGGGTATTCTTCACCTAGCAACGAGCTGCAAAAGGAAATTGGAAGTCTTACAGTCCATAGCACATGCATCAACAAGCGGCTCCTCATCAACTTCAGGTATAAAACGTTTCTTTCCCAAAGGAAAGTCCATAGACTCTGGATGAAACTTTATCATATACTCCCTACCAGACAATGGTCGTCTTAACCGATCATCCTCCGTAACTGTAGGTTAGTACTGTCTCGATACTCCAAGCGCTTCAGCTCTTCATTCTGCCATATATCGCGGCATTCTATGGATCATGAAACCAACAATGCCATAGCTCATATTGTCCAAGTCTAAGATATCTGTAACAACCATCCCATACTCAATACTGTCGTCGCGATACACTGTCCCCCTGGCTTCTTTCGCGCATTATTCTCATAGCCAACCTCATTGCGTCCTACGATGACTAGCAAACAGGTGGATATGAATGGAAACTCGGAGAGGCTGGTCGCATCCGTCTAGAGTCCGAATCGGGAACGAGAGAGTCCGTTTCCCGCGATTGAATTCCGGTAGCTTGGCTCGCTCGCGGCATATTGCTATCGCCTCTGTAGCAAGGCTCAACTCGGCTTTCATTGCTCTGCGATTTGCTGGGTTAGAGAGCGTCCGGATGGCTTGTAGACAAGAGTTAACGACTTGGTGACCCTGGGCTCTTGTTCTTGAACCGTAGAGCCCACCGTAACGTAGGGTCACGGCGATTGGGCGGTGATTCCTACCAGGACCGAGTCTGGCAATGAGGAAGAAAATGAAGGATTGTGGAGCCGAGTCTTCTGTCCATTGTGTTGTGGTGGTTGGCATTGTCTTTTTGAAATGTCGAACGGTTCTGGCGCGGATGAATTTATCGGCTGCTTACCGAATGTCACGATCACGGGACCAGTGGACCCTGGGTCACGTGATGGAGTCTTACGGTACGGTAAAACTTCAACTGAACAGTTTTAATTTTTTTTTAAAATTAAATTCTTCGATATATGAAATTTATATAATAATAAATTATATTTATATAATAATAAATTATATTTATATAATAAT